ACAGCTTAGAGGTATTTTCAGTTATGTATCTCAGCCAACGTGAAATGAGGACCTGTTCACATGGAAGCGATCAGAACTAGCTGAGAAGTATGAAGCTGTACAAGCAGGCTGTCAAGCAAAGGCTTTTGTTTGGGCTCCCCCACCAAAGATTACAATAAATAAAGTTACTAACAAAGGCTTGAACAGCCCAGCCACCTGTGGCTGGATGAAGGACAGGGGCCTATGTTTTCAGCACAGGATCCCAGTAGTCAGGAGGAGAGAAAGGTTTACCTCAAGGAGGAACTGGAGCCGAGAAGAAGGAGCAGAAGACACTGTCCTAATAATGAGGAAGATGAGACTCTGTAGACTGTTGGGTCTGTAGTTTAACGCAGCTCATCCTGAAAGTGTTGTAGAGAGTGACACCTCAGGCAAAGACCTGGGGAACGGAGCAGACAAGTGGCAGCCATGGTTTACCACTTGTCTTGAAGCTCCAGAGCTCAGGTTATGGTTGCTGAGCTCAAACAGGGGGAGGAAAAGAAAGTCTTCCCCATGCCCTTCTTTTCACAGAATCACAGAATGATATGGGGTTGGACGGTACTTCTGGAGATCATCTAGTCCAACCCCCCTACCAAAGGAGGTTCACCTAGAGCAGGTTGCACAGGAACATGTCCAGGTGGAACATGTCCTTCATTTATGTTGTTGCTTTGGAAACTTGAAGTTACCTGTGTGTGATAATGCTCCTAAAGCATCACCATCTCCTCTCGGAGTCACACTGAGCAGTTCCTGGCTGCCAACAAGTGGTGGCTGCTCTGGCTGGCAGGGGGACCGTGGCTGGTGACCTGAAGCTGTGACCTCGGGGAGGGGAGCAGTGTCTTCCAGCCTGAATCTTCCAGCCACAGGGACAAGAGAAGGTGGTTGCAGGCGCGTGTGCACGTGTGTAGACACATGTACATCTGCAGATGCGTGCTTGTATCTGCATATATCCGTATGTATAGATCACATACATCTGTATATGCATATATTGCACACGTGTGTGTGTACATTGCATATGCATATGATATATGTGCACAAACCCCTCATGTTTGAAGCAGGCTGGAGCGTGGTGAGGGAGGGAGAGATGCTGAGAGGCGGAGGGGAGAGTTGGGTGGGCTGTGGGCAGCAGCTCAAGTCTCTGGCTGAGCAGAACCCCCAGTCCAGCTTGGGAGCCAGCAGGGACAAAGCTGGGATGGTCCGAGGGGACAGGAGCTGTAGATGGACCAAAGGATCCTGTAACCCCACCCCAGCCAAGCAGTCCAGGAGGAGATGTGGAAAAGCACCCGGGCTGGCTGCTGGAACCACAGGGACGGAGTTTGCCTCCTCCAGTGAGAGGGGAATCATGAAAAGAAACACGGGTGAACAGCAGAGCTGCTGATTTTGCCAAGTTATTCAGGAAAAAGAAAGAATAAAAATTAGTTCTTTTATTCTGAAAAAAAAACCCCAACCAACCCAGTTAAATCCACGCTGTCTCTTGTTAAACTCATGTATTCCCTTCCTGTAGGTACGAATTAGGAGCAGCTTTGTTCATCGGCTGGGCTGGAGCTTCCCTCTGCATCATTGGTGGCAGCATATTCTGCTTCTCAATAGCAGAAAACAGTACTTCTCCAAGGTAAAAAAAAAACCAAACAAAACCAAAACCCAGTACTTCTCCAAGTTGTACTTACTGAAAGACATCAATACTTGCACGGTCGTGCCTGCTATATGTAAAAATGTATATGTATATTGTGCTATACATATGGGGTTTGATTACTTTGCTGAAACACTTTGTAGTGAGGTTCAGAAGGGGGTTGTGTGGATGAAAGGAAATAGTGGGATTTAAGGGCAGGGCTCTGTCCATCATTAATGCCATGGAGAAAAGCTATTGACTCGGAACAAATACTTGTGTCACACGCACCGCACACTTTCACAGCAGCTGGGAAAAAAATGCCTTCCCTGATGTAGGAAGAGCAGTCAGGTCACCTCACAGGTGTGAATAGACCTGTTTATTTAATCCCCAATCATCAGACCAGAAGTGAGAGAGGTGAAGGACAGCGGTGGTGGCAGTGGGACCTCCGGCAGGGGAAAGAGGGGTTGGTAACGAAGAGGCACAGCTGGAGGGAGTCACTGCTCACCCGGGATCTGCCACAGCTGGAATATTTCACTACGGGGCCCTAATTTCCTTGGTCGTGAACAAGAAATAGGCGTTTATGGGGCAGTGAATTGCAAAGAGAGATGCTGGGAGGGGAATGCCAAACCAGACCGAGGCCACAGAGGCAAGGAAGGTGTCCCCCCTGCCCCCCTCCCCTGAAATCTATGGGTACGTTACCTGGCTGTGGGATGAGCTGTAAATGGTTTCACTGAATTTCACTGAATTTTTAGAGTTGGAGGGGACCATAGAGATCATCTAGTCCAACTCCCCTGCTAAAGCAGGATTGCCTAGAGCTTGTCAGAGCATGTTACTCAGGACGGCATCCAGGCGGGTCTTGAAAATCTCCAAAGAAGGGGACTCCACAACCTCCCTGGGCAGCCTGTTCCAGGGCTCTGGCACCCTCACCGTGAAGAAGTTTCTCCTCAGATTTGAGTGGAACCTCTTATGTTCCAACTTGTGCCCGTTGCCCCTCGTCCTCTCACTGGGAACCACTGAAAAGAGTCTGGCTCCCTCCTCCTTCAACCCACCCTTGAGATACTTGTCAGCATTGATAAGGTCTCCCCTCAGCCTTCTCTTCTCCAGACTAAAGAGTCCCAGCTCTCTCAGCCTTTCTTCATAAGGGAGATGCTCTAATCCTTGATGATCCTCTTCTCTTGCTTTCCAGGAGGGGGTATGCATACAACGGAGCCACGTCAGTGATGTCTTCTCGTACAAAGGTCCACAACAGTGTCCCAGAGAAAACCCCACCAAAGCACTTTGACAAGAACGCTTATGTTTAAAATTGTACCGTTGGAAGATTTCGAAGAGTTTTAAAGATGAGTTTGTACGTTTCGGTCAGAGTGATTTCCCTCCCTCCCCCTCCCCCAACCCCAGTGTAATTACCACTAAGATAATGACTTTTTAAAACATTAACTTGCAGCTTTTTACATATTGATGTAAATTTTATTATATAGTATTTTAAGATTGATGTTGGTATTGTAAAGTTTATACCTGGAAATCATGAGCTGATGTTGCTTTCTTGAAAAAAAAATAAATGGGGTATTTACCAACTCAGTGTGTCAATCACTCGGTGAATCACAGGGTGGTAGGGTTGGAAGGGACCTCTGGAGATCACCTAGCAGGTCCTCCTACAGCAGGCTGGACAGGAACGTGTCCAGGCAGGTTTTGAATGTCTCCAGAGACGGAGACTCCACCACCTCTCTGGGCAGCCTGTTCCAATGCTCTGCCACCCTCAAAGTGAAGTTTTTCCACATGTTCAGACAGAACTTCCTGTGTTCCAGCTTGTGTCCCTTGCCCCTTGTCCTGCCACCAGGCAACACTGAAAGAGCCTGACCCCATCCTCTTGACACCCATCCTTTAGATATTTACAAGCATTAATGAGATCCTCTCTCAGTCTTCTCCAGGCTGGACAGCCCGAGCTCTCTCAGCCTTTCCTCATAAGAGAGATGCTCCAGGCCCCTGATCATCTTCATAGCCCTCTGCTGTACCCTCTCCAGCAGTTCCCTGTCCTTCTTGAACTGGGGAGCCCAGAACTGGACGCGCCCTTCATCGTCTTTGTAGCCCTCTGCTGTACCCTCTCCAGCAGTTCCCTGTCCTTCTTGAACTGGGGAGCCCAGAACTGGACGCAGCACTCCAGATGGGGCCTCACCAGGGCAGAGTAAAGGGGGAAGAACCTCCCCTGACCTGCTGGTCACACTCTTCCTGATGCCCCCCAGGGTGCCATTGGCCTCCTTGGCCACGAGGGCACGTTGCTGGCTCATGGTCATCCTGTAAAGGGGGAAGAACCTCCCCTTACCTGCTGGTCACACTCTTCCTGATGCCCCCCAGGATGCCATCGGCCTTCTTGGCCACAGGGGCACATAGGTGGCTCATGGTCATCCTTTTGTCCACCAGGACTCCCAGGTCTTTTTCCTCAGAGCTGCTCTCAGCAGGTCAGCCCCCAACCTGTACTGGTGCAGGGGGTTATTTCTCCCCAGGTGCAGAACCCTACACGTGCCCTTACTGAATTTCATCAGGTTCCTCTCTGCCCAACTCTCCAGCCTGTCCAGGTCTCGCTGTACGGTGGCACAGCCTTCTGGGGTGTCAGCCACCCCTCCCAGTTTTGTGTCACCAGCAAACTTGCTGAGGGGATGCGCCGTGAAGTGAAAATAAGTATGGGATTTGGGGAGGCAGGAGCAGGTACTAGGAAGAGTTGGGGCCAGTAGTTTTGAAAACAGTCACTAGAGAGGATCTCGCACAGCCTAAGAAGAACATATGCCTGAGAAGAACATTCTTCTGTGTGGCAGGGAGGGCAGATGTTGAGGCTGGAGCCTTTGGGGAGTTTTGTGGTGGACAAGACATGGCTTGGAGACAGTTCCTACATTCTGCATTCGCTTTGTGGTGCTGGGCTCCCAGGGGGGGGTGACAAGTCAGCTCCAGGGGGTTGTCTTTGTTCCTTCACATGAGGCAGGGGGCACGGACACCTCTGGCTCCAGAATGGCTCTGAAAGGGAAACTGCTCTGGCCTGTTCTGGCAATGACATTCCCGAGGGGCTGGCCAAATAAAAGCAGGTAATACTTAAAACTGCTATTTTAGATAATACTGAATTAGTTACAACAGTTCAAAAATTCAGCTACTACTTTTTTGGGGATGGGGAGTGGGCATCCAAAGAAATGGGATGGCTTTTGAGGGAATACTTGTCCAATGATTCAATAAATGAGAGTAGAGATTATGAATAACCCCAAAAGGCTTACTAGACTGAGACCTGAAAATCAGACACAAACTCAGGTCTGTCTTGAGGTTTGAACCAACGGACCCTTAGAGTTTTAGAGATTATGAATAACCCCAAACGCTCACTAGACTGAGACCTGAAAATCAGACACAAACTCAGGTCTGTCTTGAGGTTTGAACCAACGGACCCTTAGAGTTTCAATATGTTGGTCATTTTGGGACAAAGATGTAAATGTAAAAACTAGATAGTCCTATTTATTAATAGGCAGAGTACAGTAGAAAAGGTCTTTTATCTGATACCTGCTAAAATACATCAGAACTACAAAGCCATTCAAGATTCTTTTCATTTCACCTTACCCAAGTCAAAGCACCAATGTGTTGTTTTAAGGCAGCAGCCAATATGGACAGGACAGAAATACCCAAGTGCTTGCGCGACAGCAGGTCAGTGCCTTCCTCACCTTTGCTTGACCTTTGAATTCTTTTTCCAATTTTTGTGCTTTTATGTTAACTCAGACACGACTTTAATTAAAAAAACCCCAAACTTTCCAAAATAGGAGGTATTTAATGACTAGTTTCATAGCTGAGGCTTTTTTTTTTTTTCTTTTAATTTGGTGTTTGGTGTAAACCATGATAAAAACATAACGTTTTGAGACATGGAAATATTTTCTTTAAAATGTTGACAATTTTATATAAAGTTTATGATAAAAAACAAGAAAATGTGCATTTAAAAATTATTATAAAGTAATACTCTGGAGTAAATTCTGCTCATTGGTCAACAGGCTTTCCTGCCAGACCAGTTTCAATCTTTAATGTAAACATTGGAGGCGAAATCTTCACCTCAGTGAAACCAAAGAGACTTTCAACATTTTGAGTTCATGAGAAAGAAGAACTAACTCTCAGTTTCCAAACAGACATGGCCAGTAACGTGTACATGAATATTCTTGTTTCACATTCAGGATTGAAAGACACAAATGTAAATGCCCTTCCTTGTTATGACATGACCAATGGGAGAAACCCCATTTTGAACCCCAAGAGAAGGCGGGGGTGGTGCCTCCCATCAGGAACACAACTGTTAGATATCTGAAGAATCACTCCAGTCTGTTACCGTGACTAAGCTGCTTTTTAAGGTGCTTGTATTATCAGCTTCATGAAGGCCTGCTAAAATAACAACAAACCCAAAAATATTAAAAATTAGTAATAACATTTGGGGGGTATCTTTACGTTGGATTTATCTATGAGATAAAATTACATGCTGTGTGAGTAAACACCTGTGGGCTTCAGGAAGTCCAGAATTTCAACCGGTGAGGAAATTACAAGTGTTTGTAACACAAAGGCTGTTTCTGTCATAGAATGCAAGTCAGCATCTATATTACTTTCCCTTTAAAAATAACCTGCAGTATCTTTGTATAACTGCTTTAAGTATATGGAAATGTTAGGGCTAGAAACTACTATAGAAGTTTTATGTCAGATTGAAGTTATTACTTTACCAGTAACTCAAATATTTATCTCAGCCTGGTAAGTCACTTAGATATCTTGAACAAACCTGAAATTTTATTATTATTCTCAAGCTAAAGCAGGAAAGTTTCCTTCATCCCTTAAATTTGGGGAGGGATTAAGACAAATCCCCGATGATTAGTTTTTAAGATGAGGTTGAAGCCTGATAGCACTATGCGTTTTAAAATCTCAAACTTAAGTTTCTTGGCATCTCTCTGTGTGTGTCGTTTACATTTAAGTATGTCATAAATGATATTTATATGACATAAAACCACACACACACTTTTTTTACTTGCTCTTTTCTTACAAAATAGCATATAGTGAATTGCAATGTGTAATACACTATACTTCAGTTCTCCTCTAGGTGAAGAATGAGTATGTTACCTTCCTCCTTTGGCACACTTCTCTTCGGGAGACCCCATGCCTGTACCACAGATGCTGCATTCGACTCATTTTTCGGAACCGTCAATGGCTTCTGACCTCTGTCATCTTTCATCAATAAAAAGTCTTCTACTGATGATATATCCCAATCATCTTCATCAACTTCTGTGAACTAAGCAGGGAGAAGAAAAAAAACATGCATTTTTCTTCTGTCCGTTCAAGTTGTGCTGAGATCTTCCATAAACTCAACAATGCCAAACTGCTAAAGAAAAATGCACTGGCACGTGGCCTGTATGACATCTGTCACCACAGTTTAAAAATCCACATAATTCAATTACCTACATTATATTAATTCACTATTACAGTTCCTAAGCTAAAAGTGTTGGGTTTTTTTGAGTCAGGAACTGCAAAAGTTCAAAGCTCTGCCAGTTTCATAATTGTTAGAAAGCTATGTTTTCAGGTATTACATGTCTAACTTAAAAAAAGGATCATCTTTTCTGGGATATTAGTTATTCCAATTAGATGGAAAGTCCTTTAGGCATAAGAAAGTAGGTTACTTACATGAAAATAAAGATATGACATTAGCAGTTTAGTTAGCTATATAAGCATCCTGCATTCATACTAGAAAAAATTAATATTGCAATAAAGGCCTTTTCAATGAAAAACTAATTTATTTAAAGAGAAAATTAAATAATGAAAGTTAAAACAATCGCATGGTGCTCAAAGTTTAAAAATTTATTCCTCTTAAGACTCACTGTCAGCGTGTACAAGTATATTTTCAATTCAGTGGTAGATTTGTATAATGAGTTCCCCAAAATGAGAGTCAAGTCAAAGAGAAGAACCTGAAGGCAGCGAGTCCGTGGTCTTTCTTATCTGCCTGAGAACTAAATATCTTCATTCAGCTTTCGACAGGAGAGCTACAGCATTCCCCTGTTTGTCAATCAGATGGGGTTCAATGGAATCGAGCCATTCTTAGAGAGCTTAACAGTGGAAAGTGAAAGATGGTTTCTCACAAAGCTAAAACCTTATTTCACAGGAGTTTCTCAATATTACGGTAAGATACAGAACGCACTTCTCTTGCAGAGAAGGAAGACTCAGATGCTGTTAGAAAACAATGTCAGGTATGTACATACTAGGGAAAAATCAACAAATACGAACGTGTCGTGTGTCTCGAAAGAAGGGAAGAGACTTGCAGTAACGCTCTATCTTGCAACACAATACAATTTTAACATTGCAAACTGTTTTTCAAAAACTGACAGATCTGCTCAGTGTGCTGTATTATTAACATACCAGGATTCAACATTTTGCTCTTTTAAATTATCTGCATGTGGAAGGCGTGGTAATGGGAAAGTCAGAGTCACATACACTGAGAAATGCTGGAGGAAGAGTTTCCTCAAACAGTCACGAAGTCCCAACTGATTTTTAAAGTACAAAATAGAGAGAAAAAATGTCAACTTCAAACGAAATTCAGTTTTGATCAAGTGTAAAATACACAGCTCCAATCAAACCCGCCATGCAGTCTTATTAACTCAAAGACTTGTACCAGTGAAACACCATAATGCAGACGATGCGTGGTACAAGTGAACTCAGGTAATACAGCTTCCACTAAGCACAGAATCACAGAATCTTCTAGGTTGGAAGGGACCTCAAAGATCATCTTGTCCAACCGTCAACCTAACTGACAAAAATAGACACCCGCATCACCATCACTAAACCATACCTCCCAGCACTACATCAACCTGTCTTTTGAACACCTCCAGGGATGGTGCCTCAACCACCTCCCTGGGCAGCCCATTCCAATGTCTGACAACCCTTTCAGTGAAAAGAATTTTCCTAATATCCAGCCTGAACCTCCCCTGGCGCAACTTGAGGCCATTTCCTCTCGTCCTGTCGCCTGTGATTTGGGAGAAGAGACCGACCCCCACCTCTCTACACCCTCCTTTCAGGTAGTTGTGGAGAGCTATAAGGTCTCCCCTCAGCCTCCTCTTCTCCAGGCTGAATAACCCCAGCTCCCTCAGCCTCTCCTCATAAGACTTGTGCTCCAAATTCCTTAACACAGTGGCCAGTGTCTATAGATCTTTACAAAACGCAACATCCCCTAAATTTAACTCTGAACATTTTAGAGTCTTCTATTATCTGACACTGCAGAGAATTTGAAAGTAACACTCGGACAGAAAATGAACCTGTAATAGTGATGTCTGAGTTGATAATTTTGAACCTAGTGTGATTCGCAGCTCCCAGAGTCAATGGACAAGTTGCCACCAGTGGCAATGAAAAGCACACAGATTAAGTGTAATTACCCTACCATTACAGCTAAAGTTGATTAAGACAGTTTTTTTCCAGAAAGTTTCTGGAACCTGAAATAGAAATGTCATTGTTTCTGAGAGAAATGATAAATTTCAGATTTAACTATTAGTCAGGGAGCCTTAAGGTAGTAGTTTTATTATAAATAACAGGATTTTCAGTAATTATTTGTTTATTTAGTGAAAAAATACTCTTGAATGCTAGAACTGGTATCTGAATGTCTATTTCAATCTAAAACTGAAACAGGCAGCACTATCTACTGTTAACTTCTGATTTGGAGTAACTTTTAGAATCATAGAGTGGTTTGGGCTGGAAGGGACCTTAAAGATTATGGAGTTCCAACCCCCCTGCCATGGGCAGGGACACCTCCCACTAGAGCAGGTTGCTCAAAGCCCCATCCAGCCTGGCCTTGAACACTTCCAGGGATGAGGCATCAACAACTTCCCTGGGCAACTTGTTCCTGTGTCTCACAGTAAAGAATTTCTTCCTGATATCTAATCTAAATCTCCCTTCTTTCAGTTTAAAACCACTAGCCCTTTTGTTCTTTTAAAAAATTATTCAGGCAAAGATCAATTTGCACCAAAGTGGCTTATCAATTATAAAACTCTAGAAGACTAGGACCTTACGAGCTTGAGGGGTAAAGAATAACTTGTGTCAGTATTCTGATTGTGAACAAATGGTGTACTCAATGGACAGACATGAATGACAGATCTGATGTAGTTGGAAAACAGTATATGACTGTAAATAGATGCAGCAGAACAAAGACCATACTCAGAAATGGAATTTGCCCCTTCATTTAAATGTATTCAGAAGTTCCATATCAGATAAAACTCTAGAGATAAAATATTTTAAAATAATACACAGGCAAATTCATTTTTTCCTCCATCAAAACAAGATACTAGGAAAGCAAGTAAAGAAGGGTGCTCTCTATGCTGCTAGAGAGATAAAAATGATACCAACTGTGCCCAAACTTTGAGCTAGCTGTAGTGATCCAAATCAGTCATGGCATAAGCTAATACGTAGCACAGATGAAGAGGTCACTTGCCACAGCTCACTCACCAGCCCTTTTCTGTACGTACCTGAAAAAACTACTTAGCTGTAATTCCAATAGTGCCTTTGAGAATTCAGCTCTTAAATGCATCAAGATGGTTTCAGCAGGAAAAAAAATGTAACAGATGTATATCTAGTTTGATTATTTAATGAAATAATATTGACTATTAAAAGTGATACCTTCAGTTCTTGCACCTCTTCTTTCTTAATAAATGCCTGCGCAACATTAACCCCTCCAGCTGGTTTGTTCTTATTTCCATGGTTAGAAAGACTCTTTCCAACTTGTTCGGTCAGTTTTTGAATTACTGTTCCTGAAGTTCATAAAAAAATATATTGACAGTTTCAATTGACAAGTAAGGGACGTTACTGTAAACCCTCTAGAAACCTTCCACAAAGTAAAAATAAGTAAAAGACTAAGAAAAACCTTTTTTAGACAGAAGTCTCTCTGAGACACAGATTGTCTCTTTTTCTGCATTTATATATAACAGCACGATACACATCTAATCTGAAGTAACATTTCTAGGCACTATATTAATATAAAGAAATATACACACAGTCAAAGCTAGACAGTCTGCCTTCATTATGTTTTCTAACACAGTAATGTTATCAGGAAATGCAAAATCATGTACAGCTGTTACAAAATGCATATACAAAAGTAGTGAAAAAACCTTTGGAAGTTTTGGCAGGTGTTCCAGTTTCCTCAGTTTCACTTTCCTCCGTCCCATCCCATCCCATATCGCTTTTGCCAGAAGCCTTCTGAAAAGCACTGACTTTACTGCTTGATGTTTTTGACTGCTTTTGTAATAATTCTGGTGATACATAATGCTGCTTAATATCATCTTCATCTGCTTCTTCCTCTGAACTGAATGGTGGAGTTCTAAACAAAAACACATACAACCTGAGGACTTACTGGGTTTTTCTTATGTGAAAAAAACAGGAGCTCCCATAAATTCTAAGTATTCATAGAACTATTTAAAAGAAGTCATGCTACTACGGTAAACACAGAAAGTTATCACAAAATGCTCTCTTATATAGACATGATTATTTCCACCTATGTAACTATCTTTACAAAACAACATATCAATATATAAGAAGCCTTGCCAGGCAAACAGAGACAGGCTTTCATGGATCAGCCGGGAGAGAAAAATTCAGAGTCAAGGAACCTGCAGCATAGAAAGTCTGTTCTGCTATTCTGTTAGAGGAAAATAAGTTAGGAATTTTTCAGTGCAGAAAATTAAAAAGTAATGTGCCTGTTGTGAAGGGAGAGAAAAAATTCAGAGTCAAGAAACCTGCAGCACAGAAAGTCTGTTCTGCTATTTTGTTAGAGGAAAATAAGTTAGGATTTTTTCAGTGCAGAAAATTAAAAAGTAATGTGCTTGTTGTGAGTGGAATCTGGAACATTGTGTTTAATTTTGGTCATAGTAAGAAAATATCAAGAAACTAGAAAAAATCACATCATGAAAATCTAGAAATGCTTTTAACTGACTCAGAAAAAGCATGTGAGAATGAAACTACTACATCTACTGAAAGGAGAACATGCTATCTTTCAGGGGCTGTAATAATAAATTCAAATGGAATAATACTTTAAAACAAAATATTAAACAGAGTCCAGAAGGTGTTTGTAATTTCAGCTTAATAATAGCTTTTGCACGGCAAGCATGTGAATATTAAGTCACCAAATATGTTTTCTTCAAAAATACAAAGGAATAAAACATACGTGATACTAGAGGTCTTTTTGGGTACTCCATTTCCAAAAAGCTTCATGGACCTAAAAATAACAAGACAAGTTATTTCAAGACTGACAGTCAACCAAGTAAGCATAAAGTTTATACAGAAGTAATATGAATTCTTTGCTTACAATATTAGGATGAAAAGTTCACATCAGTCATAAAAAACCCAAACCCATATGATTGTTACCTGAGGTATGAGTACTATGAGAAGAACATCTCTTACTTTGGTGTAGATGTATTCTCAGCAACGGCTGTTCTTTGTTCAGCTGGGCGGACAGCTGTTGAAGACCTTTTTACTGGTTTTTGTGGTGCGGCAAACGAGGAAATTCCCGATTGATTGAACTTCTGTTTATCTACAAGAGAAGTTATCTATCTCGTTATCAGAGACAATGTTTGGTGTCTTTCATGTTTCGTTCCCCAAAGTGAAGATGTCTCTGTTGCCAACCATAATTTTACAAAAAAGAAGAAAAAATGTAACTTTCTTCTTCAAAGCAGTTCAGAGTTACCATGTATAACACCAATATAGGAGCTAAAATTTCTGCAGTTAAGCACAGTATCAAGAACCCTTTAAAGGAAACCGTTCAGTTGCCCATAACTACATAGAATACTTACGTAAAAAATTAAAAAAGCAGTTAAACAGAAATGTTTCTAAATAAAACCTTAAGTACCAGTTCTAAAATAAAAGAAAACAAACAAAAAAGGTTTTTTAACCTTCTGAAGGAAGCTGAGGACAGGAAGCAGTTCTATTACAAGATGATGATTTCTCTTCAACCCTAAAGCTAACTTCGCGTTCAAGATGCTCTCGAATTCGCTGAATGTCAGGCTCTTCCTTCTGTTTGCAGTCTCTGGCAGACTCAATAGCACGCAAAATTTTATTTAAGCGATCACTTGGGATACCACGAACACCCTAAGGAAACAAATTGTATTGTAAACACAAGGGCTATTATTTCTGGGATTTATATCCTACTATTATATACACGCTTTTAAACTTCAAACACCACGAAGCTTGTAGAAAAATCCCAGAAGTTGGTAACATTGCTCACAGGTGTAGCCACATCCTGCACAGCTCTAATTTGATGGACATGCCCTCAAGTTAATGAACTAAACTTATTTATAACATGTGGAAACTTAGCTTTGGATTTTATAGGCTGAGGGTTGAGGTACAAGAGTGAAAGAGAACAGCAAAAAAGTGGGAAAAAGATTACCCCTCTTTTAAATAACTCAAAATTATCTTACTGCTTTAATTCCCAAGGATTCCAGCTTCTCCTCCAAGGCTTGCTCCAAAACAACTCGTAATTCTTTAGTTAAAGAAGGATCGGTCTTCAAAGCATTTATTAAATAGTGGTTACTTCTACCTGTTTTATGATCACCTTTCTCAGTTTCTGAAATAAGAATGGAAAAATGCATTTAAGAGACATTCAAAAAATATACAGTACATGAGAAAATTAAAAACTGCATTGAAGCATGCATTTTTTAGAAACACTGTAGACATACATATGCCCTTTTTGTCTACATGGAGTTGTATTCTTTTGAAAATCTAGGGCTACCTTACAAAGGTGAACTCACTTGGAATCTATAACTCTGCACATTGTAGTCGCCATCAGAAGTATCTTTTATTTTTCTTGTTACAGAATCGCTATAAAGATATATGCCTGAATATTTAGCAACAAAGATCTTTTAGAACTGGACTTGAAAGCTTCTGATAAAGAAATACTATCTTCTGATACTTAAGTTCTATACAAGTGGTATTTCAAATCAAAGCTGAACTCTAGCAGGAATGAAAACAGGAATATGACAAAATTGTTCTCAAGAAAAGCTTCAAGCAACATAATGTTCTCTGATAAAAAAAAAAACCCGGGAGAGAAAAATTCAGAGTCAAGGAACCTGCAGCATAGAAAGTCTGTTCTGCTATTCTGTTAGAGGAAAATAAGTTAGGAATTTTTCAGTGCAGAAAATTAAAAAGTAATGTGCCTGTTGTGAGTGGAATCTGGAATATTGTGTTTAATTTTGGTCATAGTATGAAAATATCAAGAAACTGGAAAAAATCAGGTCATGAAAATCTATAAATGCTTTTAACTGACTCGGAAAAAGCATCTGAGAATGAAACTACTGCATCTACTGAAAGGAGAACATGCTATCTTTCAGGGGCTGTAATAATAAATTCAAATGGAATAATACTTTAAAACATTGTTGTGAGTGGAATCTGGAACATTGTGTTTAATTTTGGTCATAGTAAGAAAATATCAAGAAACTAGAAAAAATCACATCATGAAAATCTAGAAATGCTTTTAACTGACTCAGAAAAAGCATGTGAGAATGAAACTACTACATCTACTGAAAGGAGAACATGCTATCTTTCAGGGGCTGTAATAATAAATTCAAATGGAATAATACTTTAAAACAAAATATTAAACAGAGTCCAGAAGGTGTTTGTAATTTCAGCTTAATAATAGCTTTTGCACGGCAAGCATGTGAATATTAAGTCACCAAATATGTTTTCTTCAAAAATACAAAGGAATAAAACATACGTGATACTAGAGGTCTTTTTGGGTACTCCATTTCCAAAAAGCTTCATGGACCTAAAAATAACAAGACAAGTTATTTCAAGACTGACAGTCAACCAAGTAAGCATAAAGTTTATACAGAAGTAATATGAATTCTTTGCTTACAATATTAGGATGAAAAGTTCACATCAGTCATAAAAAACCCAAACCCATATGATTGTTACCTGAGGTATGAGTACTATGAGAAGAACATCTCTTACTTTGGTGTAGATGTATTCTCAGCAACGGCTGTTCTTTGTTCAGCTGGGCGGACAGCTGTTGAAGACCTTTTTACTGGTTTTTGTGGTGCGGCAAACGAGGAAATTCCCGATTGATTGAACTTCTGTTTATCTACAAGAGAAGTTATCTATCTCGTTATCAGAGACAATGTTTGGTGTCTTTCATGTTTTGTTCCCCAAAGTGAAGATGTCTCTGTTGCCAACCATAATTTTACAAAAAAGAAGAAAAAATGTAACTTTCTTCTTCAAAGCAGTTCAGAGTTACCATGTATAACACCAATATAGGAGCTAAAATTTCTGCAGTTAAGCACAGTATCAAGAACCCTTTAAAGGAAACCGTTCAGTTGCCCATAACTACATAGAATACTTACGTAAAAAATTAAAAAAGCAGTTAAACAGAAATGTTTCTAAATAAAACCTTAAGTACCAGTTCTAAAATAAAAGAAAACAAACAAAAAAGGTTTTTTAACCTTCTGAAGGAAGCTGAGGACAGGAAGCAGTTCTATTACAAGATGATGATTTCTCTTCAACCCTAAAGCTAACTTGGCGTTCAAGATGCTCTCGAATTCGCTGAATGTCAGGCTCTTCCTTCTGTTTGCAGTCTCTGGCAGATTCAATAGCACGCAAAATTTTATTTAAGCGATCACTTGGGATACCACGAACACCCTAAGGAAACAAATTGTATTGTAAACACAAGGGCTATTATTTCTGGGATTTATATCCTACTATTATATACACGCTTTTAAACTTCAAACACCACGAAGCTTGTAGAAAAATCCCAGAAGTTGGTAACATTGCTCACAGGTGTAGCCACATCCTGCACAGCTCTAATTTGATGGACATGCCCTCAAGTTAATGAACTAAATTTATTTATAACATGTGGAAACTTAGCTTTGGATTTTATAGGCTGAGGGTTGAGGTACAAGAGTGAAAGAGAACAGCAAAAAAGTGGGAAAAAGATTACCCCTCTTTTAAATAACTCAAAATTATCTTACTGCTTTAATTCCCAAGGATTCCAGCTTCTCCTCCAAGGCTTGCTCCAAAACAACTCGTAATTCTTTAGTTAAAGAAGGATCGGTCTTCAAAGCATTTATTAAATAGTGGTTACTTCTACCTGTTTTATGATCACCTTTCTCAGTTTCTGAAATAAGAATGGAAAAATGCATTTAAGAGACATTCAAAAAATATACAGTACATGAGAAAATTAAAAACTGCATTGAAGCATGCATTTTTTAGAAACACTGTAGACATACATATGCCCTTTTTGTCTACATGGAGTTGTATTCTTTTGAAAATCTAGGGCTACCTTACAAAGGTGAACTCACTTGGAATCTATAACTCTGCACATTGTAGTCGCCATCAGAAGTATCTTTTATTTTTCTTGTTACAGAATCGCTATAAAGATATATGCCTGAATATTTAGCAACAAAGATCTTTTAGAACTGGACTTGAAAGCTTCTGATAAAGAAATACTATCTTCTGATACTTAAGTTCTATACAAGTGGTATTTCAAATCAAAGCTGAACTCTAGCAGGAATGAAAACAGGAATATGACAAAATTGTTCTCAAGAAAAGCTTCAAGCAACATAATGTTCTCTGATAAAAAAAAAAAACCCAAAATACCAGTGGAATCAAATATCTGGGAAGTTGTAGCACTTTCAAAAGTCTTGGTAAAGACAAAACCCTAGTCTGAAGCAGACTGTTTCCCAGAATATACATGAGGAATAATACTTATCTTCAATAGTCTTTCAAGGACAAAAGTTCAGTGTCGTGTTTTCTTCTATGCAGGTCCATGACATCATACATACTTAAAAGCAGACAAAGAAGTTTCTAGCTCTTTCCCTTACATTAAGTGTCCCTAATGACATGAACTCTTATGCAAGAAATAAAGAATCATCTAGACAGATTCTTTCATCTAAATTAAAGATTGACATTTAAGTTAAGCCCAAGTATTTTAGGGTCATACAAGGGAGTAAAGAAGCCAAACCATTTGGAACGGGTACAAACAAAGGAGTAATTCCAAATTGTGACTTTCAAATGTTTTCTTTCCAAAAAAAAAAAAAAAGGCCACTTTTCCTACTTTTAAACAATGATTGCTTAAAAAACAGTTCCATTTAGTTTTCATTTTTCTTTAAGGGAAAGATAAGCATCCTGAAGGGGACCCTGAGGCTTTTTTGCCTCAAGATACACAAATGATATTTAGGTTGTTTTGAGGAAGTGGCTTTCTATGGATCCTGGAAAGAACTCGAGGTAATGAAAACAGAAAAAGAGCCCGGCTACCACACTAAGAGATCTGTGCTGAAAAGAACAGAATCTGGCTGAAATCTTAAATGTCTTTGGGGACTGTGTGGACAACTCAGTCCCTGACAGAAGTAGGATTAAAAGTGATTTGGCTGGAGAGCCAAGTCCTAGAAGAGGCCAAGTACTGGTCAGTGCAGAAACATAGGGAAATCAGACTATCCTCTGGCAGGAAAAGGTGCATTATCTTGTATGTAACCCTCAGAAATCCAGATATGAGACATTTTAAAGTGGAAGGCTCCAGGGAGCCTTCTGAAAATCCTGTCCCTTTCAGATGCTAATCCTTACAATAAAACAGATCCATCTAAAATAGTTTTTAAATTCAAAATTAATACATACTAATATGGGTAACAAGACTATCCAGCATTATCCTAATTAATGACAATATTAATTCTTGCTAATTAACACAAGCCAAATCCTCTTTGCTGGAGCCAACTATTTAAGGAACTGTGCTCTTATTCATTTCTGTTTTTTTAAAAAAATCAACCCTGAACACTTGATTTGACAGTTTTGGAGACAAGGGACCTGAAGCCTGGTCCACTGTTGCAGGTCCTACATAATCCTATGAAATAATCTGTCAAGTCAAGAATTTTTACACTCTCCCTTACAAATGGCTGTCACTGAAAACAAAAAAATCTTGGTCTGTCATTTCAGACTGCATTCTTTCTTTCTCTCTCCTACTGCAGGCCATGCCTTTAGGCACAGCAGAAGAATCAAAGACAATCCATCAAGAAAGAAGGTGGCTAGCAAGAGAAATAGGAGAAAGAACGGCAAAAATGCAACCAGTCTTTACTTCAGATCGCTCAGAGTCAGCAGATTTTCCCTGGGGAAACCTCTCACTTAAGACACAGATGTATTCAGACAACAATTTCATTTTCAAAACAGCATCATTCCTTCAGAATTTAAATTCATTGGCTATAAGGTTCAAAACCACTTTTGATTTTTGTACCCAGTACGGATTATTATGCTATTCAGCTATTTGGTGTTTCATCTAAGCCTTCTTCAGGAGAAGAATACCATGCAGGATGAACCAGTGCTTTCTCTTCTGTCGGTGTAAACGTGGCCTTCTCCAAGTTTTCCTTGGATGAAGCAGAGGAACAGCTGCCAATACTGGGCTCTGCAATTTCATTCAGAATTGCTTAACCCTGGCTGGAGCTGTGGCTGCTCAGAGGTGGGCGTAACTGAGATTGCTTGCAAAAGTATCTTTGGTGCATCTATGAAAGTAGGCAGCTTCAACCTCCACCACTAAATTCTTTCTTCTATCTGAGCTCTTTATCCTCTCAGGCAGTTTGAGTCAGAAGTGAGCATACGCTCCAGTAGTGTCAGCACCAAAAATTTCCCAGTGAGGGGATATTCCCCATCAAACTTAGCTTAAGTGCCTTTAGACAAATGGAATATGCCTGCTTTAAAGAGCTAGCCAGCTTTCCATAAAAGCACTGAATTTGGGTAAGGAAAGCATAATATTTAGAAGCACCAACAGCAAACAGGAGACTGACACAAACAAGGAATGTTCCCACCCAAATCACATAAGCAGACTCAAATACAATGAAAAAATACTGTAGGTATCAAATAATATTTACATTTTTATTTTCAAAAAACACATGCCACTACAGTTTGAGCCGAATCAACCATTACCTTTTTCCTCTTCTGAAAGCTCCTCTATGGGCTCCAGCATATGCACCAAGGGTGCCTGCTCTAATAACAAGGAAGAACAGGAATACCAGACAAACAGGACAGAAGAAGGTCAAGGTCCAGAGTGGGAAAATTAAGCAAAAAACCACACATGTCAATTTTCCCGATTGCTGACAACCTGCTTAATAATTACAAACCCAATGCAATGTGACTCGTCGCTTTTTTGGTGACACAGTGACTTTTGTAGAGGACAGCCTAGTACAACAGTCACTTACCACACACGTCAATTTTCCCCGATTGCTGACAACCTGCTTAACAATCACAAACCCAATGCAACAGGACTCGTCACTTCTCTGGTGATACAGTGACTTCTGTAGAGGACAGCCTAGTACAACAGTCACTTCAGGAGCGACTCAGCTGCCCAAACAGGGGTGTCTGGTGTCATCTCAGATATATCAGGGTTTTAAGCCACCAGTGTGGGGCTGGATGACACGTGACACAACTAGAGAAAAATCCCTGCCCTTCTGGAACGGCACCCAAAGGCCAGGTGGGATGTTTTTAAGCATCTACAATAACAAAGCCACCTAGGATTAAGTAAATGAATACCATCATTCCTTTCTCATAAGAAACATATTAATTTTTAAATTATTTAAAAATATTGTTTGTGTGCCACTGATACTAAAAGTTTACAAAAGGCAAGTAAAATGGACATAGAAATCCTCCAATTCTCATAAGAAACATTTTAATTTTTAAGTGTATTTAAAAATATTGTTTGTGTGCCACTGATACTAAAAGTTTACAAAAGGCAAGTAAAATGGACATAGAAATCCTCAAAAATATATGGAAATAGTAGGTTAACTCACAATTCCACAAAATTACTGAGTATTGAGTCCATACATGCAAGACACAGAGAAATTTTACATATATATATGATAATTTCCAATAAAATCAATTTTAAAAAATATTCAATCACTCCAATATAGTAAGATTCAGTATTATCATCTGCTTTGAAGAAATCTTGAAATGTCCTCTGCTGAAAACAGCTTCCTAAACATATTGAAATTATCATTCTGTAGGCTGTCAGGTACAATTTGCTTTATATAAATGAAGCTAAAGTGCAGTTTATTTACAACTTTATAGACTTCAGATAAGAGAGATGCACGAAAATGCTTATACGTGGACTAATAAAAATTCAGGTTTTTAAAATGTTAATATTCAATTTCCATAAATAAGTTTACTTCAATGAAAACTAGAATTTTAGCTTGTTAGAAACGTGCAAACTGTATTTTCAGCATTCAACTACTGGCAGTACAAGAGAAAGCAATTTATTGGCCAATATTTTGGGCCAGCACATATTTGCCCCAGCCTTGACAAGAGGTTTTTGGCACTATAAATGTTGTCACAGTGCATGGGTAGAAGGGGAACAATTTATTGGCCAATATTTTGGGCCAACACATATTTGCCCCAGCCTTCACAAGAAGTTTTTGGCACTACAATGTTGTCACAGTGCATGGGTAGAAGGGGAGAAAGTGACACTGCAGTAAAGATGCCTGCCCTTCAGCACTTCTCACTCAATTAAGTACAAACATGGATGCACTGTGATGGGTAATCACAATTAAATGAGCACTTGGAGTTAAGTGACAGTTACTGTCACATCTCCAATATTCCCCATGTGAAGGGGACTAAAATATATTGTAAATGCTTGGGTATGGCTGCTGCTCTCTCCATTCTTTCCATACTTGCCATTCTATTTGGCCCATCACCTGCTTTTCCAAACAGATTACAAGACTGAAGGTTTTGCTCCCATAGAATTTGCACTAAATTCTAAAAAACAGCTTCTTACACCATCACAAGATGCTAACAAGATGCAAATATCAATGTATTTTATGGAAACACTCAAAGGCAAAACTATGAGAGTCTGACTGACAAATAGGCTCCTGGTCTCTCCATCTCTGAGGCTGTAAAACTTAACGGTGGCCAGAGCATTCCCGGGCACTGGAATTTGCTCCTGGCACACTGTTACCCTGCACCAACTAACATTCTCCAAAACAACGTTCAGGCACAGTTTGGGATCATTCCCAACAGCCTGCAGTGAGCCTGTTTTTGGAGGACAGAGCTTGAAGCACAGATGAGATGTTCCGGGGGGATTTAATGTAGCTGCATGGGTGTTCAGGCCTCTGAGTTTCTTGGCTGGACCTACTGGACAGTAAGCCAGTTGCTGTGTAATTGGATTTAATCTATACTTGTTTTACCTGTACTTTACTCAAATGCAAGCTGCTTAAAGGAGCTGACTCATCTCTACACAAGCCCTTGTCCAGTGACTTAGTTTAACAGGGAAAGCCGAGTCCCCAGAACTCAGACCTGAAAATAGTCTGCTCATCTGGCATAAAGGTACATGCTCCTCTTCCTCAGTACACTAGAAACAGAGGAAGTTAAAATCAGCAAAGGAATAGTTGCAAAAGCAAACCCCAAATGTATTACTTTTATGTGTAATATTGTTGTTCACTGTACGACAACAAAGGAAATTGAATGCTAAGACATGGGGAAGTGCAACATCTGGGAAGACAAGCTTCTCTTTACTTTCTCTTTATTTATATAAATTTATAAATTTTTACCTTATATACATTTATTGAACATCACACTGGAATCAAATGTAAGAAAAAACAGCGTGGTTCACCACTCCTCTGGTTTACAGACAGCTGTGGAGATGTCCCCCCCTTAAGGAGCCTTCTCCTTATGTTTACCAGACAGGTTCTTCTTCTAGACATCAGTTCCGCTCATCAGACCGCTCAGTTCTTACCTTTGTGCACATCCTCAAAATTTAAGGAGCCCTCTCCTTATGTTTCCCAGACAGGTTCTTCTTCTAGACATCCGATCAGACCGCTCAGTTCTTACCTTTGTGCACATCCTCAAAATCATCAGCATTTAAATACTACCAAGCTTATTTTTAGGAATCATTCAAATCTGACTACCCAACTAGATGCCATATCTGTACAAAGCAGTCTTTGCTAACTTCAGATCTAAAACAATGCTGCTGCTGCAGACTGAAACCCCAATGACACTGAAATACTGTAACCTTTTCTAGTTCTAGTTTTTGCCCATCATCTCACCAAGCTTCAATCCAACGTTAGCCTTAAACAAGTAATCACTGCAGCTTCTGACTTAAGCAGAGCCAGTTATCTTCCTCTCAGCTATCAGCCCTAAAGCTAGTTCAGCTGACCCTGAGTGGACACTGCTCTACATCAACATCTTCTACTCCTAGCTTTCGTTGTAGCCACATTGTTGAACCTAGACAGACTGCTATCTTCCCTTTTGGACTCACACCTAGATAGGAATTACTTGCTATTAGTCACTTCTCTGTTCTCTACTCCTGATGAATATCCAAACTGTGTTGTTGCCTGACTGGAAGTGGATCCCGGCAGGCTGAAGCAAGGCGGTAGGCACGTTGGGCTCCAGCAGATCACCTGCTTTGGACTATCAGAGTACTGGTAGAACTGGTGATTACATCAGTCTTGATGGTTCAGATGGAACCTCATTGTTCATTGACACAATTTGAACCCTGGCTCTCATCCCCACCCTTTTTTTGGCTATGAAGTAGAGATAGATTTCAGCTTCATACTTAAAGCTATTCAGACAGGCTCTGCTGCTTCTATGTTGCTTAATTGATCCTTCTTAACTCAACCATAACTCTCATTTGCCAATCAATGTCTGCCTAAGCCTAATCCTAACCCTAACCCAAGGTCAGTGATCCCTGTAAAACTTGGCAATAACCATGTCTCTGGGTGACACCTTTGCAGGCCCCACTGTAAATCAACTTCTGCTGCTAGCATGAACCACCTTGACTCCAAACCTAATTCATTGTGTCCTCCCCAACAGTCCCACGCCTGACCTTAACCAAACAGTACCATGGCTAAATCCTACACCTAGTCCAGTGGCAAATTCTGGACGCATCCTCACTGCATGTCATCAGCCAGCCTCAGTTCCAAACCTAACCCTACCATTATCCTCAGAAGAATGGTTCCTGTCAGCCTCAGGCTTGAACCTGGCTAAATGGAGGTGTCCACCACCAGTCTTAATGCAGGCTGGTCATATTCATATCTCACTGGCCTGAAGCCAGCCATATTACTAGCCATCATTAAGGACAGCAACCTTAAGATGACCTCCACAATGATCTGTCTGTCATCCCACATCTTCCAGAATACCTTTTTTGACAGGTACTATGCTTGGAGAGATAGACAAAATGTATCAGAAGTAGGGGAAGCCTTAATTTCTTCAGTGGATAATTACACTACTTAAAATTTATGCGTGTGCATACTTTGAAAAGTCACAAAATACCAGTTTTAAATAAGACAATTTCTATGCAGGTGGAATAGGAAAATATGTCTAACAATAATGAAGAATCACACTGTGTATATTTCAAGCATATAATATATTATTTGTCTCTTCTTATCTACTAGTTTAACAGAAACCCAATATTCTGACAGCACTATTGGAAAAGTAGTCTTCTGGCCAATATTTAAAGGATAAATCCTGTCTATTTACTCTGAAATATGAAATGCTAAAGTACTTTTTGCCTGAACAGAACTGCTACAATTATCAGTAGTGGAGTATTGCCTACTGTAAGCACTTTGCAATATGAAAACCAAGGATGAAATGTAAAATTTGTTTGATCTAAATTGCTGCACTTCTTCAAGATGTAAGGAATATAAGCCATGGTTATAGTTATTATCTACTCCTTTAATTTATAATCAAATTTCACATCCAAAGACCTGCCATACTTAACCTGTAATACTTGTAGTTTTGACTGTCATCTTTGAATTCATGCACTTCATACATTTTTCTCTTAACTAATCAATGGGAAGCCATATACTGCACAAAAGCAGTATAAATATTATTTTTAAACCAATATTCTTAAATATGATAAATTTTTGACACTTACCTGAGGCATCTAAGTTAGGAGCCTTGTCAGCTCAGACTCCTACATTCAACGAAGAGACACAGACAACTTCAAAGAGCAATTCAGATGTAAGTTTGGATGAACCAAACTCTAAGGTGTCCCTTTTCTCTGTTAACTGGCTAGGAAGACTACTTGGACTAAATTTTCCTCAGATGCTTCAGTTATGTCCCTAATGATAGCTGGGCCTTAGTCCACACCATGTTTGAAGACTAAGTCATAGGTTTTAATGGACAATGTAATTAATATCTTTGCTTTTTAACTACTGTCTTCATTTTCACCTAGTGTTCTTGACCTAACAAAGATTGAATATTGACCAAGTATCAACATTTCAAGAGTAATATAGGAGCCAAAGTCCAATTTTAAAACATGATTTTAAAAAATCATAATTAATCCATTGCCTTGTTGTGAGACATAAGTTATCTTCAAAGATAAGACAGTTATATCTGCACAAAACCCTACAGCTAGCTCAGAAACTGAGAGAAGAATGGTCAGCCAGGATGGCATTGAAGGCAGACTGTGAGCTCTCTCAAGAAATCAGGAACATGAACACAAAAGCACCAGGCTAAAACAGTTATCCCACTACTTTATACCTAAGATACCTCATTTGTAGTTTGGGTATCTTTTCATAGTGCAGATTTAAGATGTGCAGAATTAATCTTAGGATGCAAAAGCTTCCAGGCAACTTTGGAAAGCGTGCTTAAGTTCACATAAGAGAACCTTTTCCAGAATTAATTTTCTTGCAAATGGAAAAAACAAAAAGAAAGAAAAGGTAGATATTCCATATGCAGGCAATTGCTTGGTAGGAAAACTATAGCCCTTGTGATTTCAGAGATGCTCTGTGCTAAATAAATGTCTACAGAAGCTACCAGCAAGTGCTTTCATTTTCATAATGGCACAAGATGCAGCCATGATGTCTTAATTGAGTACGTAAGTCAATCCCTTGAGAAGCCATGAAAATTTTGGGAAAGACACTACAATTTCTGCTAACCTTTACATCCAGAAATTAGGTGGGGTAAGTTTAAAAAAAATCCAGAAGGGAAGAAAGGGGACAGACAGAGAGACCTGCAGAGATAAATAAAATAATCATCAGCAAAGGAATCTGAAGGAAACACCTTCTTTGAGGTTTCATAATAAACTGATAGTGAATCTTTTGTATATCAATGGCAGGAACAGCCTTTTCTATATCAAGAAATTTCATAATGCGTCACAGACTTTATATTTGGAAAGCAGCAAGAAGTCAGAAAAGATCTGAATAAGCTGATATAAATTGTCAGAGCGCAGAAAGTACTGATGTTCATGGAACTGCTTTCCTCCTCAGTCCAAATGAAAGCAAATGCACTAAGAAAGCAATGCTTGACAAGCTTGGTGTGTAAGCCTTTAGCAGCAATATTCTTCACAAAACTCGTTTCTTAAATTCAGGGCAATACCTAAGGTACTTGCTGTGAGATCTCTTAGCCAGAACCAGCACTACTGTGTTGGTGCAACAAATCTGCTTTGAATGAAAAATAATTGGATTATTTAAAATACTACCACTAATAATCTTTATTTAAGGTATTATTGTCTCCACATAACATCATTTCCTCTATATAGTTTCACTTAAAAAGCTTCTAGCAATGAACATCAGAGGTAAGAAATCTCTGTATTATTAAAATATTTTTACCATATAATAAAAATATCTTTTCCTTGGTTTAGTAATTCCTGACACAATAAATATTTTGAAATCAACACTTGATATTTATCAGTTTTTCATTCCTCATCAAGTTATCTAAAGCTTCTGTTACACACTGCTCCTTCTCCCCATATGCCTTTTCAGAATTTTCTGCATTTGGTGAAAAATTCTGTACATTTTTCTTAGACAAATTCCATTTCCTCTCCCCTTGGCAGATTTTTAAACTAAGGGAAATAATAATAAAATTGATTATTATTATTGACTATATTATTATGAACTATAATATTGATTACAGTTCAATAACTCAAATAATTTCTAAGATGGTTTTAATATTTAAACATTTTACTTAAAGTAACTTTTTCCTATTACTTTCCTACTGGAAATGAAAGTAAAGAATTATTTGATCACAGAATATTGGTATGGCAACAACATTCTCCATTACTTTGCAGACTGAGAAAAAAGTGAAAACTATTTTTACAAAGCACCAAACAACATATGTGAGGGTTTATTGCTTCCCAGTACTAAACTATATCACAATTCCACAAGTTAAATTAACTAAATAATGATCTATATGTAACTACAGTTATCTTCTGGAAGAACTATCTAGGTGAGATGACTGTCTATTTTGATTATATCTTCTGTATTTTTCCTCCTTGACATTTGAGGTCACATGAAAATGAAAATTTCTAGACTTATAAAAAAACATCTCCACATTTTTCTCTATACAAATTCCATTATATGCATATACATATGAGGGACATGGTTTAGTGGTAACTTGGCAGTGCTATGTTAACAGTTAGACTTGATGATCTTAAAGGTCTCTTCCAAGCAAAACAATTCTATGATTTCATCCAGTATAGACATACACCAGAAAATAAGCATATTCTGTAGAAGGAAACGTAATTTTACTTCCTCAATTAGTTTCATTTACCTTAAAGTTCTCCACTACTATACATGTGCTAAGAAATATTCTCAAATTATTTTATTTTGGTTTTAATTTATTCTTTTCAATAGTGCATCTTTACAATTACCTCATGGGAATTCTCAATGCTGACATACAGCAAAGCAAGTCAAGTTATTTAATTTTAACTACTCTTACAGCTATGCTTTGACAAGCAACACATTTGAGAAAGCAGTGTGTTAGGTTTGAAAGCACTGGATCTGGATCTATCAAAAAAAACTTACCGTGCATCACTGGTAGACTTGGTTTAGGTTCTTCAAGACGCTCTACAATAGTGTTCACTAAAATAGCACAGAAGTAAAAAATAATGTAAATGTATTATAGGAAATAATAACAGACGTACAGATTCATAAATGTTGCAATATTTGATCATAATTATAAATTACACCATTTTTGGTGTATTACTGCAAACAAATAGTTTACAAAGTAAAAATTGGCCCTTCACAACATAAAAGTACATCTCTAGATATGGTTAACATTTTTAATACTTCCAGAACCAGGACAAGAAACTAGTAATTGCATTGCCACTGAACGGGAATATGGACCTGCACTAGTCAGATCATCTCTTTGGTCATGTCTATACGTTGTGTTTGTGGCCCAGGGAAGAAGTCAAAAGCTACTTAGGCACGTCTAGCTTGATCAACACTTGTATTCCCTGAAGAGAATCTGCTGTATCCACACTTCATATCATTTAGTGCAAACCCTATATATAACATGCATAGTGTAGCCGTGGAGGGAATTATCACTTCAATTCTACATTCCTCGCATCAGCTTGAGGCCTAGGAGCAAATTCACATGACCAGATCCAGTTGAGAAGCCATACGGCCATACTATTTCTCCTCAAACTAACTTACTCTCTGCTGTTAGATTCAGTTCAAGCCAATGTTTCAGCTAATAAAGCAAGACTGTTTCAAAACTGGAATTAGAATTAATCTGGCTGTCATCATCTATTGCAATAAATTTATTTCGAGTCATTGCAACTGCAGCATCAACTATATGGGTGTTTGCAGTGCAGGACTGAATCCCCAAACCCTATTGTCAGGTTTAGCTATTTGTAATGGCCTTCAGATGCTAAAGCATTGCACAGACAAAACTACCAGAATTCTTAAACTTCTTTGAACATCTGTATCTTAACTCATAAATTAATCAATTTTGTCTGCTCTCTCAATATTTTCCCTTCTGTGAATTTGCAGCCCAAGGACAGTCAAGCGTGAAAAAACAATTAAAATTACACTTCATAAAGCAAACCCAAAAGTTGTTTACATAACACAAAACAGAGTTGCCATATTTCACATTTCTTCACTACTCAAGCAATCAGCTTTGTACATTAGAAGTCCTTACAGCTGCGAAATATGAACTTTGAAATCATGGCATAGAAACAGGTAGGCACCCTGCAAAACACAAATAAATTGCCAGTCAAGTCACTTGCCAGTGACTTGATTTCAGTATTTAGCTAGTAAAGTTGGTGTGTGTATTTTTTAATGAATTGTAACATTTGTTTCAGCCAAGCTGCTGAAATCAGAAACAAAAGTGCTCTTTCTTACAGTTTGTACTTACCGTCATATGGTTTAATGTTTGCAACTGATCTTGTGGACAATTCTTTTATCTAAAAGAGAAAAGACAGATACATGAAGTTACAAAGTAAATTATTAATATCTGGGAATGCCCAACTCCCTGCTCCTCGCAGGACTATCTAAAACTAAACCATATGACTAAGAGTGCTGACGAGATGCTCCTCAAACTGTGATAGGCTTGGTGCTGTGACCACTTCCTTGGGGAGTCTGTTTCAGTGACCGACCACTCTCTCTGTGAAGAACCTTTTCCTAATGTCCGACCCGAACTTCCTCAACACAGTTTCATTCCATTTCCTCATGTCCTGTTGCTGGTCATCAGAGAGATGAGACCACCACCCTCCCTTCCGCTGCCCACTTGAGGAAGATGTAAACTGCAATGAGGCCACCCCTCAGCCTTTTCTTCTCCAAGCTGAACAAGCCAAGTGACCTCAGCTGCTCCTCTGAAGCCTTGCCCTTGAGACCTTTCACCATCTTGGTTGCCCTCTTCTGGACACACTTTAATAGTCTGATGTCCTTCTTGTATTGAGGCACCCAAAACTACACAGGGTACTCAAGGGGGGGCCACATCAGTGCAGTGCAGAGTGGGACAATGTCCTCCCTTGACCAGCTAGCGATGCTGTGCTTGATGCACTCCAAGATACAGTTGGGCCTTTTGGCTGCCAGGGCACACTGCTGACTCATATTCAACTTGCCATCAACCCAAATCCCCAGATCTCTTTCTACAGGGCTGCTCTCCAGCCTCTTGACCCCCAATTTGTAAGTATCATCAGGATTATACACTTGGGACTGTGTAATCTGGGACTTGCTCTTGTTAAATTTCATATGGTAATAATTTAGTTAATTATTCTCACAGTGATAAAAATGATATTTTATTTTTAGTGTGAGAAGTCATGTATTTTCAGACTTCGAACACTAGCTTTCATTATGACTATTTTATGGCAGATTAAATCCTGTTCACTATCAGAAATTTTTCATCTGCACAGGTCTTTGGTGACTGTGACCTAGTAACCTTCTAACTTGGTTTTGAACTTATTAAAAACATTTGGGCTATTAATCCTCTCCTTCTAAATTGTGTTTTAATTCCTGGTTTACATTCCTGTCTCTTTTCCAGATCTATTCTCATTTATGAACATAGTTTACAAAGTTTAACCAAAATACTACTACAGCAATACTACTACAAATTTGGAATATTAACTATGCAACCATATATACATCAAAGACCAAATGTTAGTAAAATGTTTCTCTATGTCCTATATTCACTGAAACAGCAGGTGATTCACAAAACAGACCTGCTTCTTTTGAGTTATAATCAGATCATTCTGCTCCTGAAGCCTCTGCCCCAATTCTTCTATCCTCCTCTTGTAAAAGGTGTTATTTTTATTCAGGTCTTCTCTCACTGATGATTTAAGTTTCTCGATCTGTGACAGCAGCTAGAAAGCAATCAGAAGAAAAGGAACTTGACACTAATATTATATAAAATATTTTAATGCTATAGACTTTAAAAAACAAGTGTCATGCTTAAATATTTTTAACATTTTTTTTTTTTTTGCAGCAAAAACATAATGTCTCCTGTGATTTCACTGGGACTTGTATATATTACAAAGCAGTTGTCTGGATCACTTTTTATGTACACAGGGAAGACTACCTAAATTGCAAAACAAAAAAAGGGACATACACACACGTTGCTGAGGTTGCCTAAAATAAGACTGCAGGAAAAAAAAGCATACAACTCTATAACAATGTTTTGGTTATAAATAGTGTCAAATACGGGTATTTTAAGGTGATGAGATGTGAATTTGCATGATAAACCTAATATATTAGCTCTGAACATAGAAGAAAGGGAACGATATTTTAGGTGCACCATCCCAAAAGTAATACTTACATTACTCCTCCCTTATTCTATTCTTGCACTGTATGTGGGTGTATCATTAACTACATCCTTTTTGGGGAATGTTCCATGGTTCCTCCCCACTGCTTCCTTGCCAGAGGAGGAGAAGCATTGGTCAGACCACTATGATCTGCTCAGTTCTTACATGGTCACGCAGATGAAAGGAAAATGAAAGGAAAAGAAGCAAGAGAAACAAAGCAGGAAAGAGATTAAAAGGAAATGCAGACATAAAAAAAAAATTGCTGAAAACAGCTTCCTAAACATATTGAAATTATCATTCTCTAGGCTGTCAGGTACAATTTGCTTTATATAAATGAAGCTAAAGTGCAGTTTATTTACAACTTTATAGACTTCAGATAAGAGAGATGCACGAAAATGCTTATACGTGGACTAATAAAAATTCAGGTTTTTAAAATGTTAATATTCAATTTCCATAAATAAGTTTACTTCAATGAAAACTAGAATTTTAGCTTGTTAGAAACGTGCAAACTGTATTTTCAGCATTCAACTACTGGCAGTACAAGAGAAAGCAATTTATTGGCCAATATTTTGGGCCAGCACATATTTGCCCCAGCCTTGACAAGAGGTTTTTGGCACTATAAATGTTGTCACAGTGCATGGGTAGAAGGGGAGAAAGTGACACTGCAGTAAAGATGCCTGCCCTTCAGCACTTCTCACTCAATTAAGTACAAACATGGATGCACTGTGATGGGTAATCACAATTAAATGAGCACTTGGAGTTAAGTGACAGTTACTGTCACATCTCCAATATTCCCCATGTGAAGGGGACTAAAAAGTATTGTAAATGCTTGGGTATGGCTGCTGCTCTCTCCATTCTTTCCATACTTGCCATTCTATTTGGCCCATCACCTGCTTTTCCAAGCAGATTACAAGACTGAAGATTTTGCTCCCATAGAATTTGCACTAAATTCTAAAAAACAGCTTCTTACACCATCACAAGATGCTAACAAGATGCAAATATCAATGTATTTTATGGAAACACTCAAAGGCAAAACTATGAGAGTCTGACTGACAAATAGGCTCCTGGTCTCTCCGTCTCTGAGGCTGTAAAACTTAACGGTGGCCAGAGCATTCCCGGGCACTGGAATTTGCTCCTGGCACACTGTTACCCTGCACCAACTAACATTCTCCAAAACAACGTTCAGGCACAGTTTGGGATCATTCCCAACAGCCTGCAGTGAGCCTGTTTTTGGAGGACAGAGCATGAAGCACAGATGAGATGTTCCGGGGGGATTTAATTTAGCTGCATGGGCGTTCAGGCCTCTGAGTTTCTTGGCTGGACCTACTGGACAGTAAGCCAGTTGCTGTGTAATTGGATTTAATCTATACTTGTTTTACCTGTACTTTACTCAAATGCAAGCTGCTTAAAGGAGCTGACTCATCTCTACACAAGCCCTTGTCCAGTGACTTAGTTTAACAGGGAAAGCCGAGTCCCCAGAACTCAGACCTGAAAATAGTCTGCTCGTCTGGCATAAAGGTACATGCTCCTCTTCCTCAGTACACTAGAAACAGAGGAAGTTAAAATCAGCAAAGGAATAGTTGCAAAAGCAAACCCCAAATGTATTACTTTTATGTGTAATATTGTTGTTCACTGTACGACAACAAAGGAAATTGAATGCTAAGACATGGGGAAGTGCAACATCTGGGAAGACAAGCTTCTCTTTACTTTCTCTTTATTTATATAAATCTATAAATTTTTACCTTATATACATTTATTGAACATCACACTGGAATCAAATGTAAGAAAAAACAGCGTGGTTCACCACTCCTCTGGTTTACAGACAGCTGTGGAGATGTCCCCCCTTAAGGAGCCCTCTCCTTATGTTTCCCAGACAGGTTCTTCTTCTAGACATCCGATCAGACCGCTCAGTTCTTACCTTTGTGCACATCCTCAAAATCATCAGCATTTAAATACTACCAAGCTTATTTTTAGGAATCATTCAAATCTGACTACCCAACTAGATGCCATATCTGTACAAAGCAGTCTTTGCTAACTTCAGATCTAAAACAATGCTGCTGCTGCAGACTGAAACCCCAACGACTCTGAAATACTGTAACCTTTTCTAGTTGTTCTAGTTTTTGCCCATCTTCTCACCAAGCTTCAATCCAACGTTAGCCTTAAACAAGTAATCACTGCAGCTTCTGACTTAAGCAGAGCCAGTTATCTTCCTCTCAGCTATCAGCCCTAAAGCTAGTTCAGCTGACCCTGAGTGGACACTGCTCTACATCAACATCTTCTACTCCTAGCTTTCGTTGTAGCCACATTGTTGAACCTAGACAGACTGCTATCTTCCCTTTTGGACTCACACCTAGATAGGAATTACTTGCTATTAGTCACTTCTCTGTTCTCTACTCCTGATGAATATCCAAACTGTGTTGTTGCCTGACTGGAAGTGGATCCCGGCAGGCTGAAGCAAGGCGGTAGGCACGTTGGGCTCCAGCAGATCACCTGCTTTGGACTATCAGAGTACTGGTAGAACTGGTGATTACATCAGTCTTGATGGTTCAGATGGAACCTCATTGTTCATTGACACAATTTGAACCCTGGCTCTCATCCCCACCCTTTTTTTGGCTATGAAGTAGAGATAGATTTCAGCTTCATACTTAAAGCTATTCAGACAGGCTCTGCTGCTTCTATGTTGCTTAATTGATCCTTCTTAACTCAACCATAACTCTCATTTGCCAATCAATGTCTGCCTAAGCCTAATCCTAACCCTAACCCAAGGTCAGTGATCCCTGTAAAACTTGGCAATAACCATGTCTCTGGGTGACACCTTTGCAGGCCCCACTGTAAATCAACTTCTGCTGCTAGCATGAACCACCTTGACTCCAAACCTAATTCATTGTGTCCTCCCCAACAGTCCCACGCCTGACCTTAACCAAACAGTACCATGGCTAAATCCTACACCTAGTCCAGTGGCAAATTCTGGACGCATCCTCACTGCATGTCATCAGCCAGCCTCAGTTCCAAACCTAACCCTACCATTATCCTCAGAAGAATGGTTCCTGTCAGCCTCAGGCTTGAACCTGGCTAAATGGAGGTGTCCACCACCAGTCTTAATGCAGGCTGGTCATATTCATATCTCACTGGCCTGAAGCCAGCCATATTACTAGCCATCATTAAGGACAGCAACCTTAAGATGACCTCCACAATGATCTGTCTGTCATCCCACATCTTCCAGAATACCTTTTTTGACAGGTACTATGCTTGGAGAGATAGACAAAATGTATCAGAAGTAGGGGAAGCCTTAATTTCTTCAGTGGATAATTACACTACTTAAAATTTATGCGTGTGCATACTTTGAAAAGTCACAAAATACCAGTTTTAAATAAGACAATTTCTATGCAGGTGGAATAGGAAAATATGTCTAACAATAATGAAGAATCACACTGTGTATATTTCAAGCATATAATATATTATTTGTCTCTTCTTATCTACTAGTTTAACAGAAACCCAATATTCTGACAGCACTATTGGAAAAGTAGTCTTCTGGCCAATATTTAAAGGATAAATCCTGTCTATTTACTCTGAAATATGAAATGCTAAAGTACTTTTTGCCTGAACAGAACTGCTACAATTATCAGTAGTGGAGTATTGCCTACTGTAAGCACTTTGCAATATGAAAACCAAGGATGAAATGTAAAATTTGTTTGATCTAAATTGCTGCACTTCTTCAAGATGTAAGGAATATAAGCCATGGTTATAGTTATTATCTACTCCTTTAATTTATAATCAAATTTCACATCCAAAGACCTGCCATACTTAACCTGTAATACTTGTAGTTTTGACTGTCATCTTTGAATTCATGCACTTCATACATTTTTCTCTTAACTAATCAATGGGAAGCCATATACTGCACAAAAGCAGTATAAATATTATTTTTAAACCAATATTCTTAAATATGATAAATTTTTGACACTTACCTGAGGCATCTAAGTTAGGAGCCTTGTCAGCTCAGACTCCTACATTCAACGAAGAGACACAGACAACTTCAAAGAGCAATTCAGATGTAAGTTTGGATGAACCAAACTCTAAGGTGTCCCTTTTCTCTGTTAACTGGCTAGGAAGACTACTTGGACTAAATTTTCCTCAGATGCTTCAGTTATGTCCCTAATGATAGCTGGGCCTTAGTCCACACCATGTTTGAAGACTAAGTCATAGGTTTTAATGGACAATGTAATTAATATCTTTGCTTTTTAACTACTGTCTTCATTTTCACCTAGTGTTCTTGACCTAACAAAGATTGAATATTGACCAAGTATCAACATTTCAAGAGTAATATAGGAGCCAAAGTCCAATTTTAAAACATGATTTTAAAAAATCATAATTAATCCATTGCCTTGTTGTGAGACATAAGTTATCTTCAAAGATAAGACAGTTATATCTGCACAAAACCCTACAGCTAGCTCAGAAACTGAGAGAAGAATGGTCAGCCAGGATGGCATTGAAGGCAGACTGTGAGCTCTCTCAAGAAATCAGGAACATGAACACAAAAGCACCAGGCTAAAACAGTTATCCCACTACTTTATACCTAAGATACCTCATTTGTAGTTTGGGTATCTTTTCATAGTGCAGATTTAAGATGTGCAGAATTAATCTTAGGATGCAAAAGCTTCCAGGCAACTTTGGAAAGCGTGCTTAAGTTCACATAAGAGAACCTTTTCCAGAATTAATTTTCTTGCAAATGGAAAAAACAAAAAGAAAGAAAAGGTAGATATTCCATATGCAGGCAATTGCTTGGTAGGAAAACTATAGCCCTTGTGATTTCAGAGATGCTCTGTGCTAAATAAATGTCTACAGAAGCTACCAGCAAGTGCTTTCATTTTCATAATGGCACAAGATGCAGCCATGATGTCTTAATTGAGTACGTAAGTCAATCCCTTGAGAAGCCATGAAAATTTTGGGAAAGACACTACAATTTCTGCTAACCTTTACATCCAGAAATTAGGTGGGGTAAGTTTAAAAAAAATCCAGAAGGGAAGAAAGGGGACAGACAGAGAGACCTGCAGAGATAAATAAAATAATCATCAGCAAAGGAATCTGAAGGAAACACCTTCTTTGAGGTTTCATAATAAACTGATAGTGAATCTTTTGTATATCAATGGCAGGAACAGCCTTTTCTATATCAAGAAATTTCATAATGCGTCACAGACTTTATATTTGGAAAGCAGCAAGAAGTCAGAAAAGATCTGAATAAGCTGATATAAATTGTCAGAGCGCAGAAAGTACTGATGTTCATGGAACTGCTTTCCTCCTCAGTCCAAATGAAAGCAAATGCACTAAGAAAGCAATGCTTGACAAGCTTGGTGTGTAAGCCTTTAGCAGCAATATTCTTCACAAAACTCGTTTCTTAAATTCAGGGCAATACCTAAGGTACTTGCTGTGAGATCTCTTAGCCAGAACCAGCACTACTGTGTTGGTGCAACAAATCTGCTTTGAATGAAAAATAATTGGATTATTTAAAATACTACCACTAATAATCTTTATTTAAGGTATTATTGTCTCCACATAACATCATTTCCTCTATATAGTTTCACTTAAAAAGCTTCTAGCAATGAACATCAGAGGTAAGAAATCTCTGTATTATTAAAATATTTTTACCATATAATAAAAATATCTTTTCCTTGGTTTAGTAATTCCTGACACAATAAATATTTTGAAATCAACACTTGATATTTATCAGTTTTTCATTCCTCATCAAGTTATCTAAAGCTTCTGTTACACACTGCTCCTTCTCCCCATATGCCTTTTCAGAATTTTCTGCATTTGGTGAAAAATTCTGTACATTTTTCTTAGACAAATTCCATTTCCTCTCCCCTTGGCAGATTTTTAAACTAAGGGAAATAATAATAAAATTGATTATTATTATTGACTATATTATTATGAACTATAATATTGATTACAGTTCAATAACTCAAATAATTTCTAAGATGGTTTTAATATTTAAACATTTTACTTAAAGTAACTTTTTCCTATTACTTTCCTACTGGAAATGAAAGTAAAGAATTATTTGATCACAGAATATTGGTATGGCAACAACATTCTCCATTACTTTGCAGACTGAGAAAAAAGTGAAAACTATTTTTACAAAGCACCAAACAACATATGTGAGGGTTTATTGCTTCCCAGTACTAAACTATATCACAATTCCACAAGTTAAATTAACTAAATAATGATCTATATGTAACTACAGTTATCTTCTGGAAGAACTATCTAGGTGAGATGACTGTCTATTTTGATTATATCTTCTGTATTTTTCCTCCTTGACATTTGAGGTCACATGAAAATGAAAATTTCTAGACTTATAAAAAAACATCTCCACATTTTTCTCTATACAAATTCCATTATATGCATATACATATGAGGGACATGGTTTAGTGGTAACTTGGCAGTGCTATGTTAACAGTTAGACTTGATGATCTTAAAGGTCTCTTCCAAGCAAAACAATTCTATGATTTCATCCAGTATAGACATACACCAGAAAATAAGCATATTCTGTAGAAGGAAACGTAATTTTACTTCCTCAATTAGTTTCATTTACCTTAAAGTTCTCCACTACTATACATGTGCTAAGAAATATTCTCAAATTATTTTATTTTGGTTTTAATTTATTCTTTTCAATAGTGCATCTTTACAATTACCTCATGGGAATTCTCAATGCTGACATACAGCAAAGCAAGTCAAGTTATTTAATTTTAACTACTCTTACAGCTATGCTTTGACAAGCAACACATTTGAGAAAGCAGTGTGTTAGGTTTGAAAGCACTGGATCTGGATCTATCAAAAAAAACTTACCGTGCATCACTGGTAGACTTGGTTTAGGTTCTTCAAGACGCTCTACAATAGTGTTCACTAAAATAGCACAGAAGTAAAAAATAATGTAAATGTATTATAGGAAATAATAACAGACGTACAGATTCATAAATGTTGCAATATTTGATCATAATTATAAATTACACCATTTTTGGTGTATTACTGCAAACAAATAGTTTACAAAGTAAAAATTGGCCCTTCACAACATAAAAGTACATCTCTAGATATGGTTAACATTTTTAATACTTCCAGAACCAGGACAAGAAACTAGTAATTGCATTGCCACTGAACGGGAATATGGACCTGCACTAGTCAGATCATCTCTTTGGTCATGTCTATACGTTGTGTTTGTGGCCCAGGGAAGAAGTCAAAAGCTACTTAGGCACGTCTAGCTTGATCAACACTTGTATTCCCTGAAGAGAATCTGCTGTATCCACACTTCATATCATTTAGTGCAAACCCTATATATAACATGCATAGTGTAGCCGTGGAGGGAATTATCACTTCAATTCTACATTCCTCGCATCAGCTTGAGGCCTAGGAGCAAATTCACATGACCAGATCCAGTTGAGAAGCCATACGGCCATACTATTTCTCCTCAAACTAACTTACTCTCTGCTGTTAGATTCAGTTCAAGCCAATGTTTCAGCTAATAAAGCAAGACTGTTTCAAAACTGGAATTAGAATTAATCTGGCTGTCATCATCTATTGCAATAAATTTATTTCGAGTCATTGCAACTGCAGCATCAACTATATGGGTGTTTGCAGTGCAGGACTGAATCCCCAAACCCTATTGTCAGGTTTAGCTATTTGTAATGGCCTTCAGATGCTAAAGCATTGCACAGACAAAACTACCAGAATTCTTAAACTTCTTTGAACATCTGTATCTTAACTCATAAATTAATCAATTTTGTCTGCTCTCTCAATATTTTCCCTTCTGTGAATTTGCAGCCCAAGGACAGTCAAGCGTGAAAAAACAATTAAAATTACACTTCATAAAGCAAACCCAAAAGTTGTTTACATAACACAAAACAGAGTTGCCATATTTCACATTTCTTCACTACTCAAGCAATCAGCTTTGTACATTAGAAGTCCTTACAGCTGCGAAATATGAACTTTGAAATCATGGCATAGAAACAGGTAGGCACCCTGCAAAACACAAATAAATTGCCAGTCAAGTCACTTGCCAGTGACTTGATTTCAGTATTTAGCTAGTAAAGTTGGTGTGTGTATTTTTTAATGAATTGTAACATTTGTTTCAGCCAAGCTGCTGAAATCAGAAACAAAAGTGCTCTTTCTTACAGTTTGTACTTACCGTCATATGGTTTAATGTTTGCAACTGATCTTGTGGACAATTCTTTTATCTAAAAGAGAAAAGACAGATACATGAAGTTACAAAGTAAATTATTAATATCTGGGAATGCCCAACTCCCTGCTCCTCGCAGGACTATCTAAAACTAAACCATATGACTAAGAGTGCTGACGAGATGCTCCTCAAACTGTGATAGGCTTGGTGCTGTGACCACTTCCTTGGGGAGTCTGTTTCAGTGACCGACCACTCTCTCTGTGAAGAACCTTTTCCTAATGTCCGACCCGAACTTCCTCAACACAGTTTCATTCCATTTCCTCATGTCCTGTTGCTGGTCATCAGAGAGATGAGACCACCACCCTCCCTTCCGCTGCCCACTTGAGGAAGATGTAAACTGCAATGAGGCCACCCCTCAGCCTTTTCTTCTCCAAGCTGAACAAGCCAAGTGACCTCAGCTGCTCCTCTGAAGCCTTGCCCTTGAGACCTTTCACCATCTTGGTTGCCCTCTTCTGGACACACTTTAATAGTCTGATGTCCTTCTTGTATTGAGGCACCCAAAACTACACAGGGTACTCAAGGGGGGGCCACATCAGTGCAGTGCAGAGTGGGACAATGTCCTCCCTTGACCAGCTAGCGATGCTGTGCTTGATGCACTCCAAGATACAGTTGGGCCTTTTGGCTGCCAGGGCACACTGCTGACTCATATTCAACTTGCCATCAACCCAAATCCCCAGATCTCTTTCTACAGGGCTGCTCTCCAGCCTCTTGACCCCCAATTTGTAAGTATCATCAGGATTATACACTTGGGACTGTGTAATCTGGGACTTGCTCTTGTTAAATTTCATATGGTAATAATTTAGTTAATTATTCTCACAGTGATAAAAATGATATTTTATTTTTAGTGTGAGAAGTCATGTATTTTCAGACTTCGAACACTAGCTTTCATTATGACTATTTTATGGCAGATTAAATCCTGTTCACTATCAGAAATTTTTCATCTGCACAGGTCTTTGGTGACTGTGACCTAGTAACCTTCTAACTTGGTTTTGAACTTATTAAAAACATTTGGGCTATTAATCCTCTCCTTCTAAATTGTGTTTTAATTCCTGGTTTACATTCCTGTCTCTTTTCCAGATCTATTCTCATTTATGAACATAGTTTACAAAGTTTAACCAAAATACTACTACAGCAATACTACTACAAATTTGGAATATTAACTATGCAACCATATATACATCAAAGACCAAATGTTAGTAAAATGTTTCTCTATGTCCTATATTCACTGAAACAGCAGGTGATTCACAAAACAGACCTGCTTCTTTTGAGTTATAATCAGATCATTCTGCTCCTGAAGCCTCTGCCCCAATTCTTCTATCCTCCTCTTGTAAAAGGTGTTATTTTTATTCAGGTCTTCTCTCACTGATGATTTAAGTTTCTCGATCTGTGACAGCAGCTAGAAAGCAATCAGAAGAAAAGGAACTTGACACTAATATTATATAAAATATTTTAATGCTATAGACTTTAAAAAACAAGTGTCATGCTTAAATATTTTTAACATTTTTTTTTTTTTTGCAGCAAAAACATAATGTCTCCTGTGATTTCACTGGGACTTGTATATATTACAAAGCAGTTGTCTGGATCACTTTTTATGTACACAGGGAAGACTACCTAAATTGCAAAACAAAAAAAGGGACATACACACACGTTGCTGAGGTTGCCTAAAATAAGACTGCAGGAAAAAAAAGCATACAACTCTATAACAATGTTTTGGTTATAAATAGTGTCAAATACGGGTATTTTAAGGTGATGAGATGTGAATTTGCATGATAAACCTAATATATTAGCTCTGAACATAGAAGAAAGGGAACGATATTTTAGGTGCACCATCCCAAAAGTAATACTTACATTACTCCTCCCTTATTCTATTCTTGCACTGTATGTGGGTGTATCATTAACTACATCCTTTTTGGGGAATGTTCCATGGTTCCTCCCCACTGCTTCCTTGCCAGAGGAGGAGAAGCATTGGTCAGACCACTATGATCTGCTCAGTTCTTACATGGTCACGCAGATGAAAGGAAAATGAAAGGAAAAGAAGCAAGAGAAACAAAGCAGGAAAGAGATTAAAAGGAAATGCAGACATAAAAAAAAAATATCTGAGGAATAAAGCTTTGTATAGTAAAATATATAGACTGATGCAAAATAAAATGCCATGGTGTTTTTTTCCTGGAAAAGCTGAACAGATTCTGCGTTAGGAAGCTACAACAGAAAAAGCAGCAGAGAAGTGATAGAAAAGAAAAGATTGAGACGTATGCCATCAGTCCATGGTAGCAGAAGGTGCAGGGCAGATGAAAGCTACATGTTGGCAAGTTCTATCTCAACTATCCAGCATACCCAAATAACACAGAAAACACTGTATAATGCAGTGCTCACAGAATTAGTTGTAAGCTCTTCAAAAGAGAGATACAGTTCCAAGTGTCTGTCAGATTCTTAAATGATATATTCCGTTTCAACCCTGGCCTTAACTGAAATGTCAAGATCCCAGCGTAACAGAAATACAGAGATAACAAATGCATGTAAGAGGACACACTCTCAGAAACTCTTGAGATCTGGGCTTTCTAATCCAGCAGATGTATTACAGCATATGAAGAACTACTGAAAGGGTAAGAAAATAAGAAAAAAGTCTCCCTTTAGTTTAAATGGTTTGCCATGCCACTTACCAGGGATTTTTCTGTCTCATGGTCATGATGAAGGGCTTGTATTCTAGACGTCCACTTACTTTCCTGCATAAAGGAAATCAATATCAGTTCATGTTAATAACACATTACCGTTTAGTTTGACATACGCAGCTTTATTTCTTGTTAATAACACATTACCCCTTAGTTCAATAGATGCAGCTTTATTTTTCTAAACAAAGCACAAATTCTGAAAAGATTACTGATGATATGGAACACAAGTAACCCCATATTTAAGACCTAAAACAGTAATCAGTATGTTTTGTACATCCCAGTGTGGTTTTCTCACCAATCACTCTAGAAACTATGTATTTGTTCCTTAATTCGTATGTATAGTGACTGTAAGAGAGAAATACACAAGTATTTTGATACATCTCTGTGTATTAATAATATGAGTAGTAAGAGCAGGGTTTTTTTCCCCAAAGTAATGTCATTTCAGGCACTCAGTAACAATGTATTTTGCGCAATGATCATAAAGCAGTATTAATACACAGGTTTTAGAGTGAACTGAATTTCCTTTGATTAAGTAAAAACCACAAAGTAAAACTCCCTAAGTTTTCCAAATCTTTGAGCAGAAGTGACCAAAATTCTGGATGATACCAGCACTGCATAAAGACCTTCACATCCCAAGAACCATAAAATATATAACACACATCTCAAAGTGTCCAAAAAAACCAAACAAAAGAGTAAAAAGGTTTGTGGGCATTTCAAAAGGCCTCACAACTCATATTTTTTATAGGATCAGCCTGGACATGTAGGTGAGACTCGGAGCAATGCAGCAATCTTGGTCTCAGTGGCCCTTTCTCACCCAAGCTTTCCTATGGGTGGGACTTGGATTGTCCAACAGCTTTGCACTAGTACTACTATCCGTGCTGGTCAGATGATATAGACCTGGTACAGAGGTTACACCTGACAAGCTCAAGTGCTTCATATGAACTCAAAAGCCAAGGGCTGACAAATCCTGCCAGGAAGTGTCTTTAACATTTTTTTCTTGGAAAATTCCAATTTTTCCATAAGCGGTCTCACAGATCAGCAGACGTAAATGGTTTATTACAGCCTTCTGGAATTGAATTGCAGTCTTACTTGGTAAAGCTTACTATATTTAATAACAAAGAATAACAGGATATCAATAAATAAATATCAATGTGTTTATTTATTAAAGATAAGGGAAATAATTCCTTGGTTTCCATTACAGAGATTGTACTAAATAGCAGTTAATCTTTAAAAACATCTATGTTAGACATTGAGAAGGATGAGAATTTTACTTACAGATTTCAAATCCTACTCGGAAAGGTAAAAAAATTAAAAGAACACAAGTAGTCTGTCAAAAGCAAAACATTAAGTTACAGCGTTACCTGTTTTTCAAGAAGTTTAACCACATTGTGATAATCCTGAGGACTTTGAGGTTTCTCTTCTGTAAATTCTTGGCTGTCTTTCAGTGTCCCTAAATTGGATTTTTGTCGCATATTGGACCTTTGTAATTCTAACAGTTGCTAAAAAGCAGGGGGGAAAAAATGAAGATCCGAATATGTATACACTTTTTGTTTTATAAAACTGTCATTTAATACCAAATTTACTTTAAACATAACTACAGAGAAATTGTATTAGATGCTTCTCACATTTCTTACAAGTTCAGCATTTATCAAATTTCATATAATAATTAATACATACATCTGCCAGAAATATACCTTGCAAGTATACACATGAACTAGCAGCTACAAAATTGCTCTGCTAATGCCACAGGTAGTTGTTTTCTGACGCACTTATGCTTTCACAATTCTCTTTCTAGTCAAAACTCCAGAAAGCATTTCCAGATCATGTATTGAAAACACACACAGTTATACTGTCTGGACTATAATGCAGAGGTTAGTTCCCTCCATGCCAGTTATAAGAATATTAATGTAAGTATACCTAACAGACAGCAATAAGAACAATATCTACTAATATGTAAACAGGCACTCAAAAGTTGAGGAGTAAGAAAAACTGTCAGAGTTGCTGAAGGTGTAATTCATTCATCCAAAAACAATGCTATTTTAAAAAGAACTGAAATTATGTTTAAAAAGTACTGGTATACAAAGACACAATTATGGCTATCATCCAACCATTATTCTTAAAGTTTTGCAAGAAGACCTTTAAGATGACTACATCGCATTTCAAAGATGTGAAGTTCACCATCATCTACTGGAAGGGATTCACGCCTTAAAATGTTGGAAAATTTAAATCACTTACATTTTCTAATGTTGAATTTCTCGAAGATAACTCCTTAAGCTCTTTCATAAACATCTCTTTCACTTTTTCTATTTCATCAGCCAATTTCTCTTTTTCCTCCTCTTTCCATTTATGAAATGACTGTAGAATTTCTTCTTCTTTTGATTTTTGCTGTTCACATTCCTGAAATTATTTTAAAAACATTATTTGTTATTTTTCTCTACATGCAATACTAATTCAAGCACCCAAACTTCATGTGGGGAGCAGTCGTTTTCAACGGGCAACACTGTGCCATCAAAAAACATGAAAAAACCACCAGTTTCTGAAGAATTCTGGGGCAGCAAGCTATACATTTTGCTAGCAAACCAAGCAAGCTTCAAGAAGGTTTGGTAGTTTTTATTATTTCTCATTGAATAACACGTGAATGACCTTGGTTGTACCAAAGATCCACCTAGTTCAAGCATCCTCTTTCTCATAGAGTCCGTAAGTGTATAGGTAGGAAAGGATAGCAACGGAGCAAGTAAACATGTACCTTCTCCTTAATTGCCTCTGGCTGTTTTCAGCTCAGAGGACTTCCTCAGCCTGATACAGTTTTGTAAACTTGGTAACCTTGGATACATTTCTCCTCATACACCTCCTCCCTTGTGGCTGCATCAGCTTTTAGCAAGTGCAGCATCTTTTGCCAGCGGGCTCCACAGGTCTACTACAAGTTGCATGAAGAGTCAAGTACTTTTTTTTGAGGGGGTTGAATCTGGCTCCTGCTGGATTCATTTAATGGATGGATGCTAGGTCCTGCACTGGAAAATACAGTGAATGATTGACACCTCTTCACTCTATGCAACTTGTGACTTTGCAGTCTGTAGAATGGCTGAGCAAGTTATCAATCATCAGTCTGAAAAAGAGACAGCAGCTTGGTAGGAATGGGGGGTGAGATATTGATGTCTGTGAAGATCTTGAAGATCATCGAGTCCAATCATAAAGTTAACACTGCCACGTCCACCACTAAACCATGCCCCTAAGTGCCACATCTGCTTGTCTTTTAAATACCTCCAGGATATTAAATTCTATCATATCCTTTTTGAGATGAAGAGACTAGACCTACACACAGTATTTAGGCTGTGGCTTGCACAGTGATTTTTCAAATAATTTGTAATATTTTATTTTCTTTTCTAGCTGCTACTAACCACCGGGCTGACATTTGCCCAGAACTATGTATCACAATGTTAAGATGTTGCCCTTCAGTAATAACACTCAGCTCAGAACCCATCGTTTTGAAGATGAAGTTAGAATTATTTTTTCCTCACGCACATTTATTCCACTTTATCTGTTAAATTACTTTTGCCATTCCTTTACCTACTCACTAATTTTTGCCCAGTCCTCAATTTGTTCAAACTCCTGCATTTCACTGTCCAGAATATATATATTTTTAGGCAAGCCTTACATCTTTCCACCACAGCACTCACTCTGATTTTGTTCCCTGACTAACTATAACAAGCAATCACTGTACACTTATAAAGAACGATATCTTCTGTATCCCCTTTCACCTCAAAGGAGTAGAAGGGACCAAGAATTGGAAGCATGACAGTTTTTATCCAAATTCCCTCCAATAGTGGTTCTTCTAAAAAAAACACAGGGGAAAGATCTGCTTTTTCAATCAAAAGACAACAACGTATTGATACCTGAATTGACAGTGGGTGTCAGTCATGGCACACAAACTGCAACCACTCACACTTCACATTTCTATCTCAGAAACATAGAATTGCCTAGGTTGGAAGGGACCTTGCAGATCATCCAGTCCAACCATCAACCTAACACCGACAAAAACCATCACTAAACCAAATCTCTAAGCACGAGGTCTACCCGTCTTTTAAATACCTCCAGGGATGGTGACTCAACCACTTCCCTGGGCAGCCTGTTCCAATGCTTGGCAACCCTTTCACTGTAAAAATTTCTAAAATTTTCTATACCTCCCCTGGTGGAACTTGAGGCTGTTTCCTCTGGTCCTATCGCCTGTGATTTAGGAGAAGAGACCAATCCCCACCTCGCTACAACCTCCTTTCAGGTAGCTGTAGAGAGCAATAAGATCTCCCCTCAGCCTCCTGTTCTCCAGGCTGAACAACCCCAGCTCCCTCAGTCACTCCTCAAAAGTCTTGTTCTCCAGATCCCTCAACGGCTTCATTGCCCTTCTCTGGACACACTCCAGCACCTCAATGTCTTTCTTGTAGTGAGGGGCCCAAAACAGTCCTTGAGGTGGGACCTCACCACTGCCAAGTACAGCGGGACAATCTTCCATGATATCCTAGAAAAACACAAAAGCTTTGAAAGCTTCTTGTTGTGTAACACTGCAGGCTGTAGCTTCAGGACATTTCAGGCAGTCCCCTTCTGGTTAGGAGTCTCAGCTAAGACAAGTGACTTCAAAATAGGCCCCTAAGGCACCAAAAAATCTATCCTGCACTGTTATGAATGCTCCAAGTTCCATCTCATAAGAAAAGCAATGCTTCAGGGGCAAGAAAAATATGTTATAGATGTACCTCTCAAAAACAAGGCACAGAATGAATGAGTAGGAAACCCAGCAGATCTCCACAAGGGGCCAAGGTCCATTATTCTGATAGCACTTGCACTCCTTAAGTGAAACTCTACCCACGCTCTTCATTTGCTCATTCAGTACTTTTGAAAATGGAAACAAATATACAGGAAGCTGAATGGTCCCAAGAAAATGGAAACAAGAGGACCAAAGGAAGGAGACTTCAAAGCTGTGTTCAAGGAAATATACACTGGGTGTTTTACAGAAGATCAGGTATTCCTCTGAAAACAAGGAAGAAAATAATTAACGATAGCCAAGTTTTGTTTATTCCCTTTAAATTCACAATGTAGTGCTTGCTTCCAAATGTAACAGTTGGGTTTATATTTGAAGGTTCTCAAACTCCACTAGGAAAGCCATTTAGAAGTTGTGAAGACTGGGAGAAGGTTCTAAAAGGTTATGTGAAGAACCACAAAACACTGCTTTTGAACATGATACAGGGCAAACTGCAACACAAAGATCAGTGTTTCACTCAATCATTGGAGGTGTTTTGTCTCACCAAGAATTCGCTCCTCAAATTGAACTGCAAAGCCCATCCCTTATTTCATTAAATAGTGAATTATCTGATTGTATTTACTTAAACAGAAATGAAAACTCTGAGATGATTTGAAACTACCAAGCTTTTTAAAAAAATAAAAAATTAAACAGGTAGCTCAGAGATTCTTTTTTCTCTTTATGAGCCAGTAAACATACTTACAAGATTCAGTATCATCCTACGCAAATCCTTGCATGTGATTACAAACAGGTAATTACTACTTTTAAATCATTCTGGTTTAAGGTCTTTTTATTCACTCAGTAGTAGCTAAGACTTCTTTCTGCTTTGATTCTCTGGTCAGCCAAATCCTAAGGATTTAAAGACTCGCAGATTCATGGATTTGACAGAGTTGGAAGGGACCTCTAGAGACCATCTAGTCCAGCTCCCCTGCTAAAGCCAACACACAAGTTCTAGGTTGCTTTGCTTCTTCTCAATCTCTCTTCCTTGAACTGCTTTACACCTCTGTTACACAGTAAAGTTCTCCACAGAAAAGAATAAATCCTACTCAGTTTATAAAATCACATGTAAAATCACAGTCATAGCTAAGGAATGCTTAATCATCACAAAATACCATAATGTCAAAAATAGCTTGTATGTCACCACAGCAAGGCAATTTTATCTGCTTCAGTAACAAGCCACACATCTTATGAATTGACAAGTGCCAACAGAAGTCTCAAGTATTCATTTAAAATATGTCTAAAATGAAAGTAAGGAGAAAGTGGGTGTTCAAAACTGCGGGAGGCAAGGAAGGGCTATGCTCTAATGCCCAAATAGAGAGGCAAGCTGTAGATATATTTTTGTTCTTTTCCAGTTACAAAATTAATGAACACAGTCCAAAGTACTAATTCCTCTGTAAAAATTTCTAAAATTTTCTATACCTCCCCTGGTGGAACTTGAGGCTGTTTCCTCTGGTCCTATCGCCTGTGATTTAGGAGAAGAGACCAATCCCCACCTCGCTACAACCTCCTTTCAGGTAGCTGTAGAGAGCAATAAGATCTCCCCTCAGCCTCCTGTTCTCCAGGCTGAACAACCCCAGCTCCCTCAGTCACTCCTCAAAAGTCTTGTTCTCCAGATCCCTCAACGGCTTCATTGCCCTTCTCTGGACACACTCCAGCACCTCAATGTCTTTCTTGTAGTGAGGGGCCCAAAACAGTCCTTGAGGTGGGACCTCACCACTGCCAAGTACAGCGGGACAATCTTCCATGATATCCTAGAAAAACACAAAAGCTTTGAAAGCTTCTTGTTGTGTAACACTGCAGGCTGTAGCTTCAGGACATTTCAGGCAGTCCCCTTCTGGTTAGGAGTCTCAGCTAAGACAAGTGACTTCAAAATAGGCCCCTAAGGCACCAAAAAATCTATCCTGCACTGTTATGAATGCTCCAAGTTCCATCTCATAAGAAAAGCAATGCTTCAGGGGCAAGAAAAATATGTTATAGATGTACCTCTCAAAAACAAGGCACAGAATGAATGAGTAGGAAACCCAGCAGATCTCCACAAGGGGCCAAGGTCCATTATTCTGATAGCACTTGCACTCCTTAAGTGAAACTCTACCCACGCTCTTCATTTGCTCATTCAGTACTTTTGAAAATGGAAACAAATATACAGGAAGCTGAATGGTCCCAAGAAAATGGAAACAAGAGGACCAAAGGAAGGAGACTTCAAAGCTGTGTTCAAGGAAATATACACTGGGTGTTTTACAGAAGATCAGGTATTCCTCTGAAAACAAGGAAGAAAATAATTAACGATAGCCAAGTTTTGTTTATTCCCTTTAAATTCACAATGTAGTGCTTGCTTCCAAATGTAACAGTTGGGTTTATATTTGAAGGTTCTCAAACTCCACTAGGAAAGCCATTTAGAAGTTGTGAAGACTGGGAGAAGGTTCTAAAAGGTTATGTGAAGAACCACAAAACACTGCTTTTGAACATGATACAGGGCAAACTGCAACACAAAGATCAGTGTTTCACTCAATCATTGGAGGTGTTTTGTCTCACCAAGAATTCGCTCCTCAAATTGAACTGCAAAGCCCATCCCTTATTTCATTAAATAGTGAATTATCTGATTGTATTTACTTAAACAGAAATGAAAACTCTGAGATGATTTGAAACTACCAAGCTTTTTAAAAAAATAAAAAATTAAACAGGTAGCTCAGAGATTCTTTTTTCTCTTTATGAGCCAGTAAACATACTTACAAGATTCAGTATCATCCTACGCAAATCCTTGCATGTGATTACAAACAGGTAATTACTACTTTTAAATCATTCTGGTTTAAGGTCTTTTTATTCACTCAGTAGTAGCTAAGACTTCTTTCTGCTTTGATTCTCTGGTCAGCCAAATCCTAAGGATTTAAAGACTCGCAGATTCATGGATTTGACAGAGTTGGAAGGGACCTCTAGAGACCATCTAGTCCAGCTCCCCTGCTAAAGCCAACACACAAGTTCTAGGTTGCTTTGCTTCTTCTCAATCTCTCTTCCTTGAACTGCTTTACACCTCTGTTACACAGTAAAGTTCTCCACAGAAAAGAATAAATCCTACTCAGTTTATAAAATCACATGTAAAATCACAGTCATAGCTAAGGAATGCTTAATCATCACAAAATACCATAATGTCAAAAATAGCTTGTATGTCACCACAGCAAGGCAATTTTATCTGCTTCAGTAACAAGCCACACATCTTATGAATTGACAAGTGCCAACAGAAGTCTCAAGTATTCATTTAAAATATGTCTAAAATGAAAGTAAGGAGAAAGTGGGTGTTCAAAACTGCGGGAGGCAAGGAAGGGCTATGCTCTAATGCCCAAATAGAGAGGCAAGCTGTAGATATATTTTTGTTCTTTTCCAGTTACAAAATTAATGAACACAGTCCAAAGTACTAATTCCTTTGAACTTACTATGTATTACCTTAGAAAACCTGACCACATTAGCCTGTTGTTCAGCCTCTAACTGGGACTTGGTGAGCTGCAACTGCTCCTTCAGTTTATCAATCTCATCCTGCAATTTGTCTGTCTTCGCTTTCCTCTTCTGTTCTGTTTGAAAGAAACACAGAGTTTAAATATGTCTGTTGTAATTTCTGGAAACATGATACTTACTGCAAATGTGTTTCTATAGCATTTCTATCTTGTGAAGCATGATTCACATAGACCATTTCCCTTCCTACTATAAGTCTCCAAAGATGCTTTTAAATACGTATGTTCTCTGGACCACTAACATCCTCAAAGACTGAAAAATATCAATAATACTGACATGTGAAATAGTTCATAAAATATTTACAAGAAAAAGTATTATATAATCTAACTTCAAAGGAATCTAAGCAGCACAGATTCAAAAAAAGATATATGAAGGACAAAGTGAACCTTAATGATTCAATTCTGTTAGGTTTAATTTATTCTAAGTAACTTTAGTAAGGAGTCCATTTGGAATACAACCTATTATTTATCTGGAATGAGTCAGGAGGATTGTCACTGTAAAAAACATTTTACAAATATGCAAAAATTGTAACAATTTTTAATCTTGAAACATATCAATTTACCCAGGAATTACTAGGCTTTCCATCATTTGGGACTCTGAGCACAATGCAAAATATTATTTCCCTCATGCAGCCATTTCAGACTGTTTATACAATAATTAGGTAAACTGGTTCTGCAGCTTCTTCCACTATTATTTTTATCAAGTACAAAGTGGAGAAGAGCTTCTTTCTTCTTCCAATACATTAATGTGTCCTCAGACACCTACCCAGGCCTCTCTTACTTTTCCTGCTGTTTTATTTGCCTTACTAGTCACAGTTCAGACCTCATCAGATTCTTCCCACTCTTTCTCCTCCCAAACGCTCTTTTTTCCTAACTCATTTCTAATCACTGCCATTTATAAATACTTGTTAGTCCTTAGCAATAAATCATAAGCATGATTTATGATCATGCTCAGGAAGGAGATAATTTAGAGATGAAAGAAACAAACATTGAGAGCAATGTTTTTCAAAACGTACTTAAGTCAGTGGTATAGTAACCAAGATTATCGTAGACACGGGCAGTCAGATAAGTCTTGAAAGTTTCTTTTTCTCACTATATTTTACAGTCGGTTTAGTTCAGGTGATACTGATCCTATTCACACGGATTTCAGGTGAGCTGAATCATTTCTGTACTGATAACTCCTATCCAACCTGTTCATTTAACCCACACGTGCCTGAAGAGAAACTGTGCTCTGAACTCTGCTACTGAATATTCAGTGGGAATGCTAATTTGAAAAAGGTACTGTAAATTGTACTGCATACAATTTTTTGTTCCTTGTTTTTCAGAAACTGAAACATACGTTGCCCAATATATTTTATCAGGCAGTGTTGCTTGCATTCACAAATCTGTATCTGCCACCTAAAAATGGAACATCAAAATCATTCCTCCCAGTTACACAAAATCATGGACTGCACATCCCCACTATCTTTACGCTTTTCTAAACCATCTCAATTTTTTGGATAACATTAAAGTACATACCCATCTGAGATTCTTCTGGATGACGCCTTTGCATGTGACTTTGTAAAAAGGAATAGTTCATAAAAGCCTTTTCACATAGCTGACACTAAAAAAAAAAAACAGATAAAAACATTTTAGTTATTATTAGTAGCATCTGTTTGGTAAGCATAGCACTTAAGGTTTTTAACAGGTTATTACATTTTGTCCAGATGTCAAAAGTAGGTAACTTTAATAAATTCCATTTCTCAAGAGTAATGATTACAATTCTCACAGTGCCAGATTTCTGTAAAATTATTAATACATTTGTGCTATATAATGCCTCTCAGTGATGGACACAGGCAAGAATCCCATTGTGCTAGGCACTGTACAAACTCTGAACAAAAAAGTCTCTGACAAAATAAATTTAAATTCAGATATAAACCACACATAAGAGATTAACATAAATAGGTAGAGAAGTATAAGGAAAAAGTAAGACAACACTATTCAGCAAAATACACGCCTGCTCCAGCCAACTAGCAGCTCAGGTATTTTAAGACTCTTGTAGCACAGCAAAAGACAGCACCATACATCCAGGAAAAAAAAAACACTAAAGATGGGTTTGAGTATACATCAGTGAGTTATAAGATCACAATACAAGAAGGATGATAGATATGTAAAAAGGTCAGACATTTCAACCAAAATAAGGTAACAATGCACCATTGCACCATTTTGTAAGAAAGGGTACATGCACACATGAGTATGCTACCTAGCATCCTTCTGGAGTGTAAGCTGTTTAAATTACTGTTCCTATAATTTACTTATTATTTTTGAATTCGAATTTTAAGCAATACTTTAAGTGAAATTTGGATCCCACTCATTTAAAAAGCTTTTTTGGTTCACCTTCAAAGTACATTCCACTGATGTTCAGAATATTAAAAACAGAGGAGTAGTACAGGGAGAGAAGCTATATCTACAGTTTTTGCACCGTACTGATAAGACTGAATCAAAGCCCCTAATTGCTTTAGGCAGGGCTGCCTATTACCCCTTTCTTTCAAATATTTTTTTTTCAAATAAATATATTAAATATATTTTAACAAACCACAAATACTCAGGTGAGTCCTTTTTCCTCATCAATGCGATACAACTGTAAGAGACTGGCTTAACAGATTCAAGACCTTTTCACCATAGTCAGATTCCCAGATTTCATCTCATATTTATAATACTGCCACTGATAGGTAGGTAGGCTATTAAATATGGGTATCTTTCAGCAAACACTAAAGCCATGAATTATTAAGACAAATTTTGTTGGACAAATGCAAAAATGTGCCAACATAAAACCAAAGCATTGCTGCCAACCGAGAGGGAGCTCACAGTGTAACAGATCACACATGATTTATGGAATGAAATTGGCTGTGAAATAATGTTATCCATTCAAGCACAAACTCCATGTCAGTTTGACTCGCTGGTAGTAAAAGAAAGCTCTTACTGCAGGAGACAGGATTAACAGAGGGAACACTTAGGTTTTGAATTACGCAACATTATTCTTGCAACCACTTTTCACAGTGTTAGACACAATGTGCACTTTATGCCTAAATTGTGCATGAGAATATAAGATTAAAAATTATTATTTAACATGAAATTTGTATTACTCAAATGAAGATGTTGACCAATAAGTCTTAAATTTATGACTTGTAGGTACCAGTAACATTTTATAGTAGTATTTAATGGTTGAACTTACATTGGTGGTGAGTTAAAGGCATTAAATCTGAATTCCAAAGCATGGTTACATTAGATAGAAAGTGTGCTTCCACTAAAAAAGGCAAATAACTATTTACAGGCTTGTTTGCTAAATAGCCATGATTTTAAAGGGATGAAACCTGAACTACCCTCTTAGGAACACCAGCAAAACCCCTATTAAAAACCCTGAGCTCACTTTTCCCCTGTGAACCTAAATAACTTCTAGAGACAAGTATTTACTAACAGAGAGGGAAAAAAAGGGGAAGGCAGATATTTACTTTATATGAAATTAAACTAGAAATAGGAAATAGCTTTCCACCTCTGCCTTATTGTAAATGCCACTGAATAAAAATTAATGATGAGCCAATATCACTACCATGTTCTTCAGCTTCCACTGAGACACGTTGTATCCTATAAATATTTCGGGAAAACTTGGTAATATTTAACTGGGAATCACAGTAAGAGAATTACTTAACTTTACACATAAAATTATGCATGCAATCAGTTTTCTTTTGCAACACAGGACAGACAAACTGCTCTATAAGTTGCATAAAGGCTTTTTAAAATAATTCAGCATCAGCAGCTTGTCCTTAAGATTAACACTCGAATGCATTGAGACAAGGTTCCCAGGAAGTCTACCATATGTATAGCTCTACTGATTGGGCATAAGGTATCTTTTCCCTTAGAGAAGCACTTGAGCCAACTTAGCTGATGTCTTAAAAGAAATTAAACTTAACTAAACTTAATCAACCAGCCTGCTGAAACTGGTATTATATTGTGGATAAGACTGTACATGCTATAAAAAAACTTGGTTCTGTACTGCAATGATTCCATGATAATTCAAATTTCAACAATCAGGACTGCTAGTATACGAAGGATTTTTTTTTTAAAAAGGAAGAAAAATGTAACTTTAAACATATAGACACAAAGAGCTAGCCTGAGATCATGTCAAGTCATGTCCAATGTATTCTCTATACTTCAGACTACACTTGAAGCTGCAGTCTGCATTCCTGACACCTGTTGAAAAATGTTGAAGCTGAAAAATATTTAAGTTTAACTATTACACGCAGAACACACAAACGCCTCTCAAAAAAACAATCAGTGCCATGACACAGAGAGTCAGAGCAGCAACGTTCTAAGGCTCTTAGGGAAGAGCTTTATGGAACAGATTGTTGTGGAGTTAGGGATGAGCTACCTCACTGAGGCTCTTTAACATCATGCGTGAGTCACTTCTGAGTCACACACAAAAGCAGAAACTTCATGCCTGGAGAACGTTACTGCAGCGAAGTGACAGCTCGCAGACAGGTAGGTTACTGCTTAGTACCAGTTCTGATGCATTTGCCCTCTGTGCTTTCTGACCGTGTAGCTGATACACAAGGAAAGACAGCAAGAGAAAGTAGTAACACGTTTATCACAGGTTTTGGGTGTCTGCATGTGGGTGTCTGACACTTCAGATGCATCAAAAGCGAGTCCAAGAATACAGAGCACTTGTTAGCAAAAAGAAGATTTGCTAAAGATGCTGTAGCACTCTCCCAAGCGCCTGTGAACACAGATGGGAAGGGAAGCAAGCAATGCACTCCTTTTGTAAGGTCACTGGTCCCCGCAGCTCCAGCCTTTCACCCAGCAAAGCAGGACCTGATGGCCTGGAGCTGGCAAGGTGCGGGTGAGCAGGCCACCAGGACCTCTCCTCTCACCTGGTGGTAGCTGGTTCGGGCTTCCAGCATCATCTGCTGTGTGCTGATCATCTTCTTCCTCCGGCGGCACTCCTCCTTGAGCCCTTTGATCTCCTGCAAGCGCTGGGCCACCTCCTTGCCCAGCTGGTCGCGCTGGGCCTGTGCCGCCCGCAGGGCCTCCTCCAAGCTGCCGAGCTGGGCACTGAGGTACTCCTGGGAGTGCAGCAGGTACTCGGTGCAGAGCTGGGCCAGGCGCAGCAGCTTGAGCAGCAGCGGGTCGGCGGGGCCCTGGCAGTGGGGGCAGCGCTCCCGCTCGGCGCTGCAGAAGGTGACGTGCTCCAGGTGCTCCTGCAGGACGCCCACGTCCCCCTCCCGCGACACCCGGCCCACGTCCACGGCGCTCAGCCGCCGCCAGTCGGGGCTCTCATGGCGGCCGCGGAACTGGAAGGCGGGAAACGCCGCCGGCCCCGCTCCGGCCCCGGCTCCCCCCGCCGCCGGCGGGTAGTAGGCGCGCTCGGTGAAGGGCTGCGGGAGAGAGACAACGGGTCAGCCCGGCCCGGCACCCAGCCCGCCCTCCCTCCTTCCTTCTCACCATGCTGGGGCTCCGTCCCACGGGCTCCGTTCCTCGGGCTCCGCCGGGCGCCGGCGTCCTCCGCGTCGCTATGGCAGCGGCGGCCTGCGCGGGGAGCGCTCCCGCCGGGCCCGGTGCTCCCGCTGCCGCCGAACGCTCGCACCCATCGACACGTCCTTCAACACGGTACCCGCATCCACAAATTATATCCTCAGCTACGCCATTTACTGTGAGGGTGGTGAGCCACTGGAACAGGTTGCCCAGGGAAGTTGTGGATGCCCCATCCCTGGCAGTGTTCAAGGCCAGGCTGGATGGGGCCTTGAGCAACCTGGTCTAGTGGGAGGTGTCCCTGCCCATGGCAGGGGGGTTGGAACTCAATGTTCTTCAAGGTCCCTTCCAATCCAAACCATTCTATGATTCTATGATTACATCTGGAAGGCATGTGCTCTGAGGAAAACCACCTCGGCCTCATAGTGGACACCAGGATGACCATGAGCCAGCAACATGCCCCTGTGGCCAAGAAGGCCAATGGCATCCTGGGGGGCATCAGGAAGAGTGTGACCAGCAGGTCAATGGAGGTCATCCTGCCCCTCTACTCTGCACTGGTGAGGCCCCATCTGGAGTATGGTGTCCAGTTCTGGGCTCCCCAGTTCAAGAAGGACAGGGAACTGCTGGAGAGGGTACAGCAGAGGGCTACAAAGACAATGAGTGGCCTAGAACATCTCTCTTAGGAGGAGAGGCTGAGGGACTTGGGTCTTTTTAGTCTGGAGAAGACTGAGGGGGGATCTGATCAACACCTATAAATATTTAAAGGATGGGTGTCAAGAGGAAGGGGCCAGTCATTTTTCAGTGGTGCCCAGGGACAGGACAAGAGGAAATGGGCACAAACTTGAGTATAAGAAGTTCGATCTAAACATAAAGAGGAACTTCTTCACTTTGAGGGTGGCAGAGCACCGGAACTGGCTGCCCAGGGAGGCGGTGGAGTCTCCATCCCTGGAGACATTCAAAACCCACCTGGACATGTTCCTGTGCAACCTGTTCTGGGTGGACTTGCTTTGGCAAGGGGGTTGGACTAGATGATCTCCAGAGGTCCCTTCCAACCCCATATCATTCTGTGATTCTGCGATTCTGTATACAGACCCTCACCACACCTACACAACATGTCTTCTCTCTCCATATTTCCTTCATTTCACCACAGAAGTCTATACATGGCACCCTACAGACCCCTTTCACTTCACCACACCATGCCTCCCCACCCACCACCCCATCCCTCTTCCACACTGCTCCTGACTCACAGACCATTCTCACTCCTCTATGCCTCATGCTGGTTTATGTCCTTCTCCACCTTCACCTACTCATCTCCTAAATGTGGTGACAGCTATCACCTCCCCACCATCAGCATATGGTACATACGCTATTTCTCTGTACATCTTCACGCTGCTGCACCCGTGTGTGCCTCAGTTGGTAGCACCACACAATCTCTCCAGTGCAACTCCATACCCTCCCAATGCCACACACCAACCTTCTGACAGGTGCTTTTACACACTTTCCTCACCCTAACACAGTCATACACCCTTTGCACGCTGCTTCCACACGCTCTCATCACACTAACACATCTCCACCTGGTATCACCACGCAGCAGGACCACCTCTTACAACTATATAACCCTACAACCTCACCATGTCTGCCTGTCATTCCTGCCTCGCTCCACCAATCCCAAACACATCATTCCCATGAAGCATCTCATGGCTTGTGTACATCACCTACTTCACCATCCCACACTCAAATACTTTTCCTCAAAAGCAACCAACATTTGGCGCCCATCTCCCTGCCTCACCACAATTCATAGAATCATAGAATCATAGAATCATAGAATGGTTAGGGTTGGAAGGGACCTCAAAGATCATTGAGTTCCAACCACCTGCCATGGGCAGGGACACCTCCCACTAGAGCAGGTTGCTCAAGGCCCCATCCAGCCTGGCCTTGAACACCTCCAGGGATGGGGCATCCACAGCTTCCCTGGGCAACCTGTTCCAGTGTCTCACCACCCTCATAGTAGTTCCCAGCTCAGTGTTCCTATTTTCCTGCTCAGTTGCTTCAAACTCTGTCCCCAGGTAAGAGAATCCTTCTCCTCCATCATACAAAATCATCCTATTCCCTCACTCATCCTTACTTTTCTCCAGAAACCTGTTCTTCCATTACCACTTCTTAATATTTCAGTCCCCTACACGGCCCCTGCCTTAACACCAAGTTCCATGTTTATACCGACCAGGCTTTTCAGTCCCTTCCACACACACTTCAGTTTCTCATCCTCCTGGTCATTTGTAGATACGCATCTCTCCAAGAACATTCACACAACATACACTTGATTATACACTCCATTACATGGGTTCCTCTACATCATATATCATAGACTCACAGAAATGTTGTTCAAAAGGGACCTCTGGTGATCATCTAGTCCAACTTTCTGCTCAATGCAGGGCTATCACCAATGCCAGTTCACATCACAAGTGGCGTTTAAGATGAACAGTCTACGACCTCTCTGGGCAACCCGTTGCATGGCTGTGCTCTCCTCCTGATGAAAACATTTTTCTCACTGAGTATCTGCTACTATCAAGAAAAAAAAATGGCTCCGAGTATCTGCTAGTACCAACAGAAAAATGGTTCTAACATTTTGGTGACTATTCTTCGAGTAACTGCAGGCCACTATGAGAGTGCCCTTTTCACTGCACTAAACAATCCCAGTGCCCTCAGCCTCTTCTTGGCAATCCTGTGCTGTAGATCCCTAAGCATGTTGTTAGCCCTCTTCTGTTCCCTTTCAATTTTGCCACATCCCTCAGGCTCCCCCTTGATATATTCATCCATTAATCTCCTCGGAACTTGTAATGAACCTCTCCTCTCATCTGCATTTTTAACACTGCCCTTTCCAATATAAACAGTAACATGTCTACTCTTAATCACAACATACACCTACTTCCATGCAAATACCAACAATATTGTTGTATGCACTAATGCAGGGACCGTTTCCCTCACAAATTACAAGCTCTTCATTTTATGTAGGTTTTTTATGTTGGTTGTTATGCAAAAAGCTTGTTTGCTTTTCCCACATATATGAATTACTATAAAAAAATACACTGGATTTTCCTACAAACGTGGCCTCATCTAATTCCCTTCATATTAGCAGACGTAGATAGGATAGGATAGGACAGGATAGGACAGGATAGGACAGGATAGGACAGGATAGGATAGGATAGGATAGGATAGGAAGGGACCTGCAACGATCATCTAGTGCACCTGCCCGACCAATTCAGGGCTGACCAAAAGTTAAGTCATGTTGTTAAGGGCATTGTCCAAATGCCTGGGACCTGCAACGATCATCTAGTGCACCTGCCCGACCAATTCAGGGCTGACCAAAAGTTAAGTCATGTTGTTAAGGGCATTGTCCAAATGCCTCTTAAACCCTGAGAGGCTTGAGGCATCGACGACCTCTCTAGGAAGCCTGTTCCAGTGTTTGACCACCCTCTCAGTAAAGAAATGCTTCCTAATGTCCAGTCTAAACCTCCTCTGGTGCAGCTTTGAACCATTCCCACATGTCCTATCACTGGATCCCAGGGAGAAGAGCTCAGCACCTCCCTCTCCACTTCCCCTCCTCAGGAACCTGCAGAGAGCAACGAGGTCACCTCTCAGCCTCCTTTTCTCCAAACTACAGAAACCCAAAGTCCTTAGCCACTCCTTACAGGACACGTCTTCCAGCCCTTTCACCAGATTTGTTGCCCTTCTCTAGATGCATTCAAGGACCTTCACATCTTTTCTAAACTGTGGGGTCCAGAACTTCACACAGTACTCAAGGTAAGGCTGCACCAACCCCAAATACAGTGGGATAATCACCTATTTTGACTGGCTGGTTATACTGTGTTGGATGCATCCTAGTCTATACATCCAACCTATGGTCAGGGCAAGCCCTTGGACAGCTACTCTGTGGTGCCCCCCATGAGCAGCCTGCTCTCCAAACCTGCTGGTTACATTCTGACTTGGCATCAGGAGGTCAGCAGGCTGCACATCTCCTCTCCTTCCAGAGGAAACACTGGCACATGACAGACTCAGGCCCTAAATAGATGGACCTCTGATGGGAAGAAATGGGGGTCTGGTACTGAACACCCACAGTACAGGTGTCTTCCCCACAGTCAGTTTACTCCAAAATGACCATGGGACACACCTCTACTTCACAGTCCAGATTCATCCAGCCCTCAGCTACCAGAACCCTACCCCCGTCACTGACAGCCTCAGATGACTCACTTCAGCAACCCAGGGTCAAACTCTTACCAGCCTCTCCCATCCTTCACACCCACATCCACCCCCATAAAAAAGGGAAAGCTGAAGGCAATGCCTGTATTTTCATACCCCCAGAGAACCACAGAGACTTCTCTCTTGCTTTATCTACATACAGAAGAGTTACACCCTTCTGTCTTCCCCACTTCAGTAAAAAGTTTGAAAATCAACCTTTCCAAGAACATATCCAGGCCCAGCACAAGGTTTCATTAATCTACGAAACTAATTCCAATGTACTTCAATGGAAGTCTGAAGAGAGAAAGTAATAACATGAAGGCAGAACAGTGAGCTCTACTGCTTATTGGCTCAAGCCACCCTGGCAGGCAATCTTCCAAAATACTTGGCACTACAACCCGCTTTCTGGACTTTTATCCTTAAGCCTACAGGCCACACTTTACTGCAATGCCTGAGGTTCAACACATCTTCCATTCAGATTCTTCCATCGCTTACCATGATGATTTTTTTAATTTAGGAAAATACTGTTGTGGTGTTTGTAACACTGCAGCCTTCTCCTGCAAGGGTGACATGCCTGTAAGGGAACATGCCACCTCATTTTCCATGAATAGGGCCTCCAGCAATCGCTACCTTCAAAGAAATTTATTTAACATTTTTTTTTAGATATAACAAATATAGATCTGCCCGGTTTACCACTGGACTTTGCACTGCTCTGACTCCTGAAGTAGTAAGGAATACACCACTAATCTCGTTTAGAGCTATTTCTAATATACTGCAGACTCACTTCCATTTACAGTGTATAAATACACTTTTCTTTGTACGCAGCTTCATTTTAAAAATATGCTGAAATACTGACTACTGCCCAAAATGTTCATGCCCCAAGTTCCTTAAAACACCTTGAAAACTCGTATTTGGATACTCTTCCTAGTCAAAGGAACTGTTAAGTTGTACATAATGAAATCTATCTCCCAAAGATCTGCTCTATCTATTTAGAATAGAATCATGGAATCATAGAATCATCTATGTTGGAAGAGACCTTTAAAATCATCGAGTCCAACCATCAACCTAACACTGACAAGTCCACCACTAAACCATGTCCCCAAGCATCGCTCCTACCTGTCTTTTAACTACCTCCAGGGATGGGGATTCCACCATTTCCATGGGCAGCCTGTTCCAATGTTTGATAATCCTTTTTGTGAAGGGTTCCAATCTAAACCTCCACTGGTGCAACTTGGAGCCATCTCCTCTTGTCCTATCGCTTGTTACTTAGAAGAAATTTCTTTACGTACTACAAAATGTGAGTTTTGTAAACAACTGAATTGTGTGTCAAGCAGGAGCCTGAAAAAGCACACATACAAAAAGTATTCAACTCACAGATGCACAGGTTTAATGAAAAAACCTCGTTATTTAAAGGCAGCAAAGTTAATCCAAAGCCACAGATATGCTTATTTTCCTCAACTGATGTATTTAGTTAGGAATACCCACATGGAGTTTCATGCAGCTCCAACTAAACCTGCTGTAACTGAAGGTGACCCAGCAGCAGTGCATCACTAAATGGAGGAAAGTCACCAGCTGCCCAAGTATCTCAACAGCAGCAGAAAAAAGCACACACAGGCTGAGGTAGCCCTGATCCACCACTTTTTTTCCTTTCTGTCAGATTTACTCCATCCTTGGAGCTGCGCCCAGGCAGAAGCTAGGGCTGTCATTGCGTCATAGAATGGTTACAACTGGAAGGGACCTTGAAGAACATCTAGTTCCAACACCCCTGCCATGGGCAGGGACACCTCCCACTAGAGCAGGTTGCTCAAAGCCCCATCCAGCCTGGCCTTGAACACCTCCAGGGATGGGGCATCCACAGCTTCTCTGGGCAACCTGTTCCAGTGTCTCACTACCCCCCCCCCACCCAGCAAAGAATTTCTTCCTGATATCTAATCTAAATCTCCCCTCTTTCAGTTAAGAACTGTTACCACTCATCCTACCACTACACTCCCTGATAAGAGTCCCTCTCCATCTCTCCTGTAGGCCCCCTTCAGGTAGTTAAAGGCTGCTATAAGGTCTTCCCAGAGCCTTCTCTTCTCCAGGCTGAACAACCCTCTCTCAGCCTGTCCTTGTAGGAGAGGTGGTCCAGACCTCTGATCATCTTTGTGGTCCTCTTCTGGACCATTCCAACAGGCTTGTGTCCTTCCTGTGATGAGGACTCCAGACCTGGACACAGTACTCCACGAGAGCAGAGCAGAGGGGCAGAATCACCTCCTGTGACCTACTGGCCACTCTTCTCTTGACGCAGCCCAGGATGCGGTTGGCTTTCTGGGCTGCCAGTGCACACTACACAACTCACGTTGAGCTTCTCGTCCACCAACACCCCCAAGTCCTTCTCCTCAGGGCTTCTCTCCAGCCATTCTCCGCCCATCCTGTACCTGTGCTTAGGACTGCCCTGACCCCATCCTCAGGGCCCCCTCGGTTCGGGGTAGCATCGCCGTGACGGGAGGGTGGCGGCCGGCGGCGGAGGCCCCGGTCCCCCTCACACCCCTTCCCACCGAGCTGGGTGCCAGAGGGGGAAAAACGGCGTTTCACCCCCCCCCGGGCTGTGCCCGCAGGCCAGCCCCGGGCCCGGCGGGGCGCCGCGGGAGCCGGCCGAGCAGGGCCGGGCCTGCGGGAGGCCCGAGGCCGGGCTCCATCTCCCAGCCAAAACCTCCGGCTGCGCTTCGGAGAGCGGCCTCCCTCCCCCGCTCCCTCCCGCCTCCCCCTCCGGAGAGGCCCCGCCGAGCGCTTCCCTCCCCTCACCCCGCCTGCCCCGCAACGGCTGCCCGGCCCGGCGGGACGGGGGGAGAAGCGGAGGGGGGGCCGCGCCGCTTACCTCAGGCTGCTCGGCGGAGCGCGGTTCGCCGCCGTCGGGCGCGGAGGGGCGGCGGGGCTGCAGCGGCTCCCCGCCCCCGACCCGGGCCGTTACTGGTGCGTGCCGCGGAGGGAGGCAGCTCCCCTCCTCCTCCTCCTCCTCCTCTTTTCCCTCCTCCTCCTGCTGGCCTCCCCCGTCCTCATCCCCCTGCGCCTCCCGCCTCCCCGAGGCGGCGGAGGATGAGCCGGGGCGGCGGGCGGGGGGAGCTGGGTGCCGAGGGAGCTGGAGGCGGGGAGCCGTGGCGGGGGTGGCTCTGCCGCGAGTGTTCTCCTGAGGTGTACCGCCAGCAAGAGGACACCAAGTTCCCCCGAGAGGGTGGAGGACGGGAGCAGGCTTTCCTGCAGGCATCTCAGGTGGGGAGGCTGGGTGCCATGCACATCTGCACCCTGCCCTGCAGCTGGAGGCCTCGCCACGGCCGCAGATTGCATCGGGGCCACCCAGTGTTCTTCCTCTTCCCTCCAAGGTTTAAAATTGTGATTTTTTTTTTCCAAAATAAATCGTTTGTGGCAAGGAGGAAAATTTCGTAGAATCATTGAATGGTTAGAGTTGGAAGTCCTGTACCTGTGCTTAGGACTGCCCTGACCCCATCCTCAGGGCCCCCTCGGTTCGGGGTAGCATCGCCGTGACGGGAGGGTGGCGGCCGGCGGCGGAGGCCCCGGTCCCCCTCACACCCCTTCCCACCGAGCTGGGTGCCAGAGGGGGAAAAACGGCGTTTCACCCCCCCCCGGGCTGTGCCCGCAGGCCAGCCCCGGGCCCGGCGGGGCGCCGCGGGAGCCGGCCGAGCAGGGCCGGGCCTGCGGGAGGCCCGAGGCCGGGCTCCATCTCCCAGCCAAAACCTCCGGCTGCGCTTCGGAGAGCGGCCTCCCTCCCCCGCTCCCTCCCGCCTCCCCCTCCGGAGAGGCCCCGCCGAGCGCTTCCCTCCCCTCACCCCGCCTGCCCCGCAACGGCTGCCCGGCCCGGCGGGACGGGGGGAGAAGCGGAGGGGGGGCCGCGCCGCTTACCTCAGGCTGCTCGGCGGAGCGCGGTTCGCCGCCGTCGGGCGCGGAGGGGCGGCGGGGCTGCAGCGGCTCCCCGCCCCCGACCCGGGCCGTTACTGGTGCGTGCCGCGGAGGGAGGCAGCTCCCCTCCTCCTCCTCCTCCTCCTCTTTTCCCTCCTCCTCCTGCTGGCCTCCCCCGTCCTCATCCCCCTGCGCCTCCCGCCTCCCCGAGGCGGCGGAGGATGAGCCGGGGCGGCGGGCGGGGGGAGCTGGGTGCCGAGGGAGCTGGAGGGGGGGAGCCGTGGCGGGGGTGGCTCTGCCGCGAGTGTTCTCCTGAGGTGTACCGCCAGCAAGAGGACACCAAGTTCCCCCGAGAGGGTGGAGGACGGGAGCAGGCTTTCCTGCAGGCATCTCAGGTGGGGAGGCTGGGTGCCATGCACATCTGCACCCTGCCCTGCAGCTGGAGGCCTCGCCACGGCCGCAGATTGCATCGGGGCCACCCAGTGTTCTTCCTCTTCCCTCCAAGGTTTAAAATTGTGATTTTTTTTTTCCAAAATAAATCGTTTGTGGCAAGGAGGAAAATTTCGTAGAATCATTGAATGGTTAGAGTTGGAAGGGACCTTAAAGATCATGGAGTTCCAACCCCCCTGCCCTGGGCAGGGACACCTCCCACTAGAGCAGGTTGCTCAAAGCCCCATCCAGCCTGGCCTTGAACACCTCCAGGGATGGGGCACCCACAGCTTCTCTGGGCAACCTGTTCCAGTGTCTCACCACCCTCAGAGTGAAATTATTTTTTCCTGATATCTCATCTAAATCTACCCTCTTCTGGTTTGAAGCCATTACTCCTCATCCTATCACTACATGGCCATGTAAAAAGTCCCTCACCATCTCTCCTGTAGGCCTCCTTTTAGGTACTGCAAGGCCACTAAAAGGTCTCCCTGGAGTCTTCTCCAGGTTGAACAACCCCAACTCTCTCAGCCTGTCTTCATGGGAGCGGTGCTTCAGCCTCTGATCATCTTCATGGCCCTCCTCTGGACCCAAAAATAGCTTGCATCTATAAGACTATTCAAATAGTTTGCATTTAATATAAAATACGCCATCATATTCAGCAGAGGAGATGACCGTTGCACATTACAACACCTAATCTTCATTGAGGAGTTCCAGTCGGTCAGGGAGACACCATTTTTTTCCAAAGTACACAGGCAATAACTCCTGGAAAACTTTTGGCGCTCAACATGCCTGCTGAGAGACTTACCAAGATGCCAGCTTTCCATCCTGAACCACAATTTATTTTTGCAGCAGTGTCGATGTGGCACACGTGCTGAATACAACAGATTTAAGAAAACAAGTAATTATTTGGATGCTCCAGTCTTTAATGTCCTGAGGGTACCTCAGTGTGCTCCAGTCAATAATGGACATTCAATCCATAGGATCAGGCTAGAGCTAGTCTGAAGGAAAACCTGCACGCATGTAAAATATTGTCCTGGGTTGAGAGACACAGGACTAACTTTTCTTCTAATACTGGGGAAAATTGCACTTCTGAAAGACTCTAGTGTCTGGATTTGTGAAAATATTTACTTTATAGCCAACCAGGCTCTGTGGGATTCAACGTCTTAGTGCTTTTGAGCCTTGCCAGGTGCAGGGACAAGGAGGAGCAAGGCCTGGGCATTTGACCCAGGCTGGCCAACAGGATTATTTCATACCATGAACGTCACATTCAATATAAATTAGAAAAGTTTGCTGTGTAGCTCTCTCTCCCTTGATGGTGGCGGTCCAGACAACTCCTTACCCTGGTGCCGGACCCCTGAGGCCTTCCCTTCCTCCTGAAGCCATTGTGCTCGCAGTGTCCGCCATTTGCTGTCCCTGTTGGGAGTGCACAGCTTACTGCTGATAGAATTGGCTGAGTATAATTCTTATATATCTTATATCAGTATCAGGATTAATACTGGTTCTTTAGTATTATTGTTAATTATTTAGTCTTAATCTATTTAATCTATTTATATTTCAACCCTTGTGTTTCCTTGTGTTCCCCGATTCCCCTTTCCGGGTGGGGAGGGGTCATTGGGTGATAGAATAATTGTCTAAACGACAATAGATTGTTATGGGTTTTCTCAAACCATAACAAATATGGGTGCCAGGTCCTCAGTACTGACTTTTGCTTCTGCACATATGCTCCTGTTGTGCTACTAAAGCAAGCATTGCCAGAGGAAGATGGGGATACGGAAGCTTTAGTGTGGTAAACCTTAATTAACACTAATAATGGAGAGAAGATTTTGAAAACTAGGAATGTGACAGTCACAGCCTCTGTGGGTCAGGCCTAGAGGGAAATATGCAATACAAGTTGATGAGCACATTATGTGAATGGCTGGAGTACTCACTTAGAAAGCAAAGTATGCAAGTGTGGTCCCTTCTGTGGCCAAGAAGTTTTATACGCCATGCCCTTCTTCAGATGTCCAAACAGGAACACCATAGTCTTTTCAGTGTGCTTTCTAAGGATCTCTTGCTGAAGCTGTTTTTTATATCAGAGTAAATGCTACAATGTTGGAGATTCTTGTTAGTTGATGAAGGGAGGTGTGTATGAAGAAACACATGGATCTTGGTCACTTCATCTAGTATCCATTTAATATAAAATACAAAATCAGCCCTTGGAATAAGAGCTAGAACCAAGTTGCCTCTTCTGTGAGGGCAGGGCCGTCACCCTGTGTGCTAGACAGAGTCTCATTCTTTCCCTCTTCCTTCTTTCCAGAGCTTGATTAATCTTTAATTACTTGCTGTAAGTGGTACAGCCTCACTTGGCAAGAGTGGGTATTCTATAACCCACGTTAGTGCCCGGTTCCCCCCTCCTTGTACCGTATAGCTTGGTGATAAAAGTACTCTCCTAAAACATGCATGGATTTATTAGGAGAGGACCAAGAGCCTTTTAGGTTGTCCTCATCATTATAACTTGCTGCCAGAGGTTTAGGACAGCCAGCAGTCTGGCTGGAGCAGACAGGTGATTGCTCTTCATGCACAAGCAGGCAGTGGTGTCCAACCACCATAAATCCAATGTGCACCTATATCTGCCAGAACGTTTCAGCTGACATCCAGTCGCATGGGTGATGTACCCTGTGAATTGCTTTCTTGACAGACAGTAAAATTTCTCCATTGGCTTTCTTCCGAAGTTCAGTAATTGCCACATCATGAGAATCCAACAGAAAAACAGGATGTCTCAAAGCTCGCTTGCTGCAAGATATCTGCCACTGTGTACATGATATGACAACAAAGGGAGTACGTCCTTGGTTCTCAGAACAACCATATCTTGTTTACCCCAGGAAACTCATCTGCCATGCAGGGCCAGCACTGCCCAGAGGGCAGAGACAAGGGGGGCTCGCACAGCGACCGTGTCGGACAATAATTGGACGAGCACAGACAACTGTCACCTTGATTGGTCAAACTCAGAGTCAACAGGGACTATAAATTACTGTTGCACCCCACTGCAACTGGGACCTTCACCACCATCGACCCTTGCCATCATCACAACTGGAGAGACCTGAGAATCAAGGATCAACAGGATGCTGTTGAGACACTGTTGACTCCAGTGGACCATCAAGACGTCATGCAGACCTAACATCTTGTTGCTGGTAACTATTCTTGCTGCGCTCCAGAATACTGCTTCTCTTTTCCTTCTTTCCTATACCTCTGCCTTTGTTCTATTGCCATCCAGTGTCATTTTAAGGTAATAATAGCAAAGTTATAGTAAATGGCATTTGACCTTGCGTGTGTCTTAATCACACCCTCGGAATCATTATGAACCCCTCCCGGACCAACAATTGGACCAGAACCTCACACCTTGCTGTCATAGTTGGCAGGATTCGGTGGCGTGCAAGTGCTGTTTTTATTGTTGGTTTTTGTGTGTACTGGAGAAGTGCTGAAGTATTGGTGAATATACCTGTGTGCCTCTCAGGGATGCAAGGGGGTAGGAATTTGTGTTGGAATTTGTGAATTTGTGTTTATTGACTGTTAGTGCACCTTTTAGTGTGTGACGTGCGTCCTCCCCAAGGTGATTGCCCCTGATCTTAGTTGAGAACCCAATTTTAGCTTGAATTTTGTTGAGAAAATGTGGGTGAGAGCCTCTCACCCTTTGGGATGAGATGTACTGTGTGATTTTTTTGAGAAACATAATGTGTGCCCTTCAGTACCAGGTTGCGATTGGACATGAGATAATTGGCATGATTTGCAGAGTGTCACCAATCGAACCAGTACCTCACAGAAGGATGCTAGACTTTGGTCTGGCAAAGGGAAATCTATTGTATGCGCCGTTCTGGGTGGTAGTCTAGTGGCTAGTAGCCACTGATCCCTAGTAGAAGCTTGGGATCAGTGACGCAGTGTCCAAATTACACAGTCTCTGCAGACCCTGGTACAATCTTTACAAGGACAAGCGGAGGAGTTAAAGGGGCAATTAGATCAAGAGCAAGCTCAAGCGAGTTGTTTGCATTCTGCCCTTACAGAACAACTCCTTTTGGACAGGAACAGAGATCAAGATACTTGTCTGTCCTCTCTGAGGGAAGAAAATCCCTTATACCCTAGCATGGAATCAGGTGAAACAAAAGCTAGATTGGATGAGGTGGCAGCCCCTCCTTGTTCGCTCAGGCCTCTTATTGAAACGGAATATGAGTTTGATGATGATCAAGATGTTCCCCCACAAGTTACCATTACAGAAGTGTCTTACACCAATATGGAACGGGCTAAACTAAAGAAAGAACTTAGCTGTACTCCTAGGAAGTCAGAAACAGAATATGTGTGGAGAGTGTCGTTGTCGGGTGGAGATCAGATACTGTTGAGTGAAAAGGAAGACGAAGGATATTGGGGCCCTGGAGTGTTTTTAACTACTGGCGATCACTGTGCTCCTTGGTCCCTAACCCAGAGTTGGTGGACAGCCAGCTTAACATGAGCCAGCAGTGTGCCCAGGTGGCCAAGAAGGCCAATGGCATCCTGGCCTGTATCAGGAGTAGCGTGGCCAGCAGGAGAAGGGAAGTCATCATGCCTCTGTACTCGGCACTGGTGAGGCCTCACCTCGAGTACTGTGTTCAGTTCTGGGCCCCTCACTACAGGAAGGACATTGAGCTGCTGGAGCGTGTCCAGAGGAGAACCACCAAGCTGGGGAGGGGTCTAGAGAACAAGTCATATGAGGAGAGGCTGAGGGAACTGGGCATGTTTAGTTTGGAGAAGAGGAGGCTGAGGGGGGACCTCATTGCCCTCTACAACTACCTGAAAGGAGGTTGTAGAGAGGTGGGGGTTGGCCTCTTTTCCCAAGGGAATAATGACAGGACCAGAGAAAATGGTCTAAAGTTGCAGCAGGGGAGGTTTAGATTAGATAATAGGAAGAATTGGAACGGCCTGCCCAGGGAGGTGGTGGAGTCACCATCCCTGGAGGTATTTAAGAAATGTGTAGATGTGGCACTTCGGGGCATGCTCTAGTGCTCGAGATTGTTGGGTTTTGTCTCTCTGTGGGTGGGTGTGGTATGTGTGTTGGTTTGGGTTGTGTTGTGGGTTTTGGGTTGTTTTGGGGTTTTTTTGGGTGGTTTTTTGGGTTTTTTTTTGTGGTTGGATTCAATGATCTCAAAGGTCCCTTCCAACCATGAAGATTCTGTGATTCTGTGATTCTGTGACAGCCTATTGGGCTGGAAGTCTCAATCCTTTAGAACAAGGAGACCCACTTGCTATCACTGGGTTGGTCCATCAGTTAGTGGAAAATAGTCAAAAGGTGGCTTGCCTGCAAATGAGGTATAACTGTGAGTTTAGACCCCGACAAGAATCCCCCATGATGATGCCAGTAGACCCCAAATGGATGACTCTGTTAATAAGGGGACTTCCAGAATCTTTGAAACCGATTGGTACACAGCTGCAAGGAACCATCAGAACAGCACCCCAAGGCCAGAGAGTTGCTGCAGCCCGGGAAGGAAGAGCATCCCCCGATTGTAGAGATCCAAACCAAAGGGTATGGACATGGGGAGAAGTCACCCAAGAATTAATTAACTATGGGCAAAAATACGGTCCTGTTAGTGCCCCCTCTGCCAAACCAGACTCAGAAGGGTTAAGATGGACAGAGTTTAAAAATTCCCTGGCAGCCAGACCAAGAGAAAAAAAAAAAAGACAAGCGGGGAGGGTCATACTGAACAAGTGAAATGCCTGGCTATGGGACGGCAGAAAGGCATTCCCCGGGATCTGATGGATGGGTTACCGACTGACATGCTAGAAAAACTGGTTAAGGGGTGGCCTGAGAAACCCATAATTTCAGGCTGGAGGCTAAGCGACCCTACCCCAATGCTCCGCCGCCTCCCCTTTTAGATCTCTCCAACGCGAATCTGCTGATGGCAGCGGGGGAACTAATTCCTTTGCTTCCTGATGGGAAAGCAGAGGGTGGGGGGGTGCAGGGAGGCAGAGGATGGGTGCATGTTAGACAGCTCACTATGAATCAGCGAGGCGATCTTACCATTACCTGTTTTGTAGGACCTAAACAAATCCCAGTAATGTTTTGGGTAGATACTGGAGCTCAAATTTCAACCTTAAAAACTGAGGATGCATCTGTGTAACTACCCAGGAGCAAGCTCACCCTACTATGGCAACTACTGTTGTCAAGGATGTGTTTTTTATGGTCCCTTTGCAACCTGAGGACCAGGATCATTTTGCTTTTACCTAGGAAGGGCAGCAGTTTACTTTTACAAAGCTCCCTCAAGGGTACAAGTGTTCTCCCACATTTGCTCACCGTGCTTCAGCAAAAGGATTGGAACTAATCCCACCAGAAGAAGGAATTAGAACTTGCCAATACGTAGAAGATGTGCTAATATGAGGAAATCAGATAGAAAAGGTTCAAAAACCACAAAATGACATTATTGTCCATCCGAAGAGCTTAAGATTAAAGATTCCACCTGAAAAGGTCCAGACTCCCTCTAATGAGGTTACATTTTTAGGAATTTGGTTGAAAGGAGGAATGACATACATTCCTAAAGACACCCTTACCCACATTAGACCAGGTAGAAAATGCCCAAATCAAAGAAGGAGTTACAGCACATATTAGGATTGCTTGTGTTTTGGAGAAAGCATATCCCCGACTTTTCTATCATTGCCAGACCTTTGTATGATTTCCTGAGAAAAGGCGTGTCTTGGGACTGGACCCCCGTTCACAAAGAAGCTTTGTGGCTTTTGGTGTTTGAGGCAGCTAATCGTCAGGCCCTTGGCCCTGTACACTCTACGGACCCTGTGCAAATTGAGTGGGGATTTGCTCAGTCAGGATGGTTGACGCACTTTTGGCAAAAAGGCCCTGAAGGCTCCCCTCATCCTATCGGGTTTTACTCCCATGGCTTCAAGGATGCCAGGAAATGATACACAGCGTGGGGAAAAAGGACTCTTTGTCATTAGCTTGACCTTGCAAGAAGCACAGCACACCATCCACCAACAGCTGATAGTGCTCAGAGGCCCTTTCGAGGTAATTAACTCTCTTTTAGATGGAACCCCCTCCTCCCCCAGACAGGGTGGCACAAAGAGCTTTGGTAGGGAAATGGTATGCACAAATAAAGGTGTCTGAAGGTGCTACCAGGAATTTAGTTATTCAAGGAGAAGTAATCCCAGCTTGGGAGGACAACACACGCCCTCCTGTTGTGCAGGTAGCCCCCCCATTCTCAAAACAGTTGCAAAATTTGCAGATGCCTATGCTAAGCAAGAAGGCAAGACTTGGAAATACCGTGCAGTTGCATTACAGATAAAAACCAACCAGAAAATGGTCACTGAAGGAGAAGGCAGTGCTCAAGTAGGAGAATTAGTGGCTGTGTGGAGTGTCTTTCAGCACGAGGCTCAATCTACCTCTCCTGTCTATATCTACACTGATTCTTTCACTGTCTTTAAAGGGTGCACTGAGTGGCTCCCGTTTTGGGAACAGAATGGGTGGGAAGTTAATAGAATACCCGTGTGGCAAATGGAATAGTGGAATGTACTAATGGCCTTCTCAAACAATTCCTTAAGCCCCATGAATGAGAGTGGGATAAACACCCTTCGGAAGCTGTCACACATGTTAAGTCAGTGGGGGGTGAACAGGCACCCGAAAATTACAGCCTTTAGCCCCCAAGACCCTACCATAGTCCTGGCAACCTCTGGCCCAGATCATCCCAGTAAACCTTCACATTACCCTGGACAACCAGTGCTGGTGGAACTACCTACTATAGGAGCAGTTCCTCTAGCATTAAGTATACCCCTTAACAAATATGCCTGGATTGCGAAAGATGCCCTAGGCAAAGAACACCAAATTAATACCAGATGGATTGTCCTATCTTTTTAGTAATTGTAAACCTGGTTCTTGTTTTGAACTAAGGATGGTCTTTTCTTCTTTTTGTTTTTCAGGAATAGCCTGAAGACTGCACTGTAAGCTGCACCAAAGATACTTGTAGGCCTCAATGCTTCAGTCCTTTGCATTGTAGTGGTAACAACTGCTTTGCTTGTGTTTTTACGATGTATCGTATATCACCACGGAAACTGTTTTGGGCAACATTACTCTTCACCCTTAATTTCTGGGGAAGCTGTAGTCTCATAGATGTTAATCTATGGAAAAATGAGTTTGTGACTTTAGGGAACTCTGTAGCCCGCGCGTTCAACCTCACTAATTGTTGGGTGTGCGGAGGACCACTTGGTCTGAAGAGCTGGCCATGGACCTCGGTCCCTGTTTCCCCTAAATGGCTAGTGAGCAAATACAGTGAAGTCAAAAAGAACATCTATTGGGAAAAGGAAAGTTTACCATCTCCTTGGCTAGTACAATATCCAGCCAAAGGCCAATATTGTCTGAACCGCACTCAACCAGGTGGTACTTTTGTAGGGATCAGCACTTGCTATTGGACCTTCACATATGGGAACCACATGCCTCCTCCAAATGGTCATTTTGTGGCATCCACAAAGCAATCTAGCCTCACTGATAAAGGCCCTCGATGGGCTTGGGTGAATGAATCGGGGCACGTGAAGCTATTTTCCGGCTTCTGGTCTCCGGTAAATTTGACTTTTCACCCAAACTATTGGTACAAACGAGAAGCAAAAATCATCTGCGATTGGAGGAATGACACAGGTGCTTGGTATTGCCATGTTATATATAGACTCAGTCGTTCCAGTCCGTGGCAGAATTTTCCACTCCTCACCCCTTTAGGGATGAGCAATTCAACGTATTTTCAGGTGCCTTACACTCCTACTGGTTTATTTGAAAATGGAGCCAGAGCACTAAAAGGCCATTATTGGATCTGTGGACACCACGCATACAAAATGCTACCAACAAATTGGACAGGAACATGTTATGTTGGAGTAATCCACCCTTTGTTTTTCCTCCTTCCCGAAAATGGTGGCAAAGATCTAAGTGTTAAACTGTATGATGACCTTACACGGAATAAGCGATCGATTGACCCCAGTCTGACACCTGGAAGTGCTCAAAAATGGGGAAAAGATGACTGGCCTCCCCAGCGAATCATCGAACATTACGGGCCAGCCACCTGGAACCCTAATGAATTAATTAATTGTGCTCAAGAACCCATTTATAACCTAAACCGCATAATTCGCCTTCAAGCTGTTTTGGAAATCATTACTAATGAAACTGCTCGCGCTCTAGATCTGTTGGCAGACCGGGCCACACAAATGCGAACCACAATTTTGCAACACCGCATGGTTCTCGCCTACCTGCTAGCTGAAGAAGGAGGTGTCTGTGGTAAACTGAATAACTCAAACTGTTGCTTAAAAATTGATAATAACGGCCAAGTTGTCGAAAAAATAACCTCTGGAATAAGAAAGTTAGCCCACGTCCCCGTTCAAACCTGGAAAGACTGGGAAATTGATCCCTTTTCCTGGCTTCCAGGAGGCCCATGGGTCAAACGACTCTTGTTCTACTTGCTGTGTGGAATTCCGATGCTTTTATTCTTACCATGTATAATTCCGTGTTTAATACGATTGACTCAACATGTAGCACAAAACATGCAATTTGTATCTACCGACTCCCCTAATGGCGTGAAGTATGTACGGGCAGTCCGAGAACCTGCTTCTGTGCCTGTGGATATTGTGTGATTTCTTGCCTAACTTTCTGTCTTATACTCCTCACTCCTTACACTCCTCATCCACTCCTCACCAACCATGGGTTCTGAAGAACTTGTAAGCGACCTTTGAGCCATGGGGTCGGTGTGAGAACCCAACAGTAAAACAGGATGTCTCAAAGCCACCTGTGTACATGATATGACAACAATGGGGGTATGTCCCTGGTTCTCAAAACTACTATATCTTGTTTACCCCAAGAAACTCATCTGCCATGCAGGGCCAGCACTGCCCAGTGGGCAGAGACAAAGAGGGGCTTACACAGCAACCATGTCAGACAAAAATTGGACGAGTACAGGGAACTGTCACGTTGATAGGTCAAACTCAGAGTTGACAGGGACTATAAATTACTGTTGCATCCCACTGCAACTGGGACCATCACCATCCTCGACCCTCGCCATCATCACGACTTGAGAGACCTGAGAATCGTGGATCAACGGGACGCTGTTGACTCCAAAGGACCGTCAAGATGTCATGTGGACCTAACATCTTGTTGCTGGTGACTGTTCTCCGTAATACTGTTTCTCTTTTCCTTCTTTCCTATACCTCTGTTCTATCGCCATCCAGTGTCATTTTAAGGTAATAATAGTAAAGTTATAGCAAATGGTATTTGACCTTGTGTGTGTCTTAATCGCACCCTCAGAATCATTACGAACCCCTCCTGGACCAACGATCGGACCAGGACCTAACACATGTAAGAGATGTACTGTGAGAACACGTGGGATATGCTCCTCTGGTGAAGTAGCTTAAGGTATGCCCAGTTTGTGCAGCACTGAAAAACACGCTGAGAAGCTCATTTCTTGAAGACACGGTGCTTTGGGCATTCTCAGACAAGGTGTTGTATTTTTTCCTTGAGGTGCCTAGAAGGCAGTGAAATACTAGGTTCTCCAGTTAGCTACTGACCTTTTTTTTTTTACAGGAATAGATGATAGCTCAATGGGAATTTTAGGAACCTAAACTTGCACTGAGGCACTTAAGACTTTCTAGAGTCCTAACTCAAAGCCTTTTCTTCCCCTTGCATTGTTTCATTCATGCCAGCCTACTGCAGGGAATGATTTAAATAAAGATCATTCCCACTTCGTGGTCCAAGTTTATCAAATAACATTAAATCTACACTGCTTCTTAAGTCCTCTACTTAATGTAGAGGATTCTGGCAATTAAAATAGTTCTCTAGAGGTGGTTTATGTGCATGATGGTGTTATGAAATTATGATGAAACTATGATCTGTTGTTCTAGGAGGATTTTCCATGTTCTGTTGACACAGTACAATGATGAAAATGTTTTGGGTTTTTTGGGGGTAGAATTCAGGAAAAAGGGGTAGGGAAGAACTGAGGTTTCTAGGAAGTAGAAAGATTTTTACGGAAAGCTGGTGAGAAGAGCTAAGGAAGAAGTAACATGGGATGAGGAAAGCGAGTTAAAGATTGAGAAGTAAACACAGGGTATTGATTGGAGCAAGGTATTTGTGAGGCTTATAGAGGGTACCTACAACTGGAGAACACAAAAAAAAGAGAGATTATTCTGACTGTGGAATGAAATATGATGGTATTTTGGCCATGGCCACTTGGGAAATGTGCTGGGTAGCAGGGGTGTCAGGGCACAGCATGGGCCGGCTGCTCTCCATGGGGTGTTGGGGCAGGACCCGGCAGCCATGGCCCATTCCACCATCCCAGCCAGGAGCAGGGCAGCTGGGGGTACCAGGGGCAGCCCCAGCCCTGAGTAATGAGCACCTCCATGGGGATGAGGACAGGGATGAGCTGAGGCTTGGCAAGGCACATGGCTGGGCAGGGCAGTGCTACGAGGACTGGTGACTGACCTTTCTGTGGTGTTGCTGGGGCAGGAGCCGAGGACCCCAGGGGAGATGACATGGGATCTTGGGCCCTGGGCAGGTGGGGGGAGGCTGAGCAGGGACATCCAGGCCTGGGGGTGTCCCTGGGGCCCTGAAGCAGTGCCTTAAGTGAAAAAAACCGTCTGCGTGTTTTGTGGAATGGAGGAGGATGCCATACATGTTCTACAAGATGTTTTAATTTTGAGAAGGCAGTGGGAAAAACTGTCTTGGAAACTGAGAAATAGAACCTTCAGTAATCTTGCTCCTACAGCACTCGGAGTGACGCATACCAGCGTCATTACCAGCAATCATTAACTCTGGGTGGAAAGTTGACTTGAGTAGCACGGTATAATAATGAGTCTAGCCGCATTCTCAGTTTATTTAATCTTTTCCTTCCTGCCAACTCCCTCCACGGCACATTTTTTCAATTTTAATGCCTATAATACTTCCATCCGTTCAATCTTTCCATCACTTAGTTTACCCGAGGAAATAATTTAAATATATATTTTTTGTCACAGGAAAACAAAGCATTTAAAAGAAATGAAAGATAGGATGAGTCCCTCTCGTGTCTCCTTTATGCCACCTCCTTCATTCCTACACAGACCACCAGCTGTGATTAAGCAGTTTGAAGACACACTGCCCCATATAGTTTAACAAATTTCATTTTCAAGTTTGGGTACTTCAGACTGTTCTCCCAACTAAATCTTCTTCTTTTATTCAAATAAAGCAGTTTCTCTTAAAGGTTTACCTTCACGTAACAAGTCTAGCTGGATTTTACTGAGACGGCCACGCAGTTCATTTATCTTCCTTTCTCCCAAACATGGAGGGAATTCCACTTAACTCTACAGAAATGTCTGTAAACTCACTGATCATGAGTTTTATCTACTTTACACATAGATATTATTGCAATAGGGTCCCATCTGTCTTATCTGTCATGGACACCTGAGTCATATGCCAAGAACAGCGTCACGAAGCTTTTTCACTTCTTGGGTGAGCGTAACCTGAAATTTCTGTCTTGTTTCTGATGACTTTTTGCTTTCTCATTAACTCCCTGCCCAGTCTGTGAACAATAAGGTAATTACAGGTACCATAGTTTTAGCACAGTGATGCTTTCTTGACCATTCAAGCCCCTTTCTGCACCTGCCACAATTTTCATATGGCCAAGAGTCTCCGGGGCATGCATGTTGTGCTTCTGTGTGATGAGGAGAAGGAGAAAGCTGCAGGCAGGACCTCAGCCAGGACGACTGGGACTCCCCTTGGCTCCAGCCATTCCTTTGCCAAGTGGAGTTTGTCTGGGAGCTTCCATGGATACTCAGCAGAGCAACTCAGGCGATGTCAGCCTCAGGCTGGCTCACTGTCTGCCATAATTCAGCAGTTCTCATACCCCAGAGCCCTGTCACTGAGCTTGGCACGCAGCGCTGAAACAGCAATCCTATCTCCACTGCTTCCAGATGGTCTCTGCAGCTCCAGGCAGGGTACATATCCCTTTTCACCCCTCACTGGGTTCAGCCAGTGAGCTCCATCCAGCCAAACTCAGGTTTGTACTCAGAATCAGAGACAGCCCATCGGGTTCAGCCAGTGAGCTCCATCCAGCCAAACTCAGGTTTGTACTCAGAATCAGAGAAGAGAAAGCTGAGGGGGGATCTGATCAATGCCTATAAATACTTAAAGGGTGGGTGTCAAGAGGAAGGGGCCAGTCTTCTTTCAGTGGTGCCCAGGGACAGGACAAGAGGAAATGAGCACAAACTTGAGTATAAGAAGTTCCATCTAAACACGAGGAAGAACTTCTTCACTTTGAGGGTGGCAGAGCACTGGAACAGGCTGCCCAGGGAGGTGGTGGAGTCTCCATCACTGGAGACATTCAAAACCCACCTGGACACGTTCCTGTTCTGGGTGGACCTGCTCTGGCAGGGGGGTTGGACTAGATGATCTCCAGAGGTCCCTTCCAACCCCATATCATTCTGTGATTCTGTAATAACATCCTGTTGTCCGACACATGGTATTTAACTCTTTGGTATTTAGAAACTGTTGGTATAATTGGAGCAATAGGATGGTCACTGATCACTGAAAGCAAACCAAGGACTTAATTTTTAACACTTAGCAATCTCTGGTTGAATTTTTAATAGCATACATTAGATATTTGTTCTTTCTCTAGGAACTACACCGTAGTTTTACACTGACTGGAACGCAATCATTTTATGTGGGCAAGAAATAAACTGTACAAAAAAGGAAAATGAACCACCAGCTCTCAGAACCTCAGGCACAAAGCATACAAGGGCAATCTGTTTCCCCTTTCCTTTATGTCCTGGTTTGATTGACCCAGGACTAATTTATCTTCTAATGCTTGGGAAAAGTGCACTTTTAGCAGACTCTGGTGTTCTGAATTTGTGAAAATATTTATTTATAGCCTGCTAGGCTATGTGGGGTTCAAAGTCTCAATGTTTTTGAGCCTCGACAGGTGCAGGGATAAGGAGCAGCAAGACCAGGGCACTTGGCCCAAGCTGTCCAGCAGGATCATTTCATACCACAAATGTCACATTCAATATAAATTAGAAAGTTTGCTGAGTTCTCTCTCTCTCTCCCTTGATGGCTGTGATCCTGAGAACTCCTTGCCCCAGTGCCGGACCCCTGGGCACTTCCCTTCCTCGCAAAGCTGCAGGGTGCACAGTGTCCCACTTTTACTGTCCCTGCTGGGAGCACACAGCTTCCTGCTGACAGCACTGGCTGAGTATAGTCCTTGTATATTTTATATTAGTTTCAGGATCAATACTGGTTCTTTAGTATTATTGTTAATTATTTAGTCTTAGCCTATTAAATCTATTTATATTTCAACCCTCGTGTTTCCTTGTTGTCCCCTATTCCCCTTCCTGGGTGGGGAGGGGTCATTGGGTGATAGAATAATGGTCTAAATGACAATAAAATTATTATGAGTTTCTCAAACCATAACACTTTTTTTCCCCCAAAAATGTTGTCAATCCAGATACTCAAAATTTAAGGCATCCTTAAGACTTCATGCCCCTTCAGGACTTTTCAGAGTCCTGGATTCAGAAAAACTCTTAATTTGTGAAAACAGGGAAATGAAGAGTTAATCAAGATACTGGACACTCTGCAGGGTCTACACAAGCTCTCTGTTGTCTTCCTTGGGCTTCACTTGTCTGCTGACTGCTATACAGAATGGCAAAAAGAATTAGCTGGAGCAAATCTGTGCATGTGAAGAGCAGCAATGTGTGTATACATAGGTCATCTCTGCTTGGCCTCTGGATATGTGGTCACCAGAGAGATGTAGGATGCCTCATTTCCTCAGGCCATCATTGCTGCACCAGCAGGGTGAATTTTGTTGCTTTTTTGGACTGTTAGCAGTTAGAGGATAAACGTCCAGTTCTGGGCTCCCCAGTTCAAGAGGGACAGGGAACTACTGGAAAGAGTCCAGCGAAGGGCAACAAAGATGATTCAAGGATTGGAGCATCTCCCTTATGAGGAAAGACTGAGAGAGCTGGGACTCTTTAGTCCGGAGAAGAGAAGGCTGAGGGGAGACCTTATCAATGCTGACAAGTATCTCAAGGGAGGGTTGAAGGAGGAGGGAGCCAGACTCTTTTCAGTGGTTCCCACTGAGAGGACAAGGGGCAACGGGCACAAGTTGGAACATAAAGGGTTCCACTTGAAAATGAGGAAGAACTTCTTCACGGTGAGGGTGCCAGAGCCCTGGAACAGGCTGCCCAGGGAGGTTGTGGAGTCCCCTTCTTTGGAGATTTTCAAGACCCGCCTGGATGCAGTCCTGAGTAACATGCTCTGACAAGCTCTAGGCAATCCTGCTTCAGCAGGGGAGTTGGACTAGATGATCTCTATGGTCCCTTCCAACTCTAAAAAAATTCAGTGAAATTCAGTGAAATTCAGTGAAAGTCTGTTAATTCGGAGGTGGGTGCATAGAAGAGGATGCTAGATGGTACCACATGGCTATGGCTTACACGCTTGTAAAAATGTGCATGAGGGGTATTCCTTTGCCAAATGTCTTGAATAATTGCTTGAGAGACACAGGAGATTCCCCTTTAGGACAGAAGAGCATGGAGGTATCTGCTAGAGCAGAGAGAGGTAAGGTTGCACACATATACACTCCACTTAGTAGTCTAAATTCTTGGAAGTGAGAAATTTGCTGACCTTGGTGTTTCAGCAGAACATAAGATAGGAATGAACACCTTCAGTGATGGCACAATACTTTGTCGATGATATTTTTTTAAAAATCAAAGAGATGTTAGAGAGAAACAAACAGCTTGGACTTAGCATCTAGGTTTGAAACTTGGAACTGAGCCGAGAAAAGCGTTTGTTAGAAATGACAGGTAATCCAAAACCAGTTTCAGGGAAATCAAAACTAGTTATGAAAGTAGGCTGAATTTCAGAAATTGCTTCAATTAAAAAAAATAATAGAGGAGAGTTCATTAATGTTAGCATTTTCCATACATTTTTAAAGCAGAGTGCTTTCTTTCAGAAATATCAAAATATTTTAAATTTTGAAGCAAAGTATTTTGAGTAGCATTTTTATTTTAAAATGTTTTATGCCTTAAAAAATGAAAATATTTTAAAAGAAGTGTGCTTTCATAATAAATGTAATATTTTACTTTTACTCCCTCATCCTAACAAAAGGGATTTTCTCTCTTAAATCAAAATACTTGAAAAAAACCACTGTTTGGATTGGATTGCTTAAAATTTAAGTTAGGTTTGAATTTGAACTGTTTCTTGATTTCTTCCAGTTCAGATAAAAACCCCAACATAGCTGCTGCTTCTTGTCTACCTCTAATTGAGAGGCTATAATGTCAGCGTAAAGCATAAAATGGGCGATTTTTTCCAGTTCAGATAAAAAACCCAACATAGCTGCTTTTTGTCTACCTCTAATTGAGAAGCTATAATGTCAGCGTAAAGCATAAAATGGATTTTTATTTTAAAATGTTTTATGCCTTAAAAAATGAAAATATTTTAAAAGAAGTGTGCTTTCATAATAAATGTAATATTTTACTTTTACTCCCTCATCCTAACAAAAGGGATTTTCTCTCTTAAATCAAAATACTTGAAAAAAACCACTGTTTGGATTGGATTGCTTAAAATTTAAGTTAGGTTTGAATTTGAACTGTTTCTCGCCTCCACCATGTGACACCTCATTAATTCACAATCTCTATTAGAAACAATGGCTCTTCAAGAGTCATTCTCTGCTAATTGCCGCCCTCTGCTGTTACTATATATATTACCAGCAGTAACTAGGAAACAATTCCTTGGCTTTCTTGCCTTTGGACCGCTTCGAGGTTTCATTATACCAGAGGGCAGGAGAAAGTGGATGTATTTTGAGATGTCTGAAGCTTGTTGCCAGCGAGAAAAGTTGCAGACATAATTTTCCCCATTAAAATAAATGTAAAACAAATTTAAGTGTAAGGAAACACTGATGAATAATTTCCCTTTTCCAAGTTCTGTCCTACATATAATGCAGCCCTGTTGATAAATTAACTAGTGATACAGCATAGGGAATAAAGCAGATTCAAGGGCCTGTATTACAACATAAATGAGACCAAATGGTCTACATAAAGCTTATTTATAGCCAGGTTTATACTTAATATCTAAATTACGTATGTTTGGGGATCTATGACAATCAAGAATGGTCGCTCTTCAAGAGTCATTCTTTGCTAATTGCCGCCCTCTGCTGTTACTATATATATTACCAGCAGTAACTAGGAGACAATTCCTTGGCTTTCTTGCATTTTGACTGCTTCAAATGTTACTGCAGCCTTTGCCATCTGTTCTCTCGCTCCAAAACTCGAGACTGCTGGAGAAACTTGTTTCTGACACCAACCTAATCTCGATTAATCCCTATGAAAGACTTCTTGCATGACAGAACAGCCTGCTGTACTGCTTCTGCTCCTGTATCAGGAAACTGATTTATTTGGGTGGTTTTGGAAACAAGATTATTAATTAAAGCGTATTGACTTGAGTTTTCTACAGATTGTCTTCTCCTAATCTTGTTATTAAGTTGCATTAAGTATATCATCATCCTCACTATTATTTTCAGTTATCTTAGAGGGTTGGAAATTTAAATTCCCTCTCATATTCATTTTATCTGTCTTTGGTCTTATAATTTATTTTTCTTCAGGTAAAATCAAAGGAATTCATTTACTGTAGCAGCAATTGCATTCTGCTCCGTTCAGTTCTTGACTTTTATATTTCATCCCATCCATCGTGCTATACAGTTGTCATGTTCCTCTTCATGCTGACGTCTTTAGAATGTCATCAATTATTCATTTCACATCTATCATTTCTTACATTATTTCGAGTTCTGATTTCTGAATATATTCTGCAGGTCAAATTTCAAGGTGATACCTTTGAAGCACCATCTTCCAAATGAAAGGCTGAGCTGGGATAAGTTATTTTTCTTTTTTTCAGCCTGATCTTTCAAGAAAGCTTTTAAATTATATCATCTGGGGTGAGAAAGGTAATGTGACTGTACCTGCAGAATGAAGTAAGAAATTTCTGTGGTGACCAAATCAGACTTCAAGCCTCAAGTTTTTCACTTTCTTGGCAGATTTCCCCAGAGAACAGTATTTATATTTTTTTTATATATTGACGGGTTCATAATACATAATCTGCCCCTAATATGTCTATCCAACAACACTAGGCAAGTAATTTGAAATAATAAGCAACTAGGCATAAAGAAGGTTAGTTTTTCTGTGGTAGCTAAGAATAGATTGTATTTTATAAAAAAAACAAGGAAAAGAGGTCTGCAAAAATACATGTTAGATTGGAGGCTTTCAGTTTACAAATCCAATATGAGCTTTTAGCATAAAAGTACTGGAATCCACTAAGTTGTGTCACCAATTTTTCTGCAGTCTGGTAAATTCCCCAATACTTTTTTTGGCATGCCCGTAGGTCAGTGTAGAGTCATCGGCCACGCTGACTGTCTTGGCTTTGCTCTCAGTGGAAAACAGGACTGCGTCCCAGGGACAACCAAGCACAGTTTGAAATCGCACTCGCCTCCCTCCCCTCCATGGCTGGGGCCGACACAGACGAAGAACGAGGAGCAAAATACTTAGAATCATAGAATCATCTAAGCTGGAAGAGACCCTCGGGATCATCGAGTCCAACCATCTACCCTACTCTACAAAGTTCTCCCCTACACCATATCCCCCAACACCACATCTAAACGGTTCTTAAACATAGCCAGGGATGGTGACTCCACCATCTCCCCGGGCAGCCTACTCCAATGCCCTATCACTCTTCCGGTGAAAAATTCTTTCTTAATGTTCAATCTAAACCTACCCTGTTGGAGCTTGAAGCCATTCCCTCTTGTTCTGTCACTAATTACCTGTGAGAAGAGACCAGCACCAACCTCTCTACGGTGTCCTTTCACGTAGTTGTAGAGAGTGATGAGGTCTCCCCTCAGCCTCCTCTTCCTCATACTAAACAGCCCCAACTCCCTCAGCTGCTCCTCATACGATTTGTTTTCCAGCCCCCTCACCAGCTTCGTTGCCCTCCTCTGCACTCGCTCCAGCACCTCGATATCTCTCTTGTATTGAGGTGCCCAAAACTGGACACAATACTCGAGGTGTGGCCTCACCAGTGCTGAGTACAGGGGCACATATTTATTAGTAGTCTATTTAGTAGTCCACAGATATTGTCCTCGAAGAACAAAGGGTAACAACCACCATCACATCTGAAAAGGTGGCCCTTTACGTCGACAGTGTAAAACTCACTCCATTAGCCCCGACGCCAGCCGCTTCCCCAGGGGAAACAGGCCCGCGTCCTCCCCCAGGCCCGTCTGTAATGAATAACTGAAGATTTGTTGCTGATCAAATCTTAGGATTATCCTTTTCTGTTATACATAGTGTAAGAAAGTCCTGACTTACACAAACTGCAATGCTATCAAAATGTGTCTATGAAAGTGAAAGTTTATCCTTGTACTAACCAAATGCATGTAAGAGATGGCACAAGCTGATTATGCCACCACCACTTGTAAAACTCGCCTAAAGTCGGATTGTAATTTACTGACCAAACAATTTAAGCAAGAAGAACGAGCCCATTGTGGCAGTCTTGAGAACTCCCTAACAAGAAGAGACGTCCACAATGTTATATTGCTAAACCACATGAGAATGTCCTGTTTTGACAAGATAAGCTTAACCCCAATGTTATCCGTGTTTTAACTCTGTACTAATTAATCAGGTAGAAGGGGAAGGGTATGAACTAATTTACAGCCGACATTGTCTTGAAACCGCCTTGAAGCAAGACAGACCAGATGGAGTAAAGATAACGGAAGAAGCAGAGGGGCGTACTGAAGGTGTCGAACGCAACCTCTGTGAGTATAAAAAGAGCTATTCAGCTTGCTTGAATTTGTGAGCCTTGGTGGAGCTGCGACTCCCCGGCCGCCCAGCGCTGCTTTTGCTTTCCTTCCTTAATAAATATTTAGTGAATCTATTTCGGACTTAGTTTTTTTTATTTTAACTATAACACGTCAGCACCCTCAGAGGGGCTAAACCCGGGCCTGGAGCAAAGCCCTCCCTGGCCCAGGCGAGCGGGCAAAGCGACACGGGATAAAATACAGAGGCAGATGGGGACTCTCCGGGTTTAGCGCCCTCAGCCCGCGCCGCCATCTTCCGTGCGGTCAGACCGCTGTGGGCGCCGGCCTCGCTCCGCCTTCCTGCGCGTGCGCAAGCTCCCCCCCCGCCCTACCGCGCAGGCGCGAGGCCGCGCCCCCTCTTTCCTCCCCCGGCTCCCTCCTTGGGCGTGGCCCCGGCGCTGCGCCGCTTCCACGTTCGATACGGGGGTGGAGGGCGCGGGGGAGGGGGGGGGAAGCTGTGGCCCGGCCGGGGTGTGTTCGTGTGTGTTCGTGTGTGTTCGTGTGGCGGCCGCTTCCTTCCGCGGCCCGCCGGGGCGTTGGGGCCGGCGAACGGGGCTGGCCGGGGGGCTTCCGCCGGGCCTACAGCGGCCGCGCCCCCTCTTTCCTCCCCCGGCTCCCTCCTTGGGCGTGGCCCCGGCGCTGCGCCGCTTCCACGTTCGATGTGCGCGCGCGGCGGGGCCAATCAGAGGCGCCCACGACCCAGCCCGGAGAAGTTGGAGCCGTCGCGGGGCCGTGAGGGGGGGAGGCGGCCACCGCCAGTGTCGCCGCGGTGTGTTCGTGTGTGTTCGTGTGGCGGCCGCTTCCTTCCGCGGCCCGCCGGGGCGTTGGGGCCGGCGAACGGGGCTGGCCGGGGTGCTTCCGCCGGGCCTACAGCGGGCTGCTCGTCCTTCCTTCTTTCTGGGCTCTCCTCAGCCGTGGTGCCGGTTGGGCCTGTTGGGGTGCCCGCCTGGGCTGTGGGGCAGCCGGTATAGCCGGGCCGAGGCCCCGGGGGAGAGTGGAGCCGAGGCGGCGGGGCTGCGGCCTGCTGGCGGGGAGCCGGCGGGCCTGAGCCGGGGCTGGGGCCATCGCCATGGCGGCGGGGCAGCCCCCTCCGGGACGTCCGGGAGAAACGGAGTGGGTGTGTGGGGGGAACGTTTCTGGAAAGGGTGTGAGGGAGAAGGAGGTACAGAAGTGCCACCTCATGGAGGGCGTTGGGAAGGGTGGGTGTAAGGAGGGCACCGTCGCTGCTTGGCGACCGGCTCGGGTTTTTTATCTGACTTCCTCGGCGGTACTGTTGGAGGGAGCTCGGTGCCTGTGCTTCCTTCCCCTCGGCCTGCTGACTGAGGGGGTGCCAACTCTCTGGAAAATGTCGCCGTGTCCCTTGAGCGCACCGGTGGGACAGCATTGGCAAGTGCTCTGCTGGCCTTGAATTTCTCACTCCTGTGTGAATTTTGCATAATTTCCAAGTTCAAAGGCTTTTTCGGTGGTCCTTCTCAGCCACAGCCGTTATTAGTGCCCGACTGACAAATCCAGTGAGGCTTTTGACAGTTGTGTTGCATTTGTTTATGTTTTTATTTTTATTTTGTTGCTGTGGCTTTTTGATTTTTATTTTTTCCTCTCAAGGTTAGTATTTGAAGTTAGGCAGATAACTTAATCTGCATCTTGTGTGGCCTGTTTGTTTTCAGAGTACGCTGTCAGCAACACCTGTATGGTCAAACTTATATTCACAGGCTCCTGTTAAATATATAACTTGGTTATACAATTGCGTGCACAGACAGAGTTTCACCTGAGGAATGTTTGTTGGTTTTTTTTTTAACTGACAGTGGCAGATCGAAGTGGAAACGAAGCTGTCAGTAGTCAAAATCTGTCAAACTTAAGACTAACCTGGGCTGACATTGGAAATTCAGTTGATGTACTAAACTAACAAATACTTCAGCTGGCCAAGTGGCAACAGGAACATGCTGTGGCAAAAGTGCTCTGTAGCATAAAACTGCATACTGTGGTGCTCGGTTGCTTTTTTGGATGTGTATTCCAGTAGTGTTAAAGAAAAAATAATAATTGTGGTCAAAGTTTACTTTTTTTCCTTAAGATTGTGGCAGTGATGCCCCTGCTGGGGATTCTTTCTTTGGAGTTGCCAAGCTATTTCAAGTATATGGTTTAATGGCTATGTTGATTTGCCAAAGCCACATTTCCTAATTTGGGGTATATTTTCTTAACTTCAGTTAATAAAGATATACAGTAATAGAATGAAAAGGGATAGTTCTGAATCTTATTTACTGAACTTACTAACCTCTTAGTTTATGAGTTCATTTTCCAGAGTATATGTTTAAGGAATTCAGGGGGTTTACATTGTTTAACTATCTGGATTTTTTCCTCTCCAATATTACTGGTCTTTGAACTGAACAGTGTTCACATTCACCTTTAAATTTGCATCTTGCTGTCTTGGTAATAGAAGTCTGCCTTGTGCCATCTGATTCATGAACCAGTGCAACAGTCAGTCTGTATTAACTTTGTATCTCACATATCTATGAGTATTAATTTATAACTTGCTGGTAAATGAGTTGATTGGTAACGTGGCAGGCTGCAGTTCGGCTCTCACTGTTGTGTTTCCTGAATTCCTACTCTTTGAATACCCTGACTTGTGCTGAACAAGCTCCCATTTGGCTTAAGTCACCTTTTAGGAAGAGTCATCCTTCATGGCTGTTTGTCCACACTAATTGTGACAAAAAGAGGTTACTGAGAAGAAGTTCCTCTTCCTCCTCTCCTTCCTAGCATTAAAAGAGAGGAAATATAAGAAGGGGAAGAAAAGATATGGTTTAAGGATGCAGAGCTCAGTTCCTGTTGTCAGCCCACTAACCTTAAGTGTTTCTGTGACCACTCCCCAGAAACAGGATGTTTCTGTCCTGAATTTGGGAAGCTTCTTTCTTGCCCCAAATAGCACACGATACTCGGGGGTGAGGGGGTGGCTATTTGGTTTGTCGGTTTTAGCTATATTTACCAATGTTCTTTGCAAACAGAAGGAGTAAAAACTTGATGGGAGCAAGTTTACACAGGGCTCAACTAGATCCTTTGAGGGTCCTGTGAACCTTTGCATATTTCTGAAACTGTAGTTGCTGGTCCACTTCGTACTTTGTTCAGTCTTGTCCTTGACTTCAACACACATAAAAGCAAAGCCCTGACCTGTTCAAAAATAAAAGCAAAGTTAAGATTTACTATGCTAAACACAGAAGTCATTCTGATCAAAAAAACTCCTCAAAAACAGGATCTCCCACTTGTATGACAAGATCATCTTCAAGTTCTTTTAAGTGTAAAAAAGAGAAAAGTTTAGATCATTGTAATTAGGATGAGTTACGTGCATGTTTCTTCTTTGTCTTTAAAACAATCCTGTTTCTGGTACTCCATTGGAACTAATTCTGTTTATTTTCATAGTCCTGTTGCCCAGCTTGGGGATGAGTGAAAAACAAAAAAAAAAAAGTTGGTGGAAATTCTACAGGGAAAAAGAGGAGTGTGTAGGCAAATGTGAAATCTTGAAACTGTTTTCAAGGTGGAGGACTTTCTTAAGCTTTTTACGCTGTGGATGTGACTAATCATAGGAGGATATAATTGAAGTTGGTATACTTAGATACCTGCATATTAGAGCCAGTTATTCTAATAAAGCAAAAATCCTACCAGGAAGGTAGGATTTATTTGAAGTGAGTGTATTTAACTGGAAAAACAGGTTAGCTGCACCTGCTTATCTTTCATGTGCCTTCTGACTGACTGCCTTTGAGTTGTCAGGGCTGGGACCAATTCTTATTTGAGAGTAGTTTGGTGAGTTTTTTTTACTCTGCCATTCTAGTCTAAGTGCCAGAACAACAGACTCTGAATTTATCTGGAAAATCTGACTTGATTTGACAGCTGGAGCTCTTGTGTGTGGTTATCTGAGGTCTTTGCTGAATAGATAACAATTAGGCAGGCTTTAGAAATAACATTCAGATTAAAATACTTCAAAGTTTTAAAAATAAATGGTATGCTTGCGTATTTCTGGCATAAATTTGGTTTCCTGCTGGAGCATACAAAGCTTCTTCAGCTGCAGTATCGAGCTCACTAATACCTGTCTGTCTGTTGGAAAGAGCTCTGTGGAGTTGATTTGTTTTTTCCTCAGGTTGAACCTGAGTCCTTCTGTTCATTCCCAGGCCAGAGAGCAAATAGGTACCCAAATAGGTTACACAGAGTTTGAGTCCTTGGACTCCTGTGCCTATGTTAAATGTTTTCAGATACCTACTGTGGGGTGGTTTATTGAGAAGAACTGTTTGATTACAGCCAGAAAATGAATAAGCAATATATTTATATGAAAAAACAGTCAAGTTCTCAGGTGAATGTACAGTGTTCCTGGGTAGTTATGGTGTCACTTTTCCTCATGGTTACACTCACTGTATAGGCACCTGCTGGAGACCCGCACATCAATTTACAATGTCCAGCAATTTACAGAGCCAAGTTTTAATGTATGTCTAGTATAATCTTGTTCTGCGGGGAACCTACAGTCCTTTACACTTTGCCTTATTACTCTATCCATGTTGCTTCTGCTTTTCTTTCTTACCTGTTTACTATTAATGGTCAACTTTCTCCTTTATTTATCAAGGAAAAAGATGGCTCTCCTGCCTAAAGTATTATGTAACTGTAACTGTAAAACTGTACTGAACATAATGTATATGAAAGACCCTGAATAGCATGGGTACACCTTAATTGTGGAAAATCTATTCTGGGAGCTGTCCTGATGTGACTAAATGTGAAACAAGGACACTCCTTCAGATGCTTGAGGTTCTGTAAAAATTGAATGCCATGTTTAGGTGGATGGAAAAGTATATCAAAGAGTAATTTATACCCCACTTCTAGGATGCCAATCCAAACTGACAAGTTTTGAAAGATTTCAGGTATTCGTGTGTGGGGAGAGATGGGAGGGATGAAGATTAAGAATTTTTTGCTTGTTTGTTTTAACTTCAGCCTGTTTATAGTTTGATATCTGATTTGTTGCAAGTATTAATTCCAAAGCCAGGGAAACTTGTGGTGGGGTGTTTTTCCAGTATTGGGGTGAGGGTGGTTGAGTTTGTTTCAGATTTTTTTTTTTTTTTTCCTCTCCAGTGCTTTGTTTATCATTTTAGAGGACACTGGACTACTCAGTGATCAAAGCTTTAAGCTAGAGAAGCAGCAAAATGGCAAAGCAGGGTGTCCATTTTTCTGAAAATTGGACCTTCACATAAAAGCTACCTAGAAGCAGAATATTTTGTGTGAAAAAATTACTCTCAAGAAATACTTCTACGCTATCAGTGGAGCTATTTCTGTTTTATTCAGAGCTATACATACCTAGAATGGATTTTAAAATTAATCTTCTAATAAGATTCCCAAATTGACTATATGATAAGTAATTAATATTTTAACTTTGTCTATTTAAACAAAAACAGTTGCTCACTGGAAATTTGGAGCTTATTTTATAAAGGCATTTCCATTAATTAAAAAAAGGATTTGTTTGCTGTTGTTGTTCTAAATCAAATAATTGAAGCCCTTGTATCCATTTTGCTGAATTATTATCAATATTTGAGCAGATAGAGCTTTTTCTAGTGGATACAGAGATAATTTTGTTCATTTTAGTATACACAGCTCAATGATTTTCTTATAATATGGAATTAAAAGAATTATGAACTCTATTAATGAGTAGGAAAGGAAAATTAAATTAAGATCCTAGACGCTGAGAGCTCCCAGTTCTAAAATCTTGATGACTTAGTGATCAGAAATTATTATCCTTTCATTATAAATACTTTGTTTAATCACCTTTCACTGTGCGAAGTTTTGATATACTTTACTTCCATCTATAGTGTAACATTTTTATGCAGTCTCTAAGAAGCAACTTCAAAGTGCAGCTGCATTTTCGTATCTAAGATTAATTCAAGTGCCTATCTGAATTAACTGGATACAAAACTTGAGTGAAAGAAATTAATTTCTAGTAATTGCAGTTCATTGTTTTCTAATGTAATGTATTTATTCGGGGTTTTAATATATTGCTTAAATTTATGCATAGGGTATGCTCTTAGTCAAAGAAAACTGTTTATAGCGTGAAAGTTTTAATGGTCCTAAATTAGTAAGTTGTAGTGACATTCTGTCCTGATTTGAAGAATGCTGGAAGGAGTACAAGTGAGAAGCCTCTGTGGCTGAATTGATTTATGTACAGCATGTACTTGCACTTAGCTGCTCCTTTCTTCTCAACAATAGTCTTTCCCTGTTGGTTGAGCAGCAGCAATTTATTAGCTTTAAACTAAAACTGGCACTTTGGAAGCGTACTACTTTAATACGATTTTCATACTACTTGTTAAATGAAAAGAGAGGAAGAATTTTAATTGTTTATGCCAAAGCTTGTGCTCTGGAAATGGTTTGCCTCGGAAGTTACGAAGATGAGACAAAAGTGCAGTAGATGAGAAGCCAGTCTCTGCAGTAGTTAACAGTTCTTATTTGAGTCCTAAGTTATCAGGAGGGTAATGAAATTTAACTTAAAATTTTTTATACTTGCTATCTGTGCATTATGAATGTGTTTCCAGATTTTTTTTAAAATTGAAAGCCCACATAGAAATGTCTTTTGTCAAACTGTTTTTATAGTTGCTGTATAAAGCTTGATGTGCAAAAGTATGTTACTGAATGTATACAGAGGAATAGAAATGCATATTTGATGCCTTCTTGCAATGCGGTGCTTTACAGTGTTTGTTAACTTTGCCATCCTTTTGGAGGCAGGGAGGACATGCTCTGTGTTTTATTAGCTGCCAGGTTGTTTTAGAACTGGAAGATGGGACTTCTGCTTCTATATCAATAACTGTTATATGTATTGCATTACCACTGTATACGTCTGGTATAATCAAACCGATCATTGAAAACTATGATATTTTTTTTTCTTTAAGGGGCTGAATGTGGAATAAATGCGGAAGTAGAAAAACAGCTTGAAATGGGGAAGAAGTTATTGGCTGCTGGACAGCTGGCAGATGCTTTGTCTCACTTTCATGCGGCTATAGGTACGTATCTCAGGAAAGTGACCGACTGTAAGATTTTTGGCTATGCTATGTGTTTCATTTATTTTAAAGTTAACCTCAAATGAGGTGAAAAAGAGAAATACTTGTTCTGTTCCTCAGCTATGGATGTTCTTGTCTAAAAATTCTGGATTGATGCTTTGGTTTTGTTTTTTTTAATAGCACAGTAAAATGTTTACTGTGTTCTACTGCATATGGTTGGTTGGTCTAAGCTACCTTCCTTGAGAACCTACAGTAACTGTCACCTATTTCTGTGAACTACTCTATAGAGAAGAATATTAAAAAAATTCTTCTTTGTTTCAAAGACTTATCTTTGTCTCCTGCAAGGGTGTACATATGTTTGTTAGCCTAGAGAGTGTTGAAATTGCTGGATCTTGGAAGTTTGACCAGCAGACACCATGGGATGTGTGGGCCTTGAAGTTAGCTTTCAGGTTTTTGTAATGTACGTGTGTTAGTCTGCTTGGTGCCCACTTGAATGTTAAAGAAAGAAGTTGCTGCTACTTCAGTGGATGGTGTAAAGGGTTTATGCATCTGTGATGACATTGGACTAACATATTGGTCATTTTGGGATTATTTGCTTGCATCCTGTATGATGGACAGGGACTGGGAAGGAGAATGATGCATTAACATGCTTTCAAATGTAGGCCTGCAGTTGGAGATAAAGAGTTAGTATGTAGTGGCTTTTTTTTCCTGTACAAAGCTGAAAAGCATGTACGTATTTCACCTTCGGTACTCTTAATTATTTGGCATTTACTGTGTTTCTGTAATCCGTATCGTTAAATAATCGAACCGCATAGAAAATACTTTGATATTGTTACAAATGTTATGTTTTCTTGATAAATACCATTTTTTCCAGGGTCTTAAAACTCAGGTAATATATTTTTAGTCATTACAGTTTCACTGTACCTAAAGTTTCAGTTGGTTTGAGATAGTATTCTGATTACTGTTCATTCCCTTGCAGAGGGAGACTCTGATAACTACATTGCTTATTACAGAAGAGCCACAGTGTACTTAGCCATGGGCAAATCTAAAGCAGCAATTCGTGATTTAAGTAAAGTGGTTGAATTAAAGCAGGACTTCACAGCAGTAAGTATTACTGGAATTGAAAATTGTTCAAGCGTAAAAAACCTGCTTTGAAGAAGGTTGTTTTTTCAGATTTTGCTAGACAGAAATGGAAAATATATTATCACTCAGAAGGCTTTAAATAGGATAAAATAATAGCAATGGTGTATGTGCTTAAACCTGCAACTATGCTGAGTAAAGTCTAGCCAGTTATTCTAACAACTAATAGTCATTTAATTAAGTTCATGTTCCCTGTGGGTTTGCGCTAAACAATTTCCTTCTCTCACTTGTGGTTATTCTCCTCTCAGTCACCAAGGCTGTGCCCTCTGAGAGCGAAGGGGGGAAGAGAGTGCACAGATGCCTCTGTTTTTCTTCTGTCTTAATCGGCATTTGATTTGCCTAATCTCACTGCCTTCCTATGGGATTGTTGCAAATTCCAGTTTACTTAACCCTTGCTCACTTCTGCTTACTGTACATGGAGACTGCCTCAGTAGTTGGAGACTGATGCTGGAGTCCTCTCCGTCCCATCCTCTGGTCCCCCTTTTCCATGGGCAGTGGCATGTCCTGTATAGCTTACAATGAAGGAGCAAATGTTAAATTCATTGCTGTATGAAAATATTCTTATCATAAATCAAAATTTTCGAAATCATTAACATTGTCTTTTTACTAGCTTTTATTATTCTGAAGGTATAGCAAATGAATTAAATGTGTGGATTCTTTATTATTTATTATTTCTACTAATTTCTTAGAATCTATAAGCAGTTGCAATGGTGTGGTATAAGGTAACTTTCTTTTATGCAGCTCTTCAAATGAGAAGAGTTCTTATTTCCAGGAGTTGCAACTGCTCATAAAAGCTGTGGCTGCCTTTTTCTCTTCTGTTCTGGTGCAGAGTGAGCCTTTGCCATCAAAGAGGCCTCATAAGAATGTTGTCAGATTGAGAAGACAAAGAACGGATGTTGTGATCTTTGTTTCAGCTTGTTAGCTGTAGTAAAATGAAACTTTTTCTTTTTCCTGCTAAAGGAAACTGAACCCTGTTTTTATACATTGCTGAATTCCAATTTGTAAATCAAAATAAATTCTGTAATGTTTCATTTCAGGCAAGATTACAGAGAGGACACTTACTGCTCAAGCAAGGAAAATTTGATGAAGCAGAGGATGACTTCAAAAATGTGGTAAGTTGGAAGCCTAAGTTGAATTGCTTTTAAGTGCTTTTAAGGCTGGGTTCTGAGCCAAGGTCTCATCTCAACTCTGATGCTCTAGAGCATGTGTGTATATCTACCTGGGTTTGTCTGTCTTGTTCTTAAAAGTTATTGTAGCTAAGCCACCTTGTATGAATAAATGACTGATAGAGTTGCAGTGTGGTGATGATGATGAAATCAGAAGGTGTTGCATGAAGTAGCACAGTACTTTGAAAAGTCTATTTTTTGGGTGTGCCTGGAACTTCATGATCACTGCTTGATGGTGCCTATACTAGGGAGCAGTTTTCACTCAGAAAGAAAGATAAGTGGCATGGGACTTGTATGTAATTGCACCCTGCTTTTCATCAATATATTCAGGTCACCTCAGGAAATCATTAGGGGCCTCGTGGGTCAACCTTTGAAGGTTCCTATCTCCTTGCACTGATTGCAGAAAGATCCTGGGCTCTTAAGTCGCTGGGCTGTTAATGAATTTCAGTGGTATGCATCTGCCTGTCTTCTCATCTGCTGAGGAGTTCTCCATGTTTCATCAATGCGTCAGCAGTACTTTATCTCCATGATCAGGAGGTGCCCAGAGTTTCCATACTAATGCAGTTGTGTATTACCTACCTAAAACTCACTTAGGTTGTTTTTAATTTCAACGGATACTTTGTATATATTGGCCTTATGCTGCAAAAGTAAACTGATGTAACCTCAGAGAATATGTGAAACTTGTTTCTCTGTGTTGCAAAAAATTTCTGTAAGCATGAGAGTAAATAAGATTCATTCTTATTGTTGCTTACTCTTCAAGAGTTGCTAGTTTGAAGAGCTTGCATGGCCATTATGCCAAAACAAATAGAATTTGTGCGTGCAACTGCTGCTGTCTTGTTGGTTTTCTTAGAGTGTGATGGAGAAAGCATTTCTGTGTTGCAGATGAGGTATGTTTAATGGAAATACTATTAGTGAGTATGTACCACAAAACCAGAGGAGTTACACTGTGTGCTCTGCAGGGCAGTTGGGAGGAGTGGCTCTTGCAAATGCACCAGGTGGTGCAGTTGCATGTCTGATTGCAGTGCAGCCCTGCTGTTTGCAAAGGTGGGAGAACGTCGTTCAGCTCTGATTAACTGGGAGCATAGTTGCTGCAATATCAATTACGTGATGTCAGTGTTGATTCTGAGTTTGTGTATGCATCTCTTTGCGGTTACTGTTTCTTGGAGTATTGTTTGATGCTGCATACGGAAGTGCTTTTCCAGTCAACTGTCAAGTAGTTGGCTTTTTTTGCCAAACCAGCTGCAAAAATTTAGGTTGCTGCCTTTGGTCAGTCAAATTGTTTCAGTCTTCACTCAAGTTTTAAATCTGAAGTAAAGAGTTTCTTCTCAGAAGCTGACTTGTGAAGATACCATATTGATCCTAAAATCTTACTTGCAGTTTCCTTGGTTCCATGAACAATATTGTTGATGTATTTAGAGAATAAGACAGGAAATCTCTTTTAATGAGCACGATTTTCAGTTAAGTACAGTATATTCAAGCAAAATAAGCCAATATTAAAGTAATCCTTTGTAATAGATTAATTTATTCATATGTGGGAGGGCATTAAATTATCCTACATACCGTGACTTAAGTAGAATATATATATACACATATATATTTGAGAAATTTCCCTTGTTTTCCTCTAAATCTTTCAGGTAGTCAGTCTGATTATTCTACGTATATATTTGAGGAATTTCCCTTGTTTTCCTCTGAATCTTTCAGGTAGTCAGTCTGATTATTCTACCAGTTCTCTGTGTGTCTAAAGTACCTAGTTTACTCTGGCAGTATATTCGTATCTAAATACGAAATTGCATTTAGTTTCAAGATGAGAGGAAGTTAGAGTCACTGTGAAATGTGTTTCACATTCTGTGTTTCTTTGGGATTTTTTCCTATATGAGAGGAGAGGAGGAGGAGGAGGGCTGTTAAGGACTGAATATCTTTCCAAATTATTTCAAGACTTTTACATCCAGACTCTTATCTTTGCTACCAAAAGTTACAGGAAGCCAGGAGGAATAAGTTGTACCTTAATTTCAAGACTTTTACATCCAGACTCTATCTTTGCTGCCAAAAGTGACAGGAAGCCAGGAGGAATAAGTTGTACCTTTAAATAAAAGTTCCTTCTACTACTAGGGCAGATATGGCCCAGAGAAATGCCAGTGGGATCTCAGTAGCTTTTAGACTAGGATTTAGTGTGGACTTGGATACTTAAAATTGTGTGTTTTACATGTGACCAGAGCATATAATCTATGATTCTGCTCTTTAGCTGAGTAAATGTAGGTCAGGATATGAACTCTAGCCTCCCACTTTGTTGGCTGCATACCCGCTGAGTAGAATGCTCTCATTCTGGGTAAGCATGTAGCTCATGGGTGAACTTTGGTGTCCAAATCTGGTCCTAAATTGCAGAAAAACTTTGGCCATCCTGCATTAGTAGTGAATAGGCTATAAATCTGCAGTCACTGTAAGTCAGTAAGCATGCAGGCACCTGGCCATATGTTTGAGTCTGCAGAAGTTGAGTATCATGGAAAGATACGGTGGAAGTCATAGAGTTGTCCAGGCCGGAAGGGACCTCCAAAGGTCATCTAGTCCAACCTCCCCACAGTCAGCAGGGACACCCCCAACTAGACCAGGTTGCCCAGGGCCTCATCGAGCCTCACCTTGGGGAGGCTCACCCCAGGGAAGGGGCCTCAACCATGGGGAAGTGCTGTATTTAAAAAACAAAACAAACCTCCACCCCATCAATCCCTATTCACTGAAGTCTTAATTTTGAAGAAAAATAATTCACTTCATTGTGCAGGGTTTTGGGATGTTATCTGGAATAGGTAGTCCCAAGGATGTCATATGCTCACAGAAATTAATTGCGGGCTGTCAAATATGAAAGGTTTTACCTTCTGTGTTAAGCTTTTTCCTGAGGAAATACTTGTGTAGATGAGATGGGCTTTCTTCTGGTAAAGCCAGCCTTCTTTGTGGTAGATTGTATGCCTGTGAATGATAGTAGATGTGTTACCTCTTGTGTGATTTCATGCAAGAGATTGTTTGGGTTAGGTGTTGACTTTAAGGGAGTAGATCAGATGTTAAAATGTTCCCCGCTTCCGAGTTGGAGAAACCAGGTCAGGGTGTGGAAACTAAGGAAAGTGATTTTATTTTACTTGGAGTACTCAAGAACAGTCATGTAGGAGTGAGATGGTTTCTAATTTGCTATATGATTCTTGCATTTTAAGAGTCAGTGTTGCTTTCTGTGCCAACCAGAACTGCAGGGTGACTGATGAAATGAGCCATCTGAAAAATGCTGTGTTCTTCTAGCATATTCCAGAAATCTGGTGAATCCCAGTAGAGACTAAGAAAAGCTTTTTTTTCTTCCATCCCTCCTCCACTCTCTCTTGGAGTTGCGCTCCTTGAAGGGATCTCAGCAGTTTGGTAGATGCAGTCATTTTTGAGGGAAAGAGTAAGAAAAATTCAGCCCATCTAAACGGAGGGGAGGATGACAGGTAAACTTTCCCAGCTTGTAACAGAGGGAATTTTATGTACAGCTTAAAGGAGTCATTAAAACTATTTTTTACATGCACTAAAGGATAGTTTTGCTATTACATGATCGTGGAAAGAAAAAAAATATTCATACCCTTAAATTTTTTCTGCACTTTCTACACAGGCAGTGAGGCCTCCTGACTGGAAAGGAAAGGATTACTCCTTTCAGGATCAGAGCCTCTTGAGACCCCTTCATGCCTTATTTTTAGATTGCCCTTTTATTTATTTTTTTTCTCCTCTGTACTTCCGTGTTGGCTGAAAGGTATGATTCTGACTTAATGCCTTGACGTGTTAAGCAACACTACATTTCTAGAAACCTCTCCTTGTGGTCAACAGATGCACCAAGCTGATGAAGTTCCTTATGTGGGACAGGGTTGTTGTTTTTTTTTTTCTGTGTACTGATACAGAATGCCAACTCATTAATCTTTAGAAGCTCTTTAGCTTCTTCCTTTGCAACTACCAGTTTGGAAATCTAGAACCTAGAGGGTAATAAATAAGACTTTCAACAGGTGTCCGCAGAGGGGTCTAATTCTTGTGTTCAGAGTGCCCAGGATGGAACAGGGATTAAGTCCAAGTCCTTAGGTGACTTCAGAAAGGCATTGCTCACGGTATATGAATAGTGTGTATTTCTCTGCTCCAGCTTTGGTTGAGTGTTCGTGTGCTTTAATGTCAAGTTCCTTCTGTTTTGGTTAGTAGTTTCTGAATAATAAAAGTCAACAGGACAGATCTGTGGGCATATCAATGTTCGTGCCTAAGGGCTCCACCCATGAAAGCCCTGGAATGTATATTTTATCTTTAAGCGTGTAATTTTTAGTGAAAATAGAAGGAATATTTATACACTTTGGTCAGTGGAAGGCCTTCTGAAAAGGTGACACAGGCAATGCAAGCCCTGGCAGCCCTTTGTGTATGCCTTGTGGTATTGTCTGTGGCCCCGCTTGTGTCCTGGAGAAAACGTCAAGCATTATGAGTTGCTGAATTCTGTAGAAGGTGCAAAAATAGAACAGAACTTATGCCTAGTGTGTTGGAAAGCTGTCATAATTCTTTTAAATTCTCTTCATTTTTTAGACTGAATGTAATGTTCACAGTTGCAGTTTGTTGGAATAAATAGTGTAAATTGAGGCGTCCTAAATACGCAATCCCAGCTCCCTTGGAAGCGTAAATACTTAAAAGCTGGAAACTGAAGGCGCCGCTCCCAGCTCCACTAGATGTCAGCCACGACCAAGTGACTGGGCACTGTACATCTGCAAATTCTTATTTCCTGATCTAGAGAAGCCCTCTGCTGTTGCAAAATACACTGGCCAATAGTTTTCCATGGCTGATGAGTATGTGTAATAATACTATTTTGGATGTGGGTGGAGGACACCATCTTACAGCACAGTAAGTTCACCTGATTTGAGTAAGTTACTAGGCAAGCTTGGCTTGGGTATTTAAAACTCTCTTAACCAGATCATAGTAACAGTTTATAGATACATTCCTCTGTGGTACTATGGTCATCTGTAGCTTCCTGGGTAAAGAATAAAAGGTATTGAAGTATCTCATTGCTTTTTTTCATCTGTCTACCATTATGGCTGTGTTACCTAATATATTGCTCTGCCAGTGCAGACCTTTCCTTTGTGTACTGTTCTCGAGTGTGTGATGTCTTGATCTTAGGTAACACAAACCACAGAGGTTCCTTCAGTTCCCCTCAGAGTGTTTTTCCCAAGCCTAATCCGTTTCTCTTCATCGTCTGTGTATTTACCAGTTTGAAAAGCAAGAAAATATAACAGCTTTAGTATGTATAGATGTATTCCTACATTAGTGGCGCTGGACCACTGTAAGCAAGGTATAGAAACAGCGTGTCTGTAACATTTTGGTTTTTAAACAACAGTATTTATGAGATTTTCAAGTTGATGGTGTCTGTTTATTATACATACTAAGATACTGAAATGCTACAGATGAATTGCCTGTATCTTTAATCGATTCTCTTATGGAGTATGGATTTTGAGTTGTTGGTTGGTCGATTTTTTTCCCTTAAGGTTGTAACATATAAACTTCATAGTTTCTTCATGAGAATTCTTGTACTAGATGCCCAACTTTTTACTGTATTGTTTATGGGCCATTGCACAGGAAGGAACCGTGTTGCTGGTCCAGAAAGCATAGTTGTAAGATACACATAATTAAGTGCCTCACATTGAAATATATTAATCAATTCAGATTGGCACATGGCATCATCAGGATAGTGGCATCCAATGCAAAATGCAAGTGAATCCTGTATAGATCAACATCAGGTGATCTTAAAGATCCCTTCCAACTTAGGCAATTGTATGATTCTATGATTAGTCTCGCTTCAGTGTTTTGTCACGGATGACAGACCAGCTTGGCAGTGTTAATGGCCTTGTATTGACAATATTTTTCTGAAGTAGTGCTGCAATGTATTTTTCATGTAGTCTTGTGTGTGTGGCTGGTGTAACTTCTGTGTATGGTTAGAAAAGTCATCCTGGTGACTTGTGAAATAGAACGAAGGGAGGGAGTGTTTGTCATGTTGCGTCTTGAAAACCAGCATGTGAGAACAACTTGAAAACCAGAGCTGTTTAGCTTGTTAAAATGCTTTTTTCCATCAGAAAACTTTCAAATACTTGATGCTTGACTGCATCTACTAATACCTTTTCCCACTGTCTTTCTTGGGTGGAGCAAGGAAATGTTGCAAGTTTTGAGTCAAGTCCTTGAGGTAAAGTTCAGGGAGGGGGGGAAAGGGGGGAAGAAGTGGGGGTTTGCTTACCCTAGGGTTAATTTCTTCCCTATGCTGAGATTAGGCTATACAATAAAGCACCACCTATAGTGGTAAATGTGTGATAAAGAATTACTTAGGATAACAAAGCCATTCCTGTGGAATGGCCTTAGTTTTCTGTAAAGGAATTAAGGGCAGGTGTGGCAGGGGGGTTGGTAGTGAATGAAAGCTGCTGTGAACAGATGGCTGGCTCTTGTTGCTGCGGTTGAAACTGCAACTAATTTAGTGTTCTAATCTTAATGCAGCAAACCACAAAGGCAGCAGAGGGTAATGTGCTGAGAACTTGTTCACCAGCAGCACCGAGCTCGTCCAGCAGAACTGAGCAGAGCGTGGCTTCTGACTTTATACCTTGGGGCCGCTGATGAAGCATGTAGAGGAGTGTTAGCTTTGCCTCAGATCTGTATTAAATTCAGAAGGGTTTTTTAATATTTGCTTCTGTCTTGGGAGTCTAGCATACTTTGTGCAAGCAGTTGTTCTCAGCTGTCACCCCTGCCAAGCCTTCTGCTCCATAGGAAAAGGAGAAATAATTGAAATGTGATTTGTTATTGATAGTGATGTGACAGCCCTCTGATCACAGGGCAAAAAGACAGAAAAAATAGTAATTGGGAAGAAAACCAAAATGAGAGCATGAAACAACTGCATCACGTTTCCAGTTTTGGTTTTTTTTTTTCCCTGAGAGCTGAATGAACAGATTTCTTTTTGCTTTAGTTAATATTACTGATTAAAATATCATAGCAATGCACTAATTACTTACTGAAAGCTCCTGAGTATATTATTGTCATCATACTGTAGCACACAAATGCTTGATGGCTTTAGTTTGAATGACGGCTTGAAAAGTTTCCCTTTCTTTGTTATCTGGATAGTTTGTACTACCTAAAATTATCTAGTAAGTGTCACTCAAATGGTCTTTATTACTATCAGTCGTGTCTATATAATTGTAGCATTGCTTTTCCTATTCCATTGGATATGAAAATTCAGTTCAGCTCCAAGTAAATCATAAGAAACATACTGTGTGTCTGAGGAGTGGAGTGTTATCATGAGATAAGTTTAAATGGAAGCATAAAGCTTGTCCATAGCTCTTAATTTTTGAGAGGAAAATGCTGAGAAATTGAGGGAAACATTAAGCAAGTCAGCTGGAACTGCAGAGTTCAGAACTTCAGAGAGTTTTGTAGTCTTGGAACTTTTAAAATCACAGGAGCAAAAATTTGCCTCTACTACAAGCTTCGGATTTGGGGGAGAAAGAGGCTGCACAGCATCAGGAGTTTATAGGCAGAGTTTCTGTTCTAACCAGAAGAAAAGGGTTTTGAGACTTTTATTAGGAATCTGTGTACAAAGAAGAAAGCTCTTTGATCACATACTCTCCCTTTGCTGAAAGACAGTGTAGAGGATGAAGGAGAATTTTCAGGTCTAAGTACAACTTGATTTTTGCCAGGGTAAAATGAAACAACTGCATAAGGTTCAAAAAGACTTAAAATGAAGAATCTAAGACAGAGGTGGGACCTGTGCATGCTTTTCATGTTGCATTTAGGCGCTTTCCTTTCATATACTTAAGTGTTAGAACCGGGGGAAGTTTTGTTATAGGAGTTCTGAGGGCTGATGTTGAATTATATGTAGACTTAAGCACAAATGCGAGTGTTTGAAGAACTTTCTGATGAGAAAAAGGTAAGAGACCTCTTCAAGATAAAGGAAGAAAGAAAAAGTACTGGATGACTTTAAGGACTCAGTAACTCTAGTCACCATTCTGTGTACAAAATACAATGTAGTGCAAGTTTTGATTTTTAAAACAAACAGATTTATTAATTAAAAAAAAAAATCGGGTCTTGCTGATGTGTCTCTTTTAAAACTCTGGAAGTCATTCTGATCAGCCACAAAGTGTGAAGTCGCTGCCTTGTTCAGACTACACTAATCTTACAAATGGCTTCCTGGCTTTGGAAGGGAATGGCTGAGATACTTCCTGGCCTGTATTTGTCTTCCTGGGTGGTAGCAGTTCCCTGTGAGATTTTGGGTTTTTTATTTTCTTTGAAAATTCAAAGCTGCCTGATAAAATGAAGGCAAATACAATGTAACCCTCTCTGTGGGCTCAGAGAAAGGGGTTTGAGAAATGAGAGTCTTTGTAGACAAAACTTCAGACTTGTTTAAAACTACAGATGAAGCAAAATGCATAAATTCCCAGCTGGTACCAGTTGAGCCTTCCCCTCATCCGGAGCATCTTAACTTCCTGCTGTAGCCTCTCTTTCTGAGGAAAACAGCTTAACAGTATACTGTGACGTTGCATTTGTTTCTGTCATGAATTTATGTATACATATTGTGTGTGAAGTGAAATGTGGTTATGCCATGGGATATACTTTCTACTGATGCTGACGAATCCAGTGTTTAGTAACTGTCTGCAGTTAGATAAATTAACAAGGCTACAAGTCGGAGGTCCATGACTTCAGTGGTCAATTGAGGGCAGGAGGGACAACTGTTGTGTATGATGTGTCTGATAGTGAATGATCAGGCATGGTGAGGGGAGGAATTAGTTTTCTCTGACTTTGGACTACTTGTATTGAAGCTAAAACATCTTTCTTTTTTTCTGAAGTTTGGAGTTGGAAACATTTTCAGTGGAATTTTACAACTAATCTTGCTTTATTTGCAGCTTTAGTCGGTTCTCCATGATATGATTATTAATGGGACAAAAAGAGATCCTTGAACAAGAATTTCAGTATGTCTCCTTGTTAATGTTTGCAGCTCAAATCCAATCCCAGCAGTAATGAGGAAAAAGAAGCTCAGACTCAGCTGACAAAATCTGATGAGCTCCAGCGGCTGCATTCACAAGCATTATCTGCCTACCAGCGAGAGGATTACGTAGCAGCTATTTCTCTTCTTGATGAAATCTTGGCAGTAAGTGTTAAGTAAAATGGTACTGCGAAAGGGAAGTAACAGCTCCTGACATCCGAGTATTTTTATTTAATAACTTCTTAGTAACTTCTGATGTAAAAAAAGTCTGTGTAATTGGCTCAGTTTTGCTGAGCACCATGAGTCCGTAATGAAGTTGGAGAGTGGAGAATGCTGAGTACTAGCTGCAAAAAAATAAAAATAATGGCTTTCAGTTCAGGTTAAAAATACAACTTCAGCCAGAGTTCTGTTACAGATAAGTTTCTTGATTATACTTTCCCATTTTTCCACAGTTCAGTGTTCTTGGGGAAGCTGAGGAAAAAGTTATTCGCAAAACAATGAAGTTTTGCCAAATATAGGAGGTGTACGTTTCTTAATCTAGAGTTTTCATTGCCTATATGCAGGCAATTTTTGTCATGAGAATATGAAGTAACAAAGATCAAAAAAAAAGAAAATCACAAAGTTAAAAAGTACATGGCTATTTGCATTTTCAGCCTGTTCCTTGGATGTCTGTATTTGTTGAATCTTAATTGGTGTGGGTAGCCTGATAGTATAAAGGTAAACAAATCAATCATGGGCATTTTATGTGTCATATGGAAATACATATTAAAAGATAGTAAACTGCTATAAGTCTTCACATACCGATTAACACTGTTGGCTTGGAATTTGCAACATTCTAGCTTTTGGTGAAGAAACTGCCAAAGTGGAGGTTTGTTTATGGGGAGGGAATGTGGAAAAGCAGAAGATCCTTGTTCTTGAAAATGATGGTTTACAAACAAATTATAAGACCCAGAGTAAATAACAAATTATTATAGGCAGTTCATTTTAAGTAATTATTCCTGCCATACTGTCACGTTGCTCCTTCTGTATGTATCTTTAAAATCCAGTTACTAAGGTCAAGTCTTGCATAGCTGAATCTTACCCACGGGCGTCTTTCTAGAGGACAACTGACAGCTTGGTCCTTGCTGTTCATTACCCTTATTCTTTTGGGAAGATAAAATAATTTATGATTCTGATATCCTTCCCTGGAGGCTCAACAGACTGTCCCAGTTTAAGCAGTGCCAGTAGATTTAATTCATCTCCCTGCATGAGCTCATCAAATCATTTACAAATTTTTCAGGCCTTTGTTTTCTCTTTGGGCAGGTGCATCACAGCATCCACCAGGAAGCAGAGATGCTAATTTCATGCGCTCTGCATGCAGCTTGAACCTTATGCTATTGCAGTTGGCAAAGTAAAATTAAATGGGATTTTTCTTTTGTTGGGGAGGAAAAGAAGTGAAGTGTTATGGACCAAAACCAAGCTTTAATTTTGATTTCTCAAGGTTTGTGTTTGGGATGCAGAGCTACGGGAACTTCGAGCTGAGTGTTATATAAAGGAAGGGGAACCAAGCAAAGCCATTAGTGACTTGAAAGCTGCTGCCAAACTAAAGAACGATAACACTGAAGCCTTCTATAAAATCAGCAGAATATATTATCAGCTGGGGGACCATGAATTATCACTCAGGTAATTTTACTGTTTGCTGTAATCATTACAATTGAGACAGAAAATGGGATGATATGGGTCATGATAAACGGTGAAATATCTGTTGTCTGGTTTTGGATGGAGTAGCAACTCTGGTCTGGATCTGATAAAGGGAAGCTCCTTTCCAGAAGTGAAGAACTGGCAGTGAAGACTCCATGTTTAGTCTTTTCAGATGAGCCATCCATGGTTCCTAGCATCTTGTTTGCTTAAATAGAAGCCATAGTGCAAGTCCATCAGAGTTGCTTGCATTTACTGTCTTTATTGTAGTTCTCCATTCTAGAAGAAAGTGCTTCTCTAAACTTGTTTGGTGGGGCCTTTTATTTAACTTTGAACTTCCGTTTAAGTTTACAATGCAAATGAAAAATCTTTACGTTGTCTTAAAGCTAGATTTTTATTTTCAAGAGTGGAAACAAAAGGTTACAAGCTTAAGAATAAATAAAAATTAGAGGAGCACCCCAGTATGAGGAGGTGGGCATCCAGAGCTATCAATATTTCATTCTTGCAGACAGTGTCCACTATTTTGGATAATTTTTTTGTTAACATCCTACTCTTTTATTCATATTCAGTTAAGTTTAAGGTGTTATTCCTATACGTCCCTAGTCAGTCATGCAGATAACACTCCGGATTGGGCATACTTTGTGCACAGCTGGATGAGATGGTGTATCCTTCTGTTTGCATACGACAGGCTTCTGTGCAGCTCATGATCTCAGATGCACTACCTGCATCTCCAGCCTCCATCTAAGATGGTTTCTGCCACAGAATCTGTTCAGCAAGAGGTGAAGGGAACTGAAAAAAACCTGAGTTTCTTTTTGTGGCAGGGTATGACAGGCTGGCAGATGGAAGCTGTGTGTGATTATAACTGCAAAAATTCATTTTATAGCTGGGCAAAAGTAAACACAGAATAACTAATTGATTTACTTTAGGGATCCCCTTTCTGGGGGAGCTCATTGGTCACTTTTGTGGTGACTTTCAGTAGCTGACCACTTAGCCTAGTGATTTCAAGAGTACATGGTGGTTTTTTTCTCTGAAATCCATGCATGGACGTTCTCTTTCTAACCAACTCTTAAGATTTTTATAAGTACAATTGAGCTGTTGAAGAACAGAATGGTATCAGAATGAAGGTATATGCCTTTTCTTTCTTCTTCTCTTTCTCTGATTCAATTTTTTTTTTTCCCCATAAGATATACTAAGAAATAGCTCTATAGCTCTTGGATTTGCTGGGTGATTAATCTCGTCCTTCCCTTAGTTTTTATCTCTTATATTTACAGGCTTAATGATTTTCAAATAATATTTCTGGTTGTACTTGGGAACAAAGTAAGATTTTTGTGACCTCTTTCTGAAAGTAACACCTTGGTTGTACTACGAAGACTCTGTATGATACAATTTCTATTCCTTCATAGGGTTGTATTCTGGAGTTTTTTGAAGGCGTTTTACTATTTTAAGAGGCATCTGCCATAATCAGAGTCTGATTAAACAGTCTTCACATTGAAAAGTCAGACTCAGGCTTGGCTGATGTTCCATCAAGAGAAGGTTTGAGTCTTAGCTGAGCTTTATCTGGTTTGGGCAGTATAAAATATATTTCTACATAGGTATTTTGTAATGTAGCTGAGTTAAATATATAGGAAAATTGTAAAATTGCAATTGTATCTGATAACTGCTGAATATAATTCCTTTCCCAGGGTATATTTTTATTCTGCTCTTTAGTCTGTTTTTAATGTAGCACTTTTCAATCTTTGTATATTTGGTAAAACAAAATAGTTAAAAACAAAACCAGACAAATATCCCTGAATGTTCTGGAAGACTTTTTTGTCTCACTTTAAATTTGGTTTTGGATGAAGGGAGAGATTGTGTTTAAAAAGAAAAAAAGTCAACTTAATTCTGGACAGCTTATAGATGTTGCATTGTGTCTCTAAGTGAAATTTCATAACGTGTGGTGATATCTTTCTCTTTTGGGTTTGTTTTGTGTTGGTTTTTTTTTTATTTCCTACTTACCTCCCTGTGAAAAGTGAAGTCCGGGAGTGTCTGAAATTGGACCAAGACCATAAGCAGTGCTTCTCTCTCTATAAGCAAGTAAAGAAACTCAATAAGCAGATTGAGTCAGCAGAAGAATTCATCAAAGAAGGCAGGTAAGTGTTCGCTGCTGTATTAAAAAAAAATAAATAAAAAAATCAGGGAGACACTTACTGGTTGAGGGGCTGATTAAGTGATGCTTTTGCATCTGTCAGTTGAAGTAGATAACTGAGCACAGCTCTCAAATTACAATCAAAATAAATATTGACTCACATAGTAACAATCCTGTTCTGATTCCTTCTGATGCCAGTCTTCTCTTTGCATACTTATTTGTGGAGCAGGTAGTAGGACCAAGATAGGGGTAATACTGTCAGCTCTCATATATTATTACTCAGCACTGGTGAGGCCACACCTGGAGTGCTGGGATCCCCAGTACAAGAGAGATGAAGCTGCTGAGAGAGAAAGTCCAGCAAAGTGCCAGTAAGATGATGGAGAGACTGGAGCATCCCTCACCTGTGAGGAAAGGCTGAGATAGCTGGGACTGTGATCTCATCAATGTATATAAATACCTGAAGGGATGATGTAAAGAACATGGAGCCAGGCTCTTTTCAGTGATGCCTAGTGACAGGACCGGGGCAATGGGCACAAACTGAAACAGGAAATGCCATTTGAATATAAGGAAATGCTTCCTGTCACCCCCTTATTTCCACTGGTGCAGGTTGCCCAGGGAGGTTGTGGAGTCTCCCCCCTCTGGAGGTATTCAAAATTCATCTGGTCCTTGGGCAACCGGCTCTAGACGGCCTTGCTTGAGCAGGGGCATTGGACCAGATGATCTCCAGAAGTTCCTTCCAAGTTGTGTGATTAGAAGACCATGTCTTTAGACTAAAACCACCTAATAACTCTGCAGTGCCTTGATAGCAAAAGTGGATCTGACTCATGGGCTTTTTTTTATGCATCTTAATGATAGACAGTGCCTCTGTATTCTTCTGCTTCTTGCTCTATTTCAGTTTTACATGTTCCCAAGCACACTACATCCCACTGTAAGGAACCCTAAAAGTGTTTCAGCGTTGCCAAGGTGGCTTTTTAAATAGAAGTATGTGAATCAGCAGAATGAAAGACAGTTTTATTAAATCAGCAGTCCATTTGGACTCTTCACTTTAGCCTTCTGTTTATTCCAGTATCAGCACATTTTCTGGGAGTCCCCTGAGAGCCTGAATTTCTCCTCGCTGGTAGCAACCCATGGCTTCAATCACGCGCTTGCATTTTTAGGTGAATGTTCTAATCCATTTTTACTCAAACCATGGAACTTGAGCATCTTTGAAACCTTCACAGCAAAAATACGCTTTACTCTGTGACTTGAGGAGAAGGAGGAAGGGAGAAAACAACTGCTTGATACAAGCCATCATAAAAAACATTTTTCTTTTCTGTACCAAGAAATGCAAATAGTACAGTGCAGTAAGGCTCCAGACTTAGTCCATCTCGGATATCAGAGAGGGAGATGCTTTTTCCTGAGTGCAGAGTGGGCTGTTGGACAGGAGACAGATCTAGAGACCGGTGTCTCTCTGCACACTGAGGGATGGCAGTCGTTATCTTCTGCCAAAGCCTGCCAGGTATAGTCCCTGCTTTTTTGCCTCATAGCACAGAAAAGGGAATGGGGGTGTAATTCTTGAAGTGGCCAAAAGTTTTCTTCATGCTGTTGTCTCACACCACGCCTTTAAGACTGCTGAAGTTAAGGTACACTGCTAGAAGGCTGTGAAAATGTTTGAATTTTAAAATTTTCAAGTAAATCACGACACCCTGAAAGTTATTACATTTCATGATATTATGCTTATCTTTGATTTGAACAGGTATGAAGATGCTATCAATAAATACGATTCTGTAATGAAAACCGAGCCGGAAGTCCCAGTTTATACTACTCGTGCCAAAGAAAGGATCTGCCACTGTTTATCAAAGGTAATTTCTGCTTCTGTCTCCCTCTGTAGATTTCCTTAAAACAAACAAAACCCCACAACTACATGAATTTTGTTTTACTTTCTCCTCTCCAGAATCAGCAGGCTACAGAAGCCATAAAAGTTTGTACGGAAGTTCTGCAACTGGAACCAACCAATGTCAATGCCCTGAAAGACAGAGCAGAAGCTTATTTGCTGGAAGACCTGTATGAAGAAGGTACCGTTGTGTGCAGCTTGCACCTACTTTTTCTGTGGGCATTTAAAATGCAGCCAATGTTTCGAAATTTTTTAATATGCTCTTTGATTCTACACTATGTTGTTATCCCTAATCAGCACTGGTAGTTGCAGATTTACAAAAATACCTGTTAGTAATTTTCTCTTGATTAGTATAAGTGGAATGTACTTGTTTTATCTACAGCAGAGTTGTCTTTACAACAGTGGGCTACATTCAGGATGTCTTATGAGGCTGTACAGCTCGCTCAACGTACTTAAACACATTTTATATAATCAGCAATGCCAGACAATTGCATTTAGAGATAAAAGGTAATTATAGTTAGGGGGATATAAATCCATTTTAAGAACTCCATTTTAATGTCTTTAGATGGCAGCATGAAACAATACTGTTCTGTTCCCTGTCATGTGCTGAGGGCAGAGGAAGATAACAGCCATTGCTTCACCTCCATGGGTCTCTGTAGCACTGCTAAGAACAGCAAACTCAATCTGCTCCTCAGGCTGCATTTTCCATACATGGTTTCCATGAAATGCATACTGTTACATGGTCCCATCTACAGCCTTGGAAACTAGAGACTGATGAATGGGTGTCTCTGAGTACGTCGTTACTAAGCTTCTTTAAGAATACAAAGTGCTAAAAGTGCTAAAAAACTACAAAGTGCTAAAAAAAATAAATTCAAACTTTAATTTAGTGAATCTCATTTTCACCAGAAACCAGGCTTAAGAAGGACGTTTGGACAATCTGCCTGTTCCAACCCCCATGCTCAGTCATGCAGCAGTTTTTGAAGTATTGGGCTGTTTCAGTCAAATGTGATGAGGGAAAAGACTTGCAGGCTTTAAATCTGCAGAAAGCTAGTTCCATGAATTTCAGTAGTCATAGAATAATTTTCCTTTTCTGTATTCTAGTACTGGATCTCTTGCTTTACAGCTGAACAAAAAAAAAAATCTTTTCTATTTAAACATTCATGAAGGCAGCTGTTCTCATTAATAGCAAGCTCAGATTTTTTTTTGTCTTTTTGAGAAATTAATCACTGAGAGATGATATTGCTCACCTCCTGAAGCTCACTTCAAAAATGAGGTACCTATTTTATTCTTTTTTTTTTTTTTTTTACACCTCCTTGACTCAAAGGAAAACACGGTATAGAGAGGACTGGTGTGGTTTCAAGGCAGTCCTCTTCGTCAGCCCTGTGGACTTTGCACCTCTGAAGTGACCTAGTCCTAGATCCTCTTTGCTGATGCTGGCAAGCCTTCTTCCTCCTTATAAGAAAAAGGGTGGAAGATAAATCATTGTGGAGAACTGATGACCTCTGTACAAAGGGATTGGTTAAAAAGACCCCCGAAGTCTGAGGGGAAAAGTTGTGTTAGGGTAATGATTTTCCATCTTTTGTTAATAACTGCAGTGTCAACCTAAAAGGCTTAGGAAGATTTCAGAGTGATGAGGTCCCCTTTGAGTGTTTCTCCATCTTTTTCTGTACTCAAGTACAGTAGAAGTAAGCTCAATCAGTGTTTGGAAAAGCAGATTTATGAAAGAATTGGAAAAAAGAAAAAGAAAAAAAAAACAACAAAAAAACCCCAACAAAACCCACAGCAAAAAAAAACCCCAAAGAAAACAAAATGTTTCCGTAAAATAGTGAAAGGTACAGAATACAAATCTACATAGACTACAGCTTGTACAAAGGTTTTTGATTTAAAAGGAGTATCAGCAAAGAAGAACCCAGAGAAAATTTAAGATTTGATTTTTTTTTTTTCCCCACAAGTTGTATGAATCTTCAGCTTAGAGGAGGGTACAGAGAGGGACAGGCTAGACATGGCCCCTGCTGTGAGTCCTCTTAGATGAACCTTTTGCTGCTTAATAGTGGGTAGAATTGATCTGTTCATTTTGTGGAAAATGATGAATCTCAATTTGGATTTTTCTAACATCTTCTATTAAACCCTCATCTATTTCTGGTTCCTCTAGGGTGAAAGAATCTGACAACTCTTGCAAATTAGAGGGGAAAAAAAGGAAAAGGTTTTGTAACAAGGTCGTGCACAGAGCCAGCTTGGTCTTGTGTTACAGCAAATGTCTCCCTATTATGGGATATAAGGGATCACAGAGAGGACACACCTGGGGTCTGGGAGAGCTTATTTGCTGGGCTGGAGCCTGCTGGGCTTGGCCCAGCCTGGTTCTGAGTGGACAACCATGCTCCAAGTCCCTGTTGTTTAGGATCTCCCCTGACTTCCTCCTGCCCATGACAGCGGGGAGAGGGTTGTAGTTGCACTCTGCCTTCCAGCAGAGCCTCCACAAGCAGTATTATAGTCCATTCATGTTAGTCTGCCTCAAGGTGTCTTCACTTATCCTGCAATTTTAACTGCTGCAAAATGATGGCTGATTCCTCTCTGCTGTAGAGAGCAGTAGAGCAAGTACAATTGCAGTCTAGTATTTGAGTGGGCAAACTGATTCTCAATCCTCCCTCAAGAAAATTTCAAGCTGGAGGCACCTATTTTCCTGTTTAAGGGCAGGAAATTTTGAAGTACTTACAATTCAGAACTGGAAGGTGATGACCGTTAAAGCTTCAAGATGCACTTCAGTATGTGTAACTGAGTTCTGATGCCCATTAAGTGGTTTTAATTTACTATATAATCACATGGAATCTAGGGCATGTCTACGGAGGCAGATGTGTAATGGCTCCCTTTCTGGCTTACCTCATAAATATAGGAGTCTGTTTGTCTAAGGTATACAGCACAAGTTTTGTCAAAGAAAAATAGCCCACCTTGTTGTTTCAAAATTGGTCAGGACATCCTTTTTCTTTTATTTTCCTTTTATTTTTTTTCCCCTTCCCTGCTTACTACTGTAGAGGAAATAGTCTGTGTTTCATCAAGACCATAACTGGTTCATTTATTCCTCTAACAGAGTTGGCATGGACATAGATTGTCTGCAGTTACTTGTGTTTGACAGGAAATTAATTCTGCATATGGAATAATGGCTCATCTTAGCCAATTCTAAAGATTCAGGCAAGATAGGAAAGCCAGCTAAAGTGTTCAGAGATATGATGTGATTACTATCTCAGAGATTGTGAAGACTCTTGTACAGAAAGAAGAGAGCTAAATTTTGCTAAAATATTTCAATCAAAAATAATAGTGGAAACTGGTTGTTCCTTTAATGTCTTGAGGCAGGATGGAAAGAAGAAAGGATGCTGTTTGAAATAGCAGGCCAGTAAGAAGCAGCAGTGGTTCTTGTGTTGGTTTGTGAGGTACTAGTGCTTTTAGAAATAGTGAAGAATTGATTAAATAACTCACTGGACATACCATGAATTAGTAATAAGTCTCCTGGTTTCATAGCAAACTTCTTGTGGTCAAGAAGCTGTCATCCTGCTTCCAGCTGTATCCAACCCTCACCCCTCAGGTGGGGAGAGAGATGAACTCTCTGAAAGAGGAAAATTCCTCTGCTGGAGAGTGCCAGCAAAATTGAAGTATTTTCCAGCTGAGAGAGAGTGCAAAATGTACTTGCCCTCAGGTGTGCTGGGCATTCCCTCTGGGGTGTGCAGCACTGAACAGACCTTCCCCTCTGCTTAGTACTTCATAAAGGTTAACGATACTTAATCCTTCAGCCTTTACAGCAGGGAGTTAAGTTTAAAAAAGGGAAACCCAGTGCTGTCACGGTGAGTACTTGGCCCCTGAGCAGCTTGGATTCCAGCAGCGGTGGTGTGTGGTGACACTCAGTGGAGTTAAGCATTTGGCAGGACATTGTGATGGGACCTCCCATTATTCCATGAAGCAGATTAAGTACTCTGGTGCTTCAAATTATTGCAGCAGTAAAGCAGCAGAATGAAATCCCCGCATTTTCATTGTTTTTATCAGTTTTGACAGCGTATATTTGGCACACGCATTAGTGTACGCTGCCATTTGTTGTGGTATTTTTTTTTAATGACTGGACAAATTATTAAAAATACCAGCAGAAGGCCAAATGCTTTGTTCAAGCAACAAATGACAGTGTCCAGCGATGTGAAAACGAATAGAAATGTTGTTTTGTTTGTAATAGCATATGAAATTGTTGGGGTATTGGAAATACTTTTTGGAATTTATTATTTTTTCTGAATAGCCAAAACAAGATTGCAGTGGTATCAGATGTCTGGGTAATACAAATTCATTAGCACTTCCTGCTGTCTTGCTCAGAAACAGTGAAAAACAAATGTAACACCTGCTGAGAAATAGCATCTGCTTGGAAATAATCTGATGCAAGCACTTTGTCTAGCTTGAGAAACCTGGGAGGCTTGGATCTGCAAATGAGACTTTGAGGATTTTAACAGTGAAAGAAGAGCAGTTTCATTAAAGACTTCAACAGTTGCTTCTCCTGATAAATCTTGATATCAAAGAATATTTAAACTTGGTGTCTTAAGCATTCAGTTACCACTTACAATAATAATATAGTTTACTTCAAAAAAAAAAAAAGTGGAGGTCTGAAATGTCTTACAAATTCATGAATATGTTACAGCATCACTTGCTTTCATTCCTGAGAAATGCAGCTCTCAAAATAAAAGGGAGAGCATGCTTTTGGGAAAAAAACAAACTTAGCATATAACTATTTGCATATTATGCAGAGGCATAAGAAGGGAGTGTTTGTCTTTCACGAACAGTATGAACTTACTGGTAATCTGAAATCTGTCTTTATTGGTGTTAAAGTGGAAGAGGTTTTCTGTTGTGCTGATTGAGTGCAGACTGTGGGAGAAGGAGGAGTATTAAAGGCTTGTATAATGCATCCTTCACTTGAACTCAAATGCTGAAACTTGCCTCATGATTTCTGCTTCATCCCAGTCCTACACCCTCGTTCTGTTCAGCCATGAGACTCTTGTAAACATCTAGAGAGTGTTCTGACCTGCCACTAACAACCTCCCTCCTTCTTTTCCGAAAAGTGTCATGAACCTAAAGGAAGAAAACTGCTGAATTCATACGTGAAAATGAATCTCTGCTCTAAGGTTTTCTAATTCAAAAAAAACCCAAACAAACATGGGAAGTCGAAATAAGTTTTACTGTTTATACGTGGTAGTAGCAAAACTTCAGTTTTGGTGAGTGGTTGAGTTCTTTTAATTGAATTTTGTAAAGATTCGTATAATCATTTTTTTTTTATTTGCTTTTTTTATCAAAGCTATTAAAGACTATGAGACTGCTCAAGCCAACAGTGAAAACGACCAGCAGATTCGGGAGGGGCTAGAACGTGCCCAGAGGATGCTGAAGCAATCACAGAAGAGGGATTACTATAAAATCTTAGGAGTCAAAAGGTGAGATATTAATATCTGAGATGACGATGTGAAAGTTAGTTATTAAACAGTACCTGTAGGGCTGATCACTTGAATTTATTCTGCTGAGTTTTTGTTCCTATATCTTGTTACTTTTGGTTTCCTACAGTACTAGTTTAGCATTGTTTGGCTTTTAAGTAGCATCCGTTTACAATTCCTTTTAGAAAGAATGGAAAAATAACATCAGGAAGGAAGGAAATAAATCCCTTGGCAAGAAATTCTTAGTATAGATGGTCAAGAGTCAGGTGGATGAATTGGGGAAGAAACGAAGACTGAAAAGAATTGCTGAAAGCAACAAAAACTAAAATTGTGGCAGATAGTGTGCTAGAATGGAGGAGTTTGAAAGGATTAATTGAAAGGTATCTAAAATGCTTCTGCCATTAACCTTGAGAAACTAACGACTTCTCTTTCCAATGAGGACTGAACAAAATGCCCAGTTCTGGACTAGTATTGGTCATCCTTCCAATTGTGAACTAATTTGATCTCTGCTTTTCGTGCTTTTTGTCACTCACCTGACTGTAAGTCCTTCAGACTGGGAACTGTTTTCCGTGTAGCAGCTGGCAGGAGCATCTTCCCAAAGAAAGTAAATGTGTGGGGAAGGAAAGAGTGAGTGATCTTCGTTTAAAGTTGCAACCTGCTTCCTCTGTTTCTTGTGTGAAGAATCTTCAGTGCCACCTGCAGAAGGTTAACTAACTCATCATTTTTCTGATGCTCTTAATTGCTGTCTCAGTGTTTAAAATGAACCTGTAGATACACTAGTATGGCATATGAACAATTAGAAAATTTGAAGTTAATCTGTGACTTTATCCATCCAGAAATGCTCGGAAGCAGGAGATCATAAAAGCTTACAGAAAGCTGGCATCCCAGTGGCACCCCGATAACTTCCAGACTGAGGAGGAAAAGAAGAAAGCAGAGAAAAAATTCATCGATATAGCAGCTGCTAAAGAAGTCCTCACTGATCCAGGTAAGGATTGTTCTTATGCAGTGACTTGCATTTTTTTAATTACTTTTTCTTTTTTTTTATAAAAATGCAGTAAATGTGAGTCACATCAAGCAGCAGAGCTTCCCTTTTTCCCTTTCTGCCCTTACCCATCTTGAGAGAGCAATGTGCTAGTACTTCCATTCAATCTTCCAATCTGTTGCATGAAGTCAGGTGTGCACCTGGATCTATTTATTGTGTTTCAGTGACTTTTGTTTAAAGTCAAATAAAAATTATTGTTTCAAAAGTCAGTCTCTTTTTAGAATATCATCTTGCAGAGATTTCCAGGACTGATTAACTCTGGAAATGCTTACTTTAAGGATGTGGGTATCCTGTGCTTCCTAAAGTTCTATAGCAGCCTCCCAGTACCTGAAGGGGGCCTACAGGGGAGATGGGGAGGGGCTTTTTATCTGGGGATGTAGTGGTAGGAGGAGGGGTAATGGCTTTAAACTGAAAGAGGGGAGATTTAGATCAGATATCGGGAAGAAATTTTTTACTATGAGGGTGGTGAGACACTGGAACAGGTTGCCCAGAGAAGCTGTGGATGCCCCATCCCTGGAGGTGTTCAAGGCCAGGTTGGATGGGGCTTTGAGCAACCTGCTCTAGTGGGAGGTGTCCCTGCCCATGGCAGGGGGTTGGAACTTGATGATCTTCCAACCCAAACCATTCTATGAAGTGGTTGTTGGTCACCAAAGATGGTTGGTGTTGCTGCCCCAAGTGCCGTGCCGTGATTCCACCCTTGGTTTTGTTTCCTGCAGAGATGAGGCGGAAGTTTGATTCGGGAGAGGACCCACTGGATGCGGAGAGCCAGCAGGGCGGGGGCAACCCTTTCCACAGGAACTGGAACACATGGCAAGGATTCAACCCCTTCGGTTCTGGAGGAGGACCATTTACATTCAAATTTCACTTCAGTTAGAGCCAAGACTGTTTCTGGTGGCTGCTGCTGGTTTTTTACTTAATTCGTTTGAAAAAATAAAAAGTCTCTCAGTTCAAGACCCAAAAAAATCTTAATTTCTAATGTTGTCCTTAACCCAGAGTCTTACTGCACTGGGAGAAAGCTCCTTCTTTCTTTTAGTGTTCCTGAGAGTTTGCTTTGTGGTGAACTCAACAAACTCCAACTGCTTGGGGGGGCTTGTTACAGCCAGTGAATTTGTTGTGGATCTACAGGACCTGCTTATTCCTACGGATCCGGAAAAAAACAGTAAGAGGCTACTTAGGACAACACGTAAAAATAAACTTAGGACTCAATATATGCTTAAAGGTAAAAATGCATGTAAATATTTTTCTGAATTGGGGCCTGATAAACGCGGAAAGGGTTAATTACAGTAGTCGCTACGGTAACAAATTGTTAGTCATTGTCCATCTCTCAGTATTCTTAAGAGGAAAGGCTGGTGAGGACCTGCTGTGCCATAGGAGGGGCTGCCACCCCCTGAGTAAGGAGATGGCTTGTAACTAATTGTATTTGAAAAGATCTGCTCATTTATTCATTAACCTGAAACGAATCGGGATTGGTTTTGGGATGAAAGTAAAAACAAACAAACAACAAAACACCTGATGTTTCTCTAAAGACTTTTTCGGAATGTGATTTGGGGTGGTGACGTATGGCTTTGGAGTAGTTTGCACTTTAACAAAACACCTGCTTGAGACTTGAGCAAAAAAAAAAAAAAATATATAATTTGAGGTGACATTTCCCCAACTCTGCAGCAATTTGTTACTTCTCTGTAGGTAGAAGGGGTGGGCTTGTGAGGTGAGTGGGGCAGGAAAAGGGGATTAACTCTTGCCTTCCCCTCTAATACAACTTCATTTCTGCTGGGCCACGCAGCGGTGGGTTAGTATTCTGTGACCTTGTTTGAAGTAATTGTCATGTTTTATGTGACAGGTACTGTGACACCAGCTGCCTGTGTGCAAGAAAAAAACAAAAAGAGGGACTAACTTTCCCTTAGCCAAAAATGTGGTTTCTTTTTTTCCATCTGCACGGAGCTAGAATTGGTTTGGTGTGTATGGATCTAAGTGTGGGAAGGCAAGGTGAGGTGTGGCCGGGCTGGAGCTGCAGTGAGCAAATAGTCTCCTCGGGCTGTAGCCCAATATATTTTAATTACTGATGAGGTGCAGCAGCAGCCATTTTCTTAAAATGCAGGAATTACGGTTCATCAACGTTTTCTTGATTGGGTTTTAACTGGAAAACAATAATCAGTTGATAGGAATCTGCCCTGGCTTCGGCTCATGGCATTTGAAAGCGTGAGCAGCCTCGGTTAAACAAACACAATTAGCAAATAAGGCCTTCAGTGGGCAAGTGGGGGTTTATTACTGTAATGGGACTTGCTGTTGGAGCGTAACCCTCGTCTCCTGCCTCAAGTGCTTGGCAAACAGAAGTGTGAGGCCACATGGCTTTGTAGAATGTTTTCCAACAGCAATTTAAAGGTCAGTGTTTGTTCAGCAGACACTTACCTTCAAGCTGGAGAGCGTGTGTGGTGATTTCTGACAGCTTAGGGTACAACACCACCCTGGCAGCCTGGTAAACTCACAGACTTCCCAAATGGAGTGACTTTACTAGAAGTTTGACTTCTGCTTTTGACCTGTCCCAAAGCTTTTTGAGTCTGTAGAAGATGCTTGGGTGGCTTGTTTGCGCCATTGTGGGCCAGCGTGGTCCTCCTGGGACCTCTGAGGGCTTGGGTGCAGAAGTACCCTGTTGCCCTGTCTCTGCAGAGGGGCTGGTTGCTGGCAGTAGGTAAAAATGGGTGCAGGCAGCTTTCACAGACAGTGGCTGCTCTTGCCTACTGTCACCCTTCTGTCCCTGAGGGGGGGGAGAGATGGCCCCAAACCCTCTTGTTGTGGGGTGGGGGTGCTGCCTGCTGCTGTGTGAGCCACTGCTCTGTGCAAACACAACACTGTTGCCTCCTTCACCACAGAAGGGGCTGTTTTTAAATGAGTCTGGAATGAGCTGTGTAAGGGACACCTCGTGTTCTGTATAGAGAGGTGGTGGTACAGTCCCAGGAGGTCCCTGTTGTGTGCCCTGGGGCAGTGCTGGAAATCATACATCCTCTTCTGAAGGACTCCTCTTGCTCATCCCTCTCCCTTTTTCTTAGCTATAGCTGAGAGAAAAAAGAAAAAAAAGGTTTCCTGGGTTTGAGTTGTTTTTCATTTAGGGAAGGAGTAGGATGGCCCCTGGTCAGGCAATGGAGCTCCATTGGTTTCTCGGAGGCAGGGCACTGGCAGCAGTCAGCAACGGAAAGGATGATGTTTATTTTGACAATGAAGGGGAAAGGGAAAATTACATATTTAAAAAAATAAAAAAAATAAAAGAGGCTTGACTGTAGCCAGTAGAAGGTGGCAGCTGATGAAGGCGTGAGTGCTGGTCACAGATTTAGGATGGAGAAGGGGGTTTCTGACACTCGGCAGACGCTGATTCTGAGAAGTGTTACTGCTCCAGTGCTGTTTTCAGGGGGCAGGTGGTGGCTTTTAGCTCTAAGGTACTTCTGAAAAATAGAGAAAGACAGAAGTTTGTTATGTTAAAAAGGAGATGTTTATGTTTTAAGGACCTCCAGGTAAGGGTGATGCGTTTCCTGGGGTGACTTGTAGGAGAGGAGGCGCTGGTAGGGGCTGGCAACACCCCGAGGAAGCCAAATTCGCCTTTTTATTGATGAAGCGGGTGCCTGTGGGGCAACAATGTTCCAGAACTGGGCACTGAAATAAATGTCTGGGTATTTTGTAAACCCTGAGATGCGCATGAAGCACCCTTGGCATCACTGGCCTACGTGTAGGGGCAAACCTTCTCTGTTGAATTCTCTTGTTCCGTTTTAATAATGTTTTTAAAATGAAGGGGGGGAGTGAGGGAAAGCGTATTTTACTTGATACGTGCTTAATACTGAGGTATTAATAAATCAGTATTAAACCAGATTGAAAGTGAGTTACGAACTGAAGAGCTCAAACTTGTGACATCCGCAGAAAATGTGTCAGCTCCATCTTTTTTTCAAGAAATAAAGCTTGTTTTATCGTTTTCAGTTTCCAGACCGGTGTTTGGAGTCAGAATCCTTCTTCTGGTCAGGGCTGTGAGCTGGAGGAGCTTTGCTGGGAAGGGGCCAGTACAGCACAGCAGGTTCCTTGTGTTTCAAAGTGCCTTACTGTAAGGTATTGTTTGTTTGCTCTGTACTACACGCTCTTATCCATAAAATAATTTAAAAAAATAAATAAATGGGAGGATAATTATTTTTTTTTCCCTCAGCGAATCTCAAAAGTAGCAGTTTTATGTTTTAAGAAGGATGAGTAGAGCTAGCCAGAGATTTATCAAATGTTTCAAATTATAAAATGTCTTTATATGAAATCATAAATCTAAAAAGCGAGAACTTGTTTTGGTTTGGTTTTTTTTTTTCTAGAACTGTGGGAATTATTTTATGGTATTTTTCACAATAAAGATATTTATGATGACAAGAAAGCACCACAGTGTGTTTGTCTGCCCTTCTTTCCTCACCCTCCTCTCCAGGGCGGTGACCTCTCCTGTGGGAGGCAGAGGACAGTGTGTGACAGACTGGCCCAGAACCATAGAATGGTTTGGGTTGGAAGGGACCTTAAAGATCATCAAGTTCCAACCCCCCTGCCATGGGCAGGGACACCTCCCACTAGAGCAGGTGGCTCAAAGCCCCATCCAGCCTGGCCTGAAAAACAAATCAGATGGTGGCCAGTCCTGGAGAGCAGCCTGTCCCGGGCAAGCCTCTGGTGGCAGGAGTCCTCCTGGAAAGGAGCCTGTCCCGGGCAAGCCTCTGGTGGCAGGAGGGGAGAGGAGGGATGCTCTCTCCTGAGGCTGGAAGTCATGGCCAGCCAGCAGCTCTGGGGACAGAAGGTGGGTGGCTGAGGGCATGTGGGAGGTACAAGATGAGCATCTACTCCAAGCGTGGTTCCTAGGCAGCGATGAAAACTACTTCTAAAGGCAGTAAACTGATTTTTAATTGTTTATTTTTAATCCAGTCAATGTTCCAACAAGGCTGACAGAAGTATCAGGGGTGAGAAGTTGAGGTTGCAGGAGCTCGACTCAGCAGCTGGTCCAGCTGAAGCGAGCACGAGGCAGTGCTGCTCCACAAAGGCCTCAGAACCTGGAGGAGGCTGGAGCAGACCTGCCTCCTGGGCCTCACAGTGCTCCAGCAGGGCTTCAAGTTCACCAGGGGCTTCACTCAAGTCATAGATGGTGCCAGAAAGTGTCACCCCAGGCTCCGTCCAGTAAATGTTCCAACAGGGCTGACAGAAGTACCAGGGGTGAGAAGTTGAGGTTGCAGGAGCTCGACTCAGCAGCTGGGCCAGCTGAAGCGAGCACGAGGCAGTGCTGCTCCACAAAGGCCTCAGAACCTGGAGGAGGCTGGAGCAGACCTGCCTCCTGGGCCTCACAGTGCTCCAGCAGGGCTTCAAGTTCACCAGGGGCTTCACTCAAGTCATAGATGGTGCCAGAAAGTGTCACCCCAGGCTCCATCTACTTCCCAGTACAACATGAGAAACGAATCCCAGTCATCCTTGGCCTCTATGAAGATGACGGTCCTACCTGAAGTCACCCAGAGCCTGTACACACACACGAGTGATGATGCAAATAAGTCATTAAAATGCAGGTGGTGTTTGCTTAACCTCTTCCTTAGGAACTTAATTTGTAGGAGTTCCTGGTCAACAGGGAAGGTGAGATGTCTGAGGAGGGAGGTGGCTGGAAGCAAGGGCTGCTTCAGGAGGCCAGGTTTTAGGTGAGACCACTCAGTGTGGTTTCCCAGTGTCTGTCTTTGGAAACCTGTGGCCCACCTCTTGGGCCTCAAAAAAGAAAAACCCCAACCTAACAGTAAGTTTGTTCATTTTCTGTTTAACTTACAAGTTGGTGTTAAGAAGAGTAAGACCTAGAAAAGACACAGTAATATAAATTGTATAAAAGTCTTCATTTGAAGAGTTCAAATATTAGTTGGGCAATTTACTGATGGTAATGACTGACCAGGTCAGTGCTCCTACCATCCAGGAGGCATTTTCTTCCCTTTCATGAGGCAGAGCAGACAGATTAGAAACTGGGAATAAACTCTCTGCCTCTCCAAGTTCCCCTCCTACAGCAGATTCCCAGTTTGGAACGTCGCTGTTGCTTCCCAGCACAAACACCTTCTTCAAACTAAAGACATTCAAGGACTTGCTACAATTTTCTCGCCTTGGATCTATTAACCAAGTCATAGTATAATATAAAATAGGTGAACACAAAATATTTGTTGGTTTTTTTTCCACCAGTGGCAACTTTTAATATTTCGTAGCACATACACAATCAATTGGTTTGGTACTGAAATATAATGATATGCTAATGGCTCAAAGTGCCACTTCAAAGCCATCTTTGAAAAGTAATGACTATATTTGCTGGACCCTCTTTGTTTTACAAACCAATATGTATCTCAAAAAAGACCTTTCCTTTAAAATATTATTATGCAGGAAAAGAAATGCTGTCAAATTTATTTTTTTTTTAGAAATAATATACACAGCACTGTAGAAAATGGCATGAAAACTTTTAAATCGGCAAAATATCTCCAGCAAGTTACATTTCTAAAAATGATATTCTAATCATTTAAGTGATCTAAAGGAAATAGTATTTAAAGAGCTATTACTTCTAAAGGCTTTAAAAAAAGTAATCTAATTTTAAAAAGCACAGGATGCTACAGATAAAATGAACAAGAAATCAGTACATAAATTATCCACTTTTTATGCTGCATAACAGAAATTTCCCACACAGATAATCATAAATAATGAGAACTAAGGTTTCTTAAAGAATTTTTAACTTCTGGATTAAAAAAAAACAGTCCTCCAATGTATGCTTCAAGCATGAAATTCAAAAAAGATCATCCCTGGCAGTGTTCAAGGCCAGGCTGGATGGGGCTTTGAGCAACCTGCTCTAGTGGGAGGTGTCCCTGCCCATGGCAGGGGGGTTGGAACTCCATGATCTTTGAGGTCCCTTCCAACTCTAACCATTCTATGATTCTGTAATTCTATGATCAGTGTGAAACACTGCTGCTGGTTCCATCAGGATGGAAGCTAATTTACTAATTATGGCAACTGGGTTACACAGAAAATGCTTCATTGGGTATTTCATGCAAAGAAAAATGCCCCCAATAAAATAAAATCTCTCTGTGACATGTTAAAACTCTGCAAAATGCAAAATGGTAAGGTAATACGGCAAAAAATATAAAAACCTGTAAAAAAACCTACACATTTCTTACTACTTAGACTTGAAAAATATCAGCAAAGCATGGTAAGGTAATACGACAAAAAATATAAAAACCTATAAAAAATCTACACGTCTCTTACCACTTAGACTTGAAAAATATCAGCAAAGCATGATTTTTCTTACTGTAAGAGCAAGTATTTAATTATAAATAACTGACACCCGAGGACAATGACAGTACATACAAAATATGCTTCATTTTTCTTATTATTTATTCAATTATTTGCTGGTATGGAAATATATGTAAGTCATCGTGGATTCACCCACTTAGTGCAAATTCCCTTATCTTTTATAACTTCAAGCATGTTGAAAGACTGCATTAAGCTGCTCTCGTAGGAATTTATGGTCATGCCCACTCTATTTTGAAACCAGCACAGCTTAAACATCGGAGTATGTATTTAAGGAACTGATTTCAGTTTAAGAAATAAATCCCCTTTTTTCAAACATGTGTATTGCAAGAACTTTCCACTGCAATTTTGGCAGGATCCAAATGTCAGCAGCCCATTAAAGCAATGATTTTGTGAGCACATACTCAGAAAAATACATGAGACACCACTGATAGTCAAAATTACTCACGTATTTTATTATTTTATTTTCCATTCTAAACAGGACGATGATAATGAAAACTGAGTAGAAGTAGCTTCCAGGTACTGACCTTCTGATGCAATTTATGCTGGTTGGAAAATCATCTTAACCAAAAAACCATAATGGAAGTATATGACATACTATAAAGTGACCAAAAGGAGCCTAAAAATCAAAAATTATTTTTTCAAAAATTGGTAAGAATACAGCAATCCGGCATCAAAAATGAAAAGTGACATTCCTTGCTTTAGTAAGTTTCCAAGTTGACTCAAATTTGTGTGGTCTGATTTACACAAGCTGGGTTTTTTATGTCTAATCTTTGCTACACTGACATTTTTTCTTGTGACCACTGCATTTCTCCAGAGACAAAACTATTGATGTATAACCAAAATTCTTTATATTTAAATATTTAGCTTAATGCATGTAATAATATGCACAAAACAGTTTTCATGTACATATTTAATGTGTGTCCCCTCCCTCAGACTAACACAATAGATCTTTGAAGAGTTGAACACATCATTCTTTATATTCTAGAATCCTCTGAGTAAATTGTCTTTTAGCAAAGGAAAAGAAAACCAAAGAAATCAGGAAAGCTCCTCTGTGCTGGTTAAAAAAATAATAATAATGATAATCAAGTACCTGTGGATTTCTCTTCTGCTTTTAACAATAATAATCATCAAGTACCTGTGGATTTCTCTTCTGCTTTTGTATTTAATTTAAAACTTTTAAATAACACTATAAGTTATAAAATATTTGACCTGACATTAAAGAATGTTACAAATAGTGCCAAAATAACAACACTCGTAGCTTCCATTGGATCTTTCCCAGAAGACCACTGAGCTGTCACCATTGCTGTCTGCAGGCTCTGCTAAAGTTCATCGTGCCTAAGACCTGTAACAAAAGGGAAAAAAATAAAATTATAAACCCCAGTTATATGTAGACCTCATGACTAGTTTGGTAAAACATGGAGAAAGCCCTTTACTTTGGCAGTCAGTCAGTTCAGCAATCATGGACTTCATTATTAGAGCCTTACTAGAAGTTGACCATAAACTTTCATAAAGAATGAAACCTACAAGGAACACTTTATAATGAGAAGTGAATTTGTTCCTTGACTCTGGACTCTTAAATACTTATCTTCTACGTTTTTTCTTCAACCGTGAGAGCTGAGATCACCTGGGTTTTTTTGGTTTCACATTATTCCAAGAAGTCAAGTCTTATTGGCAGTCCTATATAAAATTTTTTCTCGTGCTATTTAACTAAGTTTTAAAAAAAAATATATTTAAAAAATAAACCAAACAAGATCTATTTGTAAACTAAATATTTAGCTTTAGATTCTCTAAGTGAGGTCTAAGCTGATGCCCAGGGAGGTGGTGGAGTCACCATCCCTGGAGGTATTTAAGAAACGTGTAGACATGGCTCTTCAGGGCATGCTCTAGTGCCCAAGATTATTGGTTTGTGGTGGGATGTTGTGTGGGTGGGTGATGGTTTTTGGTTTGGTTGTTGTTGTTGTTGTGTGTTTAGGGGGTGGGTGGTATTTTTTTTGTTTGTTTTTGTTTTGGTTTTTTTTTTTGTGGTTGGACTCGATCTCTGAGGTCCCTTCCAACCACTATGATTCTGTGATTCTGTGTGAT